TGAAGAAGAATTGTGTATGCAAAATTGACAGACTTCCTCGAGTCCAACTTTCTGCTAGACCCGCTTCAGTCTAGTTTTCGCGCTAAGCACTCTGTGGAAACGGCACTGACCAAAGTATCCAATGATCTACTCGCTGCAAAATCTCGTGGTCACTACTCTATCCTAATTCTCCTTGACCTGTCTGCGGCTTTTGACACAGGTTGATCATCAACAGCTTCTTCTCATCCTCCGCAATATCGATCTACAAGATATTGCTCTCTCCTGGTGCTCCTCCTACCTCTCCCAGAGCTCTTTCAGTGTTTCTTTCTCTGGCTCTGCTTCTTCTCCCCAACTCCTCTCTGTTGGTGTCCCCCAAGGCTCAGTCCTTGGTCCCCTACTGTTCTCCATCTATACTGCCTCCCTTGGTAAACTCATTAGCTCCTTTAGCTTCCAATATAATTTCTATGCATATGACACGCAAATCTACCTGTCCTCTCCTGATCTCTCCCCGTCCCTCTTGACTAGTGTCTCTGACTGCCTTTCTGCTTTTTCTAACTGGATGGCTGCAAACTTCCTCTAACTAAACTCGACCAAAACTGAAATTCTGGTCTTTCCTCCCTCAAGTGTTGTTACTCCTGTGTCTGTCTCCCTCCAAGTCAACGGTGCTACCATCAGCTCCACTACGCAGGCTCGCTGCCTAGTTGTTCGCTTTGACTTCGACCTCTCCTTCAAGCCTCATGTTCAGTCTATCGCCAAATCCTGTTGTTTCCATCTCAAAAACATTGCGCGCATCCGACCCTACTTAACGCCAGATGCGACTAAGGTGCTGGTCCATTCCACTATCCTTTCTCACCTTGACTACTGTAAGCCGCTTCTCAGTGGTCTTACCTGTTCCCAACTTGCGCTGTTACAGTCCATAATGAATGCGGCGGCGAGGCTCATCTTCCTGTCCGCCCGCACCTCCCACGCCTCACCCTTCTGTCAATCCCTACATTGGCTTCCTTTAGGATATAAGGCTCAATTTAAAATTCTGGTTCTTGCTTTCAAATCTCTACATAATGCAGCTCCCACCTATCTATCCTCCCTAATACACAAGTATGTCCCGTCTAGGCCCTTACGATCTGCTGAAGACTTACGTCTATCTTCTGTCTGTACTCCCACCTCTGATGCTCGCCTTCAAGACTTCTCGAGGGCTGCACCATTCCTGTGGAACTCGCTTCCCTCCTCCATTAGATGCTCACCCAGTCTCCACTCCTTCAAAAAATCATTAAAAACCCACTTCTTCATAAAGGCATATCAATTAAACTGTTAATAGCTCCCGACTGACTCCTCTCTTGCAACTGTCACTAGTCTAATACTATCCTTACCTTTTTGTGTCACTTTACCCCACTCCCTCTAGCATGTAAGCTCATTGAGCAGGGCCCTCAACCCCTCTGTTCGTCCACCCATTGTAAAGCGCTGCGGAATTTGATGACGCTATATAAATAATAACAACATAATAATAAAAGGTAAAATCTGAATCCCATGCCTCTGGCTGGGGACTTAGATTTTTTAACTTACCTCCCACCTTGCAGCCTGCAGCCTGCTGGCCTCTCCTGATGAGTCAGGAGGAGGGGGCGTGACTTTCACTGCTCTTGTCCCAGGACCGCTGGGGAGTCTGGGAGAAGAGCAGAGGAAGTCATGCCCCTTCCTCCTGACATCATCAGGGGAGGCCGGCCAACTCCACTGACTGCTGCTCCTGCAAACCTGCTGGCTCCTTGCTCCTGCTCCTGCCCACCCCAATCTGTCCTAAGGTAAGACTCAGAGAGGGGGGGAATACACTTTAGTTTTTGCATTTTTTTATCCGCCTCTAAGCGCCTTCCCCCCTCTAAACTCCTGTCCTCTCGCTCAGCCCCCGTGCCTTTGCTCAGCCCCTGTCCCCTTGCTCAGCCCTGTCCCCCTTCCTCTGTCCCTTTCCTCAGCCCCTGTCCCCCTTCCACAGGACCTATCCCCTTCCTGAGTCCCTGTCCCCATCTCAGCTCCTGTCCCACCCGACTCAGCTCCTGACCCCATTCCTCAGCCCCATAACATCCCCACTACAGCTCATCTACCCCAATTGCAACCTATATCACCCACAGCACACCTTTCCCAAATTTTAGCCATCAACCTACTTCAGCCCCTATCCCCCCACTACATTTCAACCCCCCAATTACAGCTCATAACCCCCACTACAAACCCTAGTGTGTCAGTATGTTTCTGTGTGGGTGTGTCAGTATGTCCGTGTGTGTGTATCAGTATGTCTGTCTTTGTGTGTGTCAGTATCTCTGTCTATGTGTGTGCAAGTATGTCTCGGTGTGTGTGCCAGTTTGTCTGTGTGTGTGTCATCCAGTATGGCTGTGTGTGTCAGTATGTCTATCTGTATGAGTAAGTATGCCTGTAACAGTGTGTCTGTCTGTGTGTGTGTGTGTCTGTCCATGAGTGTGTGCGTGTGCCTGTCAGTGATTGTGTGTTTGTTAGTGTGTGTCAAATCAGCAAGCGAGTGTGTGCCTGTCAGTGAGTGTGTCTGTTTAGGTGACTCCACTCCCCCCCCCGCCCCTCACCTCCACCTTTTAACCACATGGAAAATGTGTTTTTACTCTCCTTTTTTTGCAATGGGCCACTTGACTGGATTTGCCCCCTTCCCCCAGGCCTAAGGATGCCAGCCCTCCCCTGCCCATAGGATTGTCTGAGACTTTTAAGGAGGAAGATCAGGGGCAGATCCAACTCAATTCAAACACAGCTCTGGCCAATTAGCATCTCCTCATAGAGATGTATTGAATCAACGTATCTCTATGAGGAAAGTTCATTGTCTGCATGCAGAGTGCAGAGACAGTGAATGGCAGTGCTGCACACTAGGCAGCACTTCCCCAAGGAAGCACCTCTAGCAGCAATCTGAGTGGCCAATGGAGTTATCCCTAGGCTGTAATGTAAACACTGTATTTTCTCTGAAAAGACAGTGTTTACTGCAAAAAGTCTGAAGGGAATGATTATACTCACCAGAACAAATACAATAAGCTGCAGTTGTTCTGGTGACTATAGTGTGCCTTTAATAAAACCTTGTGTGATATGAGATAGGATACATAGTAAAAGGCAAACTAAGAACCCAGCATTTATTACAGGATCATGATTCATCCTCACAGGAAGGAAATTATAACGTTAAATAAAATTATCCTCTGGAAAATTAGCATGTTTGAAAGGTAAGCGAAACACTCAGCAATTGGGCACATTGGCATACAAGAGACAACAAACAGGAAAAGGAAAACAGGAAATCAGGCCTGATTAAAACTTGGAGGAAAATCTGAATGATATAACCCATGGTACTTATTGGCAAGCACGAAACAGCCTGCATCTAAAGCTGCCCTTATACCTAAATTACAACAACCAATACAATAGCAAACACAGCAAAACTGTTACAAATTCATTAAAAAATAAGGACCAAGGAAAATAAAAATATTTTAATCTAACAATATTCCTTTATTGTCTTTGATAAGTTATTAACAATAGATCTTAATATTAGATTAAGATAATTTGGCAAGTGAAACAGCATACAATGCTTTTAAGCTAGTCTATATATGGTGTGTGTGTGTGTATGTTGTTTTATTTGCTCATAATACAAACCCATCCACTTTAGTTCCATAGTTTCAGTAAATAATTTTTTAAATTTTTATTGTTTTAACTGTAGCCTATGATTAAGAACCCTGAGTTGGAAAATATATGTTCTTTCCTTGAAACCCACTGTTCCACCAAAGGAATTTCCATGTTGAAATAATGCTATGGCGTTTGGCACTATTCTATGTGATTATTGTCATAATTGGAAGTCAACTAATTTAATCCTTTGTTGGAGGAGATGATGAACAGCCATTCCCAACTGCCTAGCGCCATGAAGAAATGTAAAACAGAGAAGATTACGAGGATTTTTTTTGTCTTTTATAGTCCGCCTGGATGGTAATTTATGTAATTTTGGAAGCCAACAAGTTCCACGTCACTTATTATGATGTTAAGGGTAGTACCAGTAACAGCATGTATTTACACCAAAGCACATCTTAAAGGGACACCGTAGGCACTGTATCTGCTTCATCTCATTAAGCTGGTTATAGTGTATGGAGTCCCCGGTGCCATGATTTCTTTCAGCATTAAACAGTTTTTAATGTTGTAATGTTTTAATGCTAAACAAGAGACCACGGTAGTCCATCCCATCTGTGCTGCTTTGGCTAATAAGGAAGTATTAGCCTGAGCAGAAATGGGCAGCTGTGATTGCCTGAGAGTGTCAGCTGACTGCTTTTAACCTGTCAGAGCTCCTACTGACGGTATGAATGGTTATGACAACAAGGAAGTGTGTAATCTCTGCCTTAGCTACACATACAGAAGGGGCCGGACTGTGGGTGGCCAGGGACTCTTATTTTGTGGCATACTGCACAAACATAGTGCAACACTGAATGGAGGGACAGTGCCAGGGCACTCCAGGCACTATAACCAGTTCAAAGAGACAAAGTGGTTATAGTGACTACAGTGTCCCTTTAATGCATGTGATGAGTTAGCCATTAACAACTATAGCAGGCCTGTACCACCTTACCTTCTCCTGGTTCTTCTGCTCAGTGTACAGGGGAGATATGAACACCCGACTGGTAGGACCTGCAGGTGCTATTAGATGAAGGCTTTGAGCTATTGATACAGAGGAAGGAAGCCACCCTAATGAAATTATGGGGTCTCCATTTCTACACCCACTCACAAACGTTTTAAAAAATTTGGGACTTTTTTTTACAGAAAAGCAAACTTGTAGCCGAATAGGTATTTATCTTTAATACTAGCTCTGCAACTACCACTGGGAAATAAATAATCATCTGGACTACTGAAAGAAAGTCAAACAAATCACAGGTTTAGCTCTATTGTATTGGTTAGTGGTTGTCAACAGAACAGAACAGTAAATTAACCGGTCCAATGTTCACCTTCATAAACATGATTGTAATAGCCCCATTAATGTTACAGTGGGTTTACGAGGGACCATGGAACTTGGGAGAAAACTGAATTTCAATGGGTCGATGGGAGGATCCACTGATACAGAGTGCCAGAAGTTGCCTACACAGTGGACAAGTGCCACAAGGCAATATGGAGTCAGTGGCAAGAAATGCGATTGTTGTGTGAACAAGGTGGACATAATTCAAGGTATTTTTCCAATCCAATAAAAATATTTGCATCACAGCTCCCACCATTCAAAGAACTTGCTCAACATCTTGCAATAATATTTTAGAAAATAAATATTGTTGAGCATCACCTGCAAATCTCAATTTGGACTTTGGAAAATTCTGCATGGGCACAGAAACTTGAGAAATCATGTTTCCCCAACGATCCCAGAGTTCCACATCCAAACGAGAACAGACAGGCAGTGTATTTCAGATTTCATTCTGCATTTTTGCAGATACCCGTAACAATGGACGTTGTTTTAAACACATCTATTTTTAAACGACAGTGTTGTGATCCAGAAAAACTAGTGATTAGAAATCAGCCAGAGACTGCAGTTTTCACCTAGTGGTTCTCATTTGCATGCCTCCGGTTCTTATCTGAAAATTGAAATCTTTCTGAACGCATATAGCTAAGTGCCAAAAAGATTGTGGTGAGGCCAAACAACTCCCTAAAATTCAATAAGAAAAAAATATTGTTGTGTAATTTACTCATACACATCTGACTACTCAATAGCTGTCCTTGGTAATAACTCATTCTCTTCTTGATCGCTGGACTCTCTGCCTCTCACTATCTTTATCACTGTAGAAGATAAATTCTAAGTTCACTGGCCTAGTGTCACGGCTGCTAGTGTGGTCCAACACGTAGAAACTATGTAAACATATACATACAAAAGGAAAGGAAATAAAAGGACAGAGCGTAAACCGGACTTTAGAATGGCTGGGCTAATACGCTAGAGATAGAGAATGGTCAAAGGGAAAGCCGAGGTCAAAGAAGCCAGAAATACTCAGATACCATTTAAACAAGCCAAGTCATGGGAACCAGAATTCGGAATAACCAGGGAAAAGCCAAGATCAGGATACCAGGAAGTAATATTAACAAAGATAAACGTATTCTACCGAACCAGGAACAGGAAACCACGACAGGGCAAGGTACTGGGGTGAATTAGGGATTTAAATATCCCTCTCTAGGCTCCGATTGGTCAGAGAGTAACCTCTGACCCCAGAACGTGCACGTGCGTTGACGTTGTGACGTCACGCGCACGTTCGTATAATTTTGGAAGGGTGGCGCCATGGATGGACGCGACCTCTTGGTCGGCACCATCTTGGATTTCCCTGAGCGGCGTGGAGGAACGGTTCCCGGCTCGCCAATGTGCAGGTAAGCTCAGTGAGTTGGTGCGGTCGTGCCGGTCGGGCACGGACGCACATGGCGGCGAGCCGGGGGTCGTGACACCTAGTATGTGGCTACTTATGTTTACCATAGGCTAACTCTTGCCTCTTATGTCTAATCCTCAATTAACAGTTGTCTCATCTTGCATACCCTGTAAAGCTCTAATCTTCTACAGTTGACAAAGATATAACCATAACACAATTTTCTATGCTACCTTTGTGTTCCTAAACCCAGTCCCAATGTAGCCTTATTCTGGTCCATGTCTGTACTTATTCACCTATGCCTCCTATTACCTCCATACTTCTGTGTGTCTCTCTTTGACTTCCTACTAGACTTGTGTCTAGAAAAGTTTTGGTTCTTCTGAGGCAGTTCTGTAGAAACAAACATTTCACGGCAACAGAGTTTAATTCACGTTGGTGTTCGTTTCTGCAGAATTTTGGTAATGAGAAATATTCAGGAAGGCCATTTAAACAGCCAGAACAGCATGAAAAAAATGGGACTATATAACAACTGGCATGCAAAAATGACTACAATGTTGTCTGGCCTAATGGTTACACAATATGAGATGTTTTCGCAATGCCAATTCCGAATTTCCAAAATTAGATTATATGTATCTGGATTTACAATAAACAAATAAATATATAAATAGGACGTCAGGGAATGATTGATGGTAATCGTTTTCCTTTAGCTATCTTGTATTAAGAAAAATGGGGAGCACAAATAATTTTAAGTTCAAAATAGGGGATTTATTGACCACAGGCTCGGACTGGCCATCTGGCATACAATCCGAGCCCTGCTGGGTGCCTTCATGGGCCGGTGGCGAGATCAAAGATTTCCCTCACCGGCCCTAAGGCAATGAAAGGCGGCCGCCGGCTGGGGAGGAAGGGAGACAGGAAAGGACCTGGGGAGCTTGGCGGTTACCATGGCAATGCTCCGATCTCGCAAAAGTGATCCCAAGCCCACAGGCAAGAGTTCACTCTCACGGCTAGGACCACCAGGGATGGCTGCACGGTCCCCCCTCCCAGGCAAAATGTAAGAAAATGCTTGTGCTGCACAGAACAAATACAGGGCCTTATTCTCATGCTACAGCTCTTCAGCAAAGCTCTGAGCTGCGCATGGTCTGCCCTGGAAGTGCATTGAACCAACATGCTTACTTTGAGAGGGGGCATGCTTGCCATTGGTGATGACAAAACACCCCCCCTGGCCCCGCCCCCTTCTCAGTGGGCCACTGTGACTAAAAAATGCCTGGGATGAATTTTTTTTCCCAGTCCGGCCCTGTTTGACCACTTCAACCTTGACAAGAACATGTTTGTGGCTATTCTTCAGTGTGGGTAAAAAAAAAGTGCCATATCAGCTTCTCCCAATCACGTCTGAGGAGGTAGCAAGCACTGTTAGCCAGGTAGTGTAAAACCACTACAATGAAAGGCAGCAACAGCATACAACTACAACAGCAGCAGGATAAATATAATTGTAATTAATTTATTTTAGAATTTTAGAAACAATTTGAAGGGTCTATTGACCAATTGGATCTAAGCTCACAGATGATAAAGCATCAAATATTACTGAAGAGCCGGGTAACCCAAGTTTGGGAGACTGAAGTTGAATAAGGCACAGCCCAGTGGGGAGTCAATGCCAATGGATGGGTGGAAAGGCTATGGATTACATCTTGTGTTTCTGTTGCAAAATGGGTTAGTGCTTGGTGGATTTAATGCTGTAACATTATCGAGTTTGACATTTAACAGCACAGTCCCCTAATTAAGGATTTTCAATCTCCAAACAGTTAGCAAATAAACAACAACCTTTAATTGTATGCTGGTAAGCTAGATCTTTTTTGGATCAATGACCCAGGTTATGCAAAAGGACCCCCCCAAACAGTTAACAAAACATAAATAACTTTTACCAACTGTATAGGCCAGCTAGTGTTGCACTAGGGCTAGCTAAAATATTTTTTTTCTTCCGGACATAACAGGCCTTTCAAGATAGAATTTTCTTTTCTTCAAACAGTTAAAGGACCACTATAGTGCCAGGAAAACGTACTTGTTTTCCTGGCACTATAGTGCCCTGAGGGTGCCCCCACCCTCAGGGACCCCCTCCCGCCGGGTTGGATGGAGAGGAAGGGGTTAAACTTACCTCTTTCTCCAGCGCCGGGCGGGGAGCTCTCCTCCTCTTCGGCTAAATGCGCATGCGCAGCAGGAGCTACGCGCGCATTCAGTCAGTCTCATAGGAAAGCATTCATAATGCTTTCCTATGGACGCTTGCGTCTTCTAACTGTGATTTTCACAGTGAGAAGCACACAAACGCCTCTAGCGGCTGTCAATGAGACAGCCACTAGAAGCTTTAGAGCCTGGATTAACCCATTTATAAACATAGCAGTTTCTCTGAAACTGCTATGTTTATTAAAAAAATGGTTAACCCTAGCTGGACCTGGCACCCAGACCACTTCATTAAGCCGAAGTGGTCTGGGTGCCTAGAGTGGTCCTTTAACAAAAAGAAAACCATAAACTATTAACAACTGTATATTGGTAATATAGACTCACACTAGGATGAATGACAAAATGTCTGCCAAGTGACACTCTCCTATCTCCCACTCAAAGTGTTCTCTAGTGCTCCTGGCACTACTCGCTGCTAGATACAGCATTAAGCTAAGACTAGTCTGAATGCAGAATCAACAATGACTCAGGCTATCTCCCCCGCCGAACCAATGTAGCCTGCTTGGAAGTATTGTTTGTTTTTTTATTGTGCCTCCCTATTTTTTAGAGAGCTATAGGTCACTCCACTTGATCTGTAAATAAAATTAACATTTATAGGCTAACCATCAATTATCTTTATTTTGCTACCTCTCGATTGGACAGGATATACAGGCCACATGATTGGTCAGACCCTTTGATCCATCATGGCAAACTAAGCAGTTTATTTTCCCCAACCTTTTTTTTTTTTATTTCTGAAACCGAGCATGTTCAGGCTCATGTGAGTTGGTCTCCCTGAGATTCTGACATGTGGCTGTTCAGAAATCAAAAAATCTTCTGATCACCCAATTGACCTGATTTCAGCAGAATTACAGTTTGTTCAAAACGAAGTCTACTCCACACCCCTGTGTTTCTGTTTATCAGTGCACACCCATATGTATTTGCCTGTGTCCTCTACCTATTTCTCATCACTCTATAGACATAGGTGTGGCTTTGCTACTTCAAGCCAGATTATTCTGTGATATTTTGGCATGGTTTATGGAGGGGCGAATGTTTTATTTCATATAGTCACCTTCCTATTACAAAAAACATGACTAAAACAGAACAAAGAATATGCCAGTGCTAAAAGAAGCACAGCCAGGCCTCCTGCAAAAATGCAATGCCACATTACATCCAAGACTATGTGGGGTGAGTTGCAGTAGTGTAATTACTAGGAAAACGAACGGTGTGGCGGCCCAGGTGAAAAAATTGGGCAGACACCCATAAAATAGTAAAGAAAGTGCCAGAAGGCGGCCTGTCACAGGGAGCCCAGGAGGTAGCTGGCTGGCCACCTTAGGGTCCACCGAAGTGGGAGCTTAAGGCAGATTAGGTACCTGCTTACCTAGATGGCAGGGGCCTACTCTGCCAGAATATACTGGGGAGAGAGGAGGCAGGAGGCTGGCAGTGGGAGGGAGCGCTGATGTTCTTTCAGTTCCTCACTGCTCCCTGGCTCAACCTGCTTGATGTAGAGAGACGGAATATGATGTCACTCCGGTCACGGCACAACTAAACAGAGCAAGGGAGCAGTGCGGAACTGGAAGATTACAAGAGTCACTGGACCCCAGGAATAAGTTCCACACCCAATCCTAGGAAGAATATCCCAACTGGACCCCAGGGAGTAAGTACGCATTGGACCACAGGGAGTAAATCCGCACTGCACCACAGGGAATAAATCCCCACTGGGCCACAGGGAGTAAATCCCAACTAAACCCCAAGGAGAAGATCCCCACTGGACTCCAGGGAGAAGCAAACCACTGGACCCCAGGGATAGGATCCACACTGGACTTCAGGGAGAATTACACCACTGCTTTCGTATAAAAACAGTACATACAAACATACAATTGTTTTCAAATGCCAACACTACACTCAAATATATATATATATATATATATATATATATATATATACACATTCGAACACAAAACATGCTTAAAAGTTTTCACCAGATATGTTTTTCTTTTACATTAAGAAGTGTTTATTCATAAAAAATATAATGCTCTTTATCAAAAACGATGATATTAGGTACATGGGATGAATAAGCAATATTGGCAAATTATACCAAAATGTACTTCGAACATCCAATAGGAACAGAACCCTCTGGAGGTAGAGTGATGATGAGAAACGGGAAAGACCAGATACAGCCTGAGGAAATAAAGACAAAGGGGATTAGTTGCAGCAAATGCTTTGAATAAACAGGAGGATGTCACCAAGAGAAGGGACAATGGGAAAGCAGGCTAGATTTTCAACTAAAATGTATAATGAAGGGAAGACATTCATTGGTACTAAAATGTTTCCCCCCTTGTATATACACTAGAGATTAAGGCAGTGTGCAGGTAACTTGTTTGGTTTCTCTTATTTCTATATTGGGCAGAAAACTGTAGCTCTTGCAGCCTCCTGAGAGTGATGGGAGTTTATGCTCAGGGCTAACGCATATTTTAACATACAATGAAGACAGCAGACAACAGTGTGACTGAATACATAACACTTAACCTATAGTGACAGCAGGGGAATGAAGAGGTCAGCAAGGACAAGAGACATTACAATTTTAACTGTTGTGGAAACACGTGTTTGTTTAGGTCTGCAGTGGTATTCTAAAGCGGAATGCCATACTTCTGTATTAACATACCAGTAATGGACATTATTCAGTGTTTGAGTCTTGTCAGCTGACCACTGGATGGACAGACCTGCGTTAGATAATTATGTAAATAAAAAATGCTCTGGTTATAGTTACATGAGATCAGTATATGCTTGGTAAGGAGTCCTGGTGATCTGGAAGGATTTGGTTGACACCGAAAGTCCAGTTTCTTTTTCACATCCTCAACTAAACTGCCATCACAACCACAATAAAGATATATAGACATCACACTAGCACTCCATGTCAGTCACGATTAGACACAGCGGTTACTGCTGTCTAGCATATATAATGGATGTTTCCTCATACAAGCTATATGAAGTGCACGCAGATCACAAACTGTGCATTGTCTTTAGAAATTACTTGGAATGTTTACACAAACCATAAGGTCACAACCATGAAGCATCTTGTAGGACGATAAAAAAAAATAACAAAATCACCACATATAAATTAAAGAATAAATCATTGAGGTCCCTTTAGAAAGCAGGTGATATCAGGGTGTCATCAATGAAAGGGGTTGCTACCTTGATAGTAATGCAATTTATGCTCAGACTGAGCATATAGGTAAAGTATATGGGTGACTGTGTTACCTACAGACAGTTGTCTTATCGTGCCATTTCAAATCATAGCAATTTGTAATAACACATCAGTGACCATTCACCATTATAATGAGGTTATAATAAACACTAAACGTGAGGCATATCCAGAGACAAAGATTGTCCGTCAGCCATCACTTGACTAATGGAGCAGACCTCTTCTCACGCGATGTACAAAAGATGTCCCTGTCATTTGTGGTATCTTCTGCACACCTTCTCTTTCGTATCACATGAGCGAGAGGGTACCAAGGGTTGTGACTCCATTTGCCAGATTCTAAAGATGGAGCAGAAACATGTCAAGGAATGGTAGATACAAATACGTAGTATATCTCCTTTCTCCATCTTCCTCCTGGGTGCCACCAGGCAAGCTGACATGCCACCTTGCAAAGCCAAGTAAATGCAAAATCTCCATAAAAAGTGACAACAAATAGAAGACTTTAGTTAGACTAGAAATGATACCTTTGTTAACTCTAGAATAAAAAAAATTAAAATAAAATAAGTGTTATAGGGCAGTGATCACTTTTAGATCAGACTGTGAACATGGGTTCCATGCCACTCTCCTTGCAGGGTGACTGTCAGTTGATGCTCCAGTCAATTAATGCAATCCAAATTTGCAGATAGCAGCAGAAGCCTTCTTGCACCATAACCACTACAATGGGCTGAAGTGGAGCAGAGGTATCATCTCTGGAAAATCAACTCAAGAATTCCTGCATTAATGTTTCCTTTAAACTCTTATTTTCAAACTGTTCTATTCCATCTCCCTCCCTATACTATCACTACTTAATTGGTAACTATATCTCCCATCCTGATCTTCTGTTTTTGTTTTTCTTAAGGCTGGTATGATCATGTCATTTTATGTTCATTCTCTTAGACTCTTTGTTAATTATTTGTTTAGCTAGTGTTACTACTCTCACTGATAATCTAGTAAATTTATGTTCATGGTTTATGACTTTCACCTATCTGATCCTTCCTATCTTTTTACCAAATGTTCTCTCCTTTTAGTTTTTCATCTCTAATTAATTACCTCAATAGCCCCATGTCTCCCCACCCATAACAGTGTGTTTTATTTCGTTTTTTTTTTTCTAACCTCAGACCTTATATTTCAGACTGGGCCCCTTAAAACAGCATTAACACTCAGCACTCCCAAGCAACCAAGTCCTGCTGAATCTTCAGAGCAGAGGTATCATCTCTGGAAGATTGCCCACCCACCCCTCCCCACAACATCCCACCCCATGGTCATCAACTCATTTATAGATAGTGCACATCAGCAGATTTCCATAACACACCAATCAAGTCATTAAACCAATCCTCACCTGAATTCATTTAACACACTGCATCCTTACAATGGTTTAAACACTCATTGATATTTGTGTGTGTTTGTATATATGATCTACATATCTATATAATACACATTTTCTCTAATGTTCTCCCTTCTATTTTTCACTTTAACACTAACTTCTGTCATTACTAAAATATCCCTATCCTTTCACTCACCTGTCCCTGGCAACACCATCATCATTACTTCCACCTTACTCCCCTCCCCTCTCTATTCATCCCATGCACTCTACACATACCTTTCCAGCCTATCTCCACCGACTCTTTCCAAATCCTCTACATACATACCCTCCTACAAAACTTTCAAATCCTACTCCCACCTTCACTTCCTTTCTATCCTTCTGCTCCTAGCAGCTGGTGATGTCTCTCCAAACCCCGGTCCCCTCTCAACAAACTCAGCACATACTAACCCAAGGATCCACACTAATCTCATACCCATCTCTTGTTCCTCTAAATCCTCCTTCAAAACTGCCCTCTGGAACGCACGCTCTGTTTGCAATACAACTTAATCCACTGCTGTCCATGACTACTTCATCTCTCGTTCAATAGATTTACTAGCCTTAACAGAAACCTGGCTCTCCCCCTCTGACACTGCCACCCCTGCATCCTTGTCCTTCGGTGGTCTCCAACTTACCCACAACCCAAGAAACTCTGAATGTAAAGGTGGTGGTGTTGGGTTTCTCCTCTCCCCTCACTGCTCTTTTAAACCTCTTCCCACCCCCCCTTCCCTCTCTTTCCCGTCATTTGAAATACACTCAATTCGCCTTTTCAAACCCTTCGCTGCTAACATTGCTGTTATTTACCGTCCCCCTGGTTCCCCTCTTCTCGTCCTTGACCACTTTGCTGCCTGGCTACCCTATTTCCTCTCTTCTAATATCCCATCCCTAATTCTCGGGGACTTCAATATTCCTATAAACCCACCTTTGACCTCTGCAGCCAATAAACTACTTTCAATTACTTCCTCCCTCGGGCTATCACACTGGGCAAATTCTCCCACTCATGTAGCTGGCAATACCCATGACCTAATCTTCACTTATGCATGTACTGTATCTAATATCTGCAACACTCCGTATCCACTCTCTGATCACCACCTCTTATCGTTTGCTCTCACGTACCCTCACTCAACAACCTCCGCCTAACCACCCTCAACTCAGGAGGGACCTTAATTCTCTTGATCTCCAACAGTTGTCAGCTGACATTGATTCACAACTGCTGTCCATCCCTTCCTTCTCCTGTCCTTCACTGGCCATCTCCATATATAACTCTACTCTTACATCTGCCTTGAACACTGCAGCGCCACTCCAAACAAGCACCTCAAGGAGGACCCGCCGCCAACCATGGCATACTAGATCAACGCGCTACCTGCAAAGATGCTCCCGTTGTGCTGAACGCTCCTGGAGGAAGTCTCGCACCCAGTCAGACTTTCTCCACTATAGATTCATATTGTGTTCATACAGTGCAGTCCTTGCTCTTGCCAAACAGTCCTATTTTTCCTCTCTCATTAGTTCATGTTCCCGCAACCCCAGGCGTCTCTTTGACACCTTTAATTCTCTTCTTCGCCCCGCTGTGGCCACCCCCCAAACCAACCTTACTGCTGATAACTTTGCATGTTACTTCACTGACAAAATTGAACAGCTAAGGAAAGAATTCTCCCCTCCTTGCCTTTCTGTTTCTCAATCACACATAGATCATGCCTTTCCTACCCTTCAGACATTCTCCCCAGCCACTGACCAAGAGGTGGCTGCTCTTCTTTGCTCCTCTCGCCCCACCACTTGCCCCCTCGATCCTGTCCCATCTCACCTTATCAGATCTCTCTCCACTTGTCTCGTGCCTTCTCTAACACACATCTTCAACTGCTCGCTCTCTTCTGGCATCGTCCCTGCTGACCTTAAACATGCCACTGTAGTACTTATACTAAAAAAAACATCCCTCGACCCGTCCACCCCCTCTAACTACCGTCCCATATCCCTGCTCCCTTTTTCCTCAAAGCTTCTGGAAAGACTTGTCTTTACCCGTGTGTCTCATTTCCTCGATTCCAACTCTCTCCTTTACCCCCTTCAATCTGGCTTCCGCCCTCTCCACTCTACAGAGACTGCCCTTATCAAAGTTACTAACGACCTAATCGCAGCTAAATCCAAAGGCCACTACTCCATACTAATTCTTCTTGACCTCTCAGCGGCCTTTGACACCGTTGATCATGCTCTCTTTCTTCAAACTCTGCAATCGCTTGGTCTCTGTGACTCTGTCCTCTCATGGTTTTCCTCTTATCTCTCCCAACGCTCATTCAGTATCTCTTTTTCTAATGATACCTCCTCCCCTCGCCCTGTCTCGGTTGGAGTTCCCCAAGGCTCCGTCCTTGGTCCCCTTCTATTTTCTCTTTATACTGCCTCTCTTGGCAAACTTATTACCTCATTTGGATTCCACTACCACCTGTACGCTGATGACACCCAGCTATATCTCTCCTCCCCAGACCTCTCCCCTGCTGTCCTGCAACGTGTCACTGCTTGCCTTTCTTCCATCTCTGAATGGATGTCCTCCCGCTTTCTGAAACTCAATCTCTCAAAAACTGAGCTCCTTGTCTTTCCTCCTCCTAATACTGATCCTCCTCTTTCGCTCTCCCTTCAAGTTTGTGGTACCAACATCAGCCCATCCTTGCAAGCGCGCTGTCTTGGCGTCATACTTGACTCTGGTCTCACCTTTGAGCCTCACATCCAGCATGTTGCCAAATCCTGTAGATTCCATCTTAAAAACATAGCCCGCATCCGCCCCTTTCTTGCACCAGATACTACCAAGGAGCTTGTCCATGCTCTAATAATTTCCCGCATGGATTATTGTAACCCTCTCCTGCTTGGTCTTCCCAAAAGCCGTACTGCACCCCTACAGTCTGTAATGAATGCTGCTGCTAGACTGATTTTCCTCTCTAGTCGGTTCTCTCACACCTCACCCCTCTGCCAGTCCTTACATTGGCTTCCTGTGTGCTATAGGAGTCAATTCAAGGCACTAACTCACACCTATAAAGCACTGAACAACTCTAGCCCCTCTTATATCTCCTCACAGATCCATAGGTATGTCCCTTCTCGGTCTCTCCGCTCTGCCCGTGACCACCTCCTGTCCGTTGTCCGCACCCGTACGGCCAACTCGCGCTTGCAGGACTTCTCGCGGGCGGCTCCCTTCCTATGGAATAGCCTGCCTCCCGCCATCAGACTCTCCCCTAGTCTTGCATCTTTTAAGAAGTGCCTTAAAACCCATCTCTTTAGGAAAGCTTATGGCCTCCAAGACTAACCCCTACCTCACATACCTGTCTCTTGCCCTCTCCTAAAGGGCAGCCCACCTTATTTGATTGCAAATTCCTGTCCTACTGTGTTTTACACCCCACCTCCTATAGAATGTAAGCTCGATTGAGCAGGGTCCTCTTCAACCTATTGTTCCTGTAAGTTTATTTGTAATTGTCCTATTTATAGTTAAATCCCCTCTCATAATATTGTAAAGCGCTACGGAATCTGTTGGCGCTATATAAATGGCAATAATAAATAAATAAGTGTGTACAGTACTCTGCGGGCCTTTAATATGATTAAGTATTTTTCAGCCTAATTTGCTATGTTGCTAGTTTATGAGGGAGATATTACCAGGCTGATCACTAAGCAGTAAAGATTTATGGCAGACTGCTTTTCTAAACTCCTACATTGTTCTTAAGTAAGCAGTGCTGTTTACATTGTTGCAACATTGTTTCTCTGAATGTGCTTTTGTTGAACACCCCCAGAGTTTCAGCCCTGCTCTAGCTAACTGGTTTAGCATTCCTATTTAACGCTCCAAGTACAGTACTTTTTTCTCACTGGTTACCAGATTTTGACCAAAATGTGTACCCTCATTCGACATTTTGGCCAAATCGCTTCATCCAGAAAATAAAATTGTGTTAGTTGATTCATTATTCGTCCATGTAGCATTTTGGTTTGGACTAATTTTGTCCGTGTAGTAGTTTTGATAAAACGGATTTGGATGAACCAAACAGCACAAAAACTGGCCAATCAATGTACTACAAAATAAATACAATGTAAATATTATGTATATATTTTTAGTATACAATTATTGGGTGTTGCATTCAGCTCTTTAAATCTCTGTGGCTGAACTCAGGTCCAGTCACTGTCCCGTTGATGTACATTTTTTATGTCGCAGGGTCCCCCGATAAAGGAAGAACCTGAAGGGTATGAGAAGACACCGACTGGGTTTCTATGCAAGACCCCTGCATCGCGATTACCAGCTGCAGAGGGTGATCAGCACTTGGCTATGTAGGCTTCATGACACTGATCTGTGTGCGGGATTGCGGCTATGGTCACCAAAAAAACCCTCATTAAGTGCAAGGTTTAGCACCCCAAAATCTGTTCAATATGCAGGAGCTCAAGCTTAGCATGTCTGCTCTGTTTGGAAGACAAACTCCACCCCTCTACTACTTGTATTTTGTGACTTGTAACTTTAGAAAATATACAGAAATCTTGGACATATGAGGTACCCTGTAAATAATTTATTTTGAATTACTTAAAGGGTTACTCCAAGCACCAGGACCACTTCATTGATTTTAAGTGGTTATGGTGCCTGGCTATGTATGTGCAGCCTTTCATTTTACATACAGAGATTAACCCCCTAGCTGCTATAGGTGTAACTCCACCTGCAGCAGCATGATTTACCAGCCTGTAGCAAGAGTTCCCTGCTGACTGTTGGCAATTTTATGCAAAATTGGCATCTGATGCCAGCATATACAACATGCTAAAGCCACACAGCCAATCGTGGCATGCTACCCTCCTCCCTGTGCTGCCCCTGTCTTCTCCTCAGTCCACCCACAATAAACCTTCTTGCCCTCTGGCAAGTGGGAGTTATGTCGACCAGGGAGGATCAGACTGCAGGAGTTGGTGATAGAACAAAGGTAAGTGTTGGTGTTTACTTTATAATTTTTTAAGTTTGCCAGCTCACAAATGGTTACTCTAACCAAAATTAATGTTTTATGAAAAGGCTGTTTTTTGGTTGAAGTAACCAGTTAAGCCGTGTTAATGATGTACATATTATTATTGCCAAAACTGTGAAACATGGAAATTGAGGTTGAACACACACATAGCAAAAATGCCAAAATTGAGTCCTTAAGTACAAAACAAGTGAAGAGATGCCAATTAAGGGATAATAGACATGAAGCCAAATATACCTACTGTAGGCATAGTGGAGATGAGAAAAGTCACAACAAGTGTCAAACCCTTCATAAATTATTTGCATATTACTGTTGAATAGCGCTTCATACCATACAGAGCTGGATTAACCATTACGCAGCCTAGGCATAGTGGGTCCCTAACTGGATGCCCTCCTTAAGCCAGCAGGGAGATCAGAAAGTTACATAGTTACATAGCTGAAAAGAGACTTGCGTCCATCAAGTTCAGTTCTCCTTGCAGGGCCCTGTGTCACTCACCTGCCCCAGGGAGCATCGTGGGCTGCACTAATATCAGGTGCAGACCACTTTAAGAGCTCCCTCGTGGGCCCCCCAGTGCTTATCGATAACTTAAAGTCATTAACTAAGTGGCAGTCTGTGAGGGATTTTAATGAAGACAGAGCGTTGTGGTCTTCACCAATATTGGGGCATACCACAATGCTTTCCCACTGGACCACCAGGGAAAGTTCTCCATTGGATCACAGGGGGAAAGTGCAAGGGACACTATAGGCACCCAGAACAATTAAAGTGGTCTGGGTGCAGTGCCCCTGTCCCCTTAACCCTGCCATGTAAAATATTGCAGTTTCAGAGAAACTAAAACGTTTACATTGCAGGGTTAAGTCCACTACTAGTGTGTCATTCAGACATCCACTAGAGGCGTTTCCTGTGCTCTAACAAAGTTTTAATCCATAAATTAATGTTTGATATCCTCATGCTTTGCTCAAGCTTCAAATTCCCTATAGGAAAGCATTGATTCAATGATGCAAATCACAAACCATGCCTTTCTGTTTTCACCTAGAATTATTATAAGTTTACTTGACAACTAGAAAGGACTTGGTATAGATTTCCAACATGGTCCTTAACATTGGAGTCCTGTGAATCGAGACATCGGCAGGTGAGGTTAAAGGTTCAAAACAAGGCCAGAATGAGGGCAGATCCATTTGAAGAACTGGCAGGTCAGCCCGGCGTAAATCATCCAGGCCGGCCCACTAAGAGGGGACAATGCAGAGATCCTCTTTGGGGACTATTCCCTATATTGAAAATATGGAATACTAGGGAACAAACCCAGGATAGAGGGAGAGAATAACTAGTCTAACAAGAAAAATCCAAGAATGCTAGTGGCATTGTCCGGACTTTTGATATAAAGTATTATGATGTAGTCTAGTTATAACTGATAAAATGCTGTCAACCTGTTTCTATGTAACAGGCTATTGTGCAGGTACAGTAGTCTGCTGTATAATTATGTTCTGCATGACAATGGGAAGCTACTGTAGATGCATTCCTCCCAAGACTGGGTGGCATGAATGGAGACATGGGGTGAAAGAACCCTGCAGACTGATACCATGTAAATACTCCGGCCATCCACAGTGGAGGTGCTCTGTGTCAGGCGGACATCGCATGATCCACCAGTAAAGTCATACCAAGCGGACTGATAGTCTCCATGGCCTGCTCCTCTCAAGAACTTTCTTCATGGTCCCTCCTAATTCTCTCAATGCAGTGATGTGCTTGTATTGCGCTTGCTGTGGAGGGTTTTCTAATGTCTCTGGCTGTCAAACACCAAGGAACAAAAAACAGCATGGAAAAACAGAAACCCAATCTCGGGATTGCTGGGAGGTAATAGGTCTGCAACTGTATAGATCACGGAACTACACCGTGTATTGCAATAATCACATTTCCATGCATTAGCAGTACATTATGGGTTAACTCACTCAGCACAAAATCATACATGTCAATCACTAAAGTAAAATGATCCCGTTATTAAAAGTGAACTTAAAATTTAAGGCTAAAATAGCCAAGATATAAAATACTCAAATTCAGCTCTGCTTCCAGTTTGACTACAGTTTATAATTTTGAAATTTGCTTTGAATGCCATACTATTTTCACGTTAGTGAGAATGTTTTGAAAACTCAATAGCAAAATGTTGGCAACAGCAGCAGATTTGGGGGAAAAAATCCAACTTATCTATAATTACATCTTAGTAACGTTACCCCAAAATTTGCAATTCGGTTTTCATTTTCCTAATACACATAATACATGAGGGATTGTGTCACCTTTTATATGTAGTATTACCATATAATATAGTTTGAATTGTCATCCCCCACCCCTTACCTCCCCCCAATTCATCATCAGACAATGTTAATTTATCATCAGACAATGTTAATTCATCATCAGACAATGTTAATTCATCATCAGACAATGTCTGAAACTCACAGATTAACCTTACTCTCTGATCAGACAAATCCTTTATTCTATTCAAATTTACTAAACTACAATTAAATATTTGCTTTTAGGCTGTTTATAGTTGTCAAAAGAATCTTAGTCTTAGATTCAAATACAATATCCGCACCTTTGTTGACTGGTCAAAGAAGCAGTCTCTAAACAGTCTATTCACACAGAGGAGTTCAATGTGATTACTGGAGACACTTAGACACCTATAGTGCAAAAGTGCATCTGAGAAAGCATTATGCAATAATTCATTCTGATTTTTTTTTTCTTTCATAAAGGCAGATGCACACAAAAAATGGAAAATCTCTCGCAAACCCTCCAAGCACCATAACCACTACAGTCTAGGAGTGCCTTGGTGTCCTACAAAGTTCCAGTTTCAGGATAAAAGGACATGTGAGTTTTGAGGGTTTTCTTTTTAATTTTTCACACCTCACAAACAGATAATTGTTACTTAGAGAGATAAGTAAATATAATTTCTAAAATCCTTGAAAGTGACAGCTCCCTTTTAAGGCAGCATCAGTTCTTGGTCTGTCCTTCACTAGAGTAGAAAATGTTTTAGTATGTTGACTCTGCATACGGTCAGTGTATAAACGTGGCAACCTATTTCCCACAAAGATTGTGTCCATATGTATGTTGTGGCTAATGATTTTTACTTGGAAACTATGAAATGACCATACAAAAGGACAAGACTGTAGTGTAGATTGGAAGGTCAGTGGATTCAAACAAGCATTTCAGGATCAGCATTAGTGGAATGCCCAAGGGTCAGAGAGGATGGCAGTAAGGAACAAGGCTAAATTGCATGATGGTCGGTAAATGAGGAATCAATCAGGAACAAGGACGGGCCATATTCCTTGTTAAAAAAATGATTGGTTGATGTCTTCTTAGTGTAATTTTTTATCAGGTTTTACAGTGTCACATGACTGCGCATAAGTATTCTCACAGATGCAGCTGCCTAAGGTAATAATTCCTGCATGAAGCAAAAAAAAAATAAAAAACCACACCTCTACTATTACACTTATATTATAACAATTATAGAGAGTTCTGATGTTTTAGGGAAACTATAGGCACCCAGACCATACCATCTCAATGTAAAATCCAGCACAAAGCCATGACATTTCCATAGACAAACATTGGCAGAGCTCAGTAATTTTTAATGTGGCAATGGATCCCACCTTTGCCACAAACCAGTTTGCAAAATTTCGGCACTACTAGATCTGACCTGACTAAGTGCTATTATTGTTAAATGGAAAGCAATCATTTATGGTTAGAACAGTGGTAATGTCTTTGAACTGGAAAACCCAGGCTAAGACCTTCTCACCAGTAAGTTTCCCTGAGCAAGATACCAAACAAAATATATAAACCCTCATAGAGCATGGCCTTCGTCAAATATCCACTCCCTAGAATTGTAAAGTGCTACATAAATTCTACGTCTACTAATAAAGGGGCAACAACAGCCCAGCACAAACTCTCAGACCACGAACACTGAGAGTTGGGGGTTTCAAGTGCTAAAGTGTGTAGTGCATTACTCATGTTTCTTTCAATGCCAAGTGTTGGCCAGTGTAGTGTACAGTACTCTGGAGCAGTGGGAATTTGTACATGCTTCACTATGAAGAATCTGGGTATAGCAGGTGACTGGAGAATGCTACCTACCAGAAAGCATGGTGTCTACTGTAACGATTGGCAGAGGAGGGTATTTTTAGGCCCCTTAGTTCCAGTGTAATCTTAATGCTACAGGATACATAGATAGTTGGGTGCTTTTAACTTTGTGGAAACAATTTATGGAAGGCCCTCTCCTGTTCCAGCATGATTGTGCCTAAAGTGAGGTCCATAAAGACATGGATTGACAAGAATGGTGTAGAGGAACTTGAGTGGCCTGCATGAAGTGCTATCCTTAATCCACTGAAAACCTTTGGGAGAAAGTGAAATGCCAGCTGTGATCCAGACCTTTTCTTGTAACAATAGTGCCTCAGCTCACAAATGCTCTATTGGGTAGATAGGCATTAATTCCCACAAACACAATCCAAAATCTTGTGGCAATCATTCCCTGAAGAGTGGTGGCTGTAATAGCCACAAAGGGTGGCCCGTATCCATATTAACGGCCATGGTTTTGGAATAGGATGCTCAGCAGGCTCATATAGGTTTGATGGTCAGGTGTCCACATACCTTTGGCCATTTGGGGAATGTATTTGTGAGGTGTGAAAAAATTCACACTTTATCCTAAAAATGGATGCCTCGACATTAGCTCCTTGAGAATAATTGTTAGAAGATCTGTCCTTTGCATCATGCAGCTAGCAAAGATAATTGTTTTTTTAATTAAATGTTTTATTCAAGAGGCATTATGCCTTTTAATAATAATATATAATACTCTACAGGTACTCTGTTGTGAATATGCAGGTACTCTGCTGTGAAATAAGACTTGTCAAGCTATTATACCAATATATACCAGCATTTTATTTATTTTTACAAGGACATGCAATATAATGATACTAACATATTATTATTGACAAAAATTTAAAAAGTCAATGTGAGTGCTCTTAAAAATATAATAATACAGATTAATAAGGACTAGGCATGCAATGCAGTGTAATTATACTATATGAAATCACATTATGAATGTATATAGAGTTGTTTATAAACAGTTGAAGTGTTAGTATTTCCTGTGTATATATAACTCCACGTGCGGAGTCCCCTTGCCTGACATAATTTATGTTTAATGCCATTTCGTAAAGCCTCCAACCTTTCTCAGAAGCTGCACTTACTACTGGAAATCTCCCTCTTAATAGCAGTTTCCCTTTGAACTTTCTTTAAAAATCTGCTGAAATGTCCCAACATGACCCCAAGCCATTAAAGGATGACTGCGGTCAGAGTGCCCCTTATTACACAGGCTTGCAGGCAAACCTTAACAAAATAAACAAAATTAATATTTACAGCAAGCACATTTATCACTACAGACCAGCTATGAATTAATCATCAGTAACAAGAAGAAAAAAAAACAATTTATATATGTTAAGTGAAAAGGCAGGTCCTATGTAAAGAAAAGACACAGTCAGGATTATTGACTAAACTGAGAATGGAATTCAAGGTGAATTTCAAATTTAAGGCCAAAGTAGCCGTACTGGAAGTATGGATGACTTGGAGAATTCTTTCTACTTCGACTACTGATACCTTAAAGTTGAAATTCACTGTCAATTCTAGATAATGGGCATTTTTATTAATAACCCTATTAAACTGAGTTTTGTGAATATTGCAAATTGTACTACAAAATAGTCAAATTATATATATTTTTCAGCTCACTGAGTTATTATTCCAGTTGGGCTATTTTAACCTATAATTTGCATTTCACTGGTCTGCTCCTGACACTCCCTGGTTTATCCAATAACCGTGTTTGAGTTACTGTAACATGTGTCATGTTTAAAGAAAAAAGATCATGGACTATTTTCTAATTACATTTCATTACTCTTTTCCAATTCCCTTTGACTTATCAGGCTCACTAAAACTCACATTGCTCAATCAAAGTAGGAATAAGGTTGCCCCAGGGCTCTAGATAGGATGCCAGAATGAGGCCTTCAAGAGCCTGTTCTGAGCATGGTGGCTGAGTGTTGTAAGTGTGTGGAGGAGACCGAGCGCTGTATGTTGGGGAGGAGGGTAAGTGTGCCTGTATGTGTTGGTTGAGTGTTGTGCGTGTTCATTTTGTGTGTGGAGGAGTCTATGCATTATGTGTGTGTGCACATGGGTGTGTAGGAGAGTTTGGGTTTAGCTGTTTTGTTGGTGTGTGTAGTGCATGTTAGAGGGGAAAGTGCTCTTTTGCCCACTCCTGCTTATCTTTTGCAAGGAGTGAGGTGTTCTGACTGGATCATTGGTGGATTAGTGGAGGGTGAGCTGGGGAGCAGGATTCCTGGTGGTCCAGTGGGGGAGAGTTGTGGCCTCAATATTGTGTGAAGATTACTTGAAGAGTTACCTTGCGGTTTTACTGCTCTGTGAATGAGTTATTGAGAAGTGCCGGTAGGCCGCAAAGTAGCTCAGGCAGATCTTTTGCTGGTTCAATGAAGGACTCTTCATAGCTAGCATCAAAGCTCCAGGCCCAGACAGGGGCCCACTGGGCCAAAGTCACCCTACGCGAAATCTGGCTCTGTGCTCAGTTATAATCTGCAACAAATACTGCTACCCAGTTTATCTTTCTTACCTACTCCTCCTCTCAAACCTCAACCCTCTGCCTTTCCTTACATTGGAACCCTATGCCCTTCAAGATCCAATTAAAATTACTGACAGTAAAATATAAACCCTCAGTAATTCCACCACTCGTTACGTTTCCACTCTAAATCCCTTTCTTCCTCACTCTTCTCTGCATCCAACCTTCCCCTGTTCTCTGTTAGCATCCATTTTTCTAAAACTTACCTACAGGCCTTTTTGGGGCAGCAAGAGTTACATTGCCCTGAAAGATTGTCCTTTAGAGCGCAGTTTTTAAATTCTTGTCTTTAGAATTAGGCTTGCAGGACTTCTTGCAGGTGGGTCCCTTCCTGTGGACTAGCCTGCCTACCACAATCAGACTCTCCCCTAGTCTTCAATCGTTTAAGAAGTGCCTTAAAACCCATCTCTTTAGGAAAGATTATGGCCTTCCAGTGTAACCTCTACCTTACATACCTGTCTCTTGCTCTCTCCTAAAGTACAGCATTGTACTCTCTCCTCCAGCTCTGCTTCACTCACACCATATTTGATTGATATTTCCTGTCCTAATGTGTTTTATACCCCGCCTCCAAATACTGTAAGCTCATTTGAGCAGGCTACTCTTCAACCTATCGTTCCTGTAAGTTTTCTTGTAATTGTCCTATTTATATAATATACATCCATCAGCTAACCACTGAGAGCTTCTGGTAGGGAGGAGGTGTGGAGTGGGCCTGTAGGACCCCAGGTAAAGGTCAAACTGTTAATAAACAGATTGACTTTTGACATTGGGGGTCATGATGGTACTCATGGGCACCATAACCACTACAGAATGCTGCATTGGTTATGGTGCTTGGGTGTTCCTTTAATAATGCTTCCACAGTTTATTTCACTCCTGCTTTTCAACTCTACAGCTCTTGAACTCACTTACTTTTTTGTATCACAAGACTAAATAGGTAACTGATATCTCTGGCAAACTCCCCTCCCCTCAGACACATTGTTCTTCCTTTTGATTTCTTTCCCCCCAACTTCCTCGTAGATTGTTTGCTTGTTTGAGCAGGACACGCATCAACTGCTGTTTCTGTTTATTTAATATGTCTGTCAATGAATTGCTGTTTTGTATCACCATTGTAAATTCCAGAGTGCGATGAAATATAATATAATAAATATATAAATAAGTAAATAATAAAATATAAGAACTACAAGTTAAAGGCTGAATGGGATGGATGCAGGTTCCTTTTCAGCCTACGCAACTATGTTTCATATCTGGTTAATTCCTTGCACTCTGCAACAAACATATAAACAAAGCAAACACGAAGATTTACTGCTGCATTTGGGCACACCAACTTCAGCAAGTAGGCTTGTCTACTATGATAAGGCACCCCAGATGGAATGAGGCCTAGTCAAACATTCTATGTTTCCAAGAAGGACAGAGTGCAGCAGAAACCATTTTTACATAACAATGCTGCAAAGTCAGTTCAAGTGAGAGTCTGTGATAAATTCAACAAAGACAAAAGGGGCATTACCAAAACCAATAAACAAAGTGAACAAATACATGGGTAGATATCCCAGACAGGATGGGACTTTCACAATTTAAAGGACCACTATAGGCACCCAGACCACTTCAGCTTAATGAAGTGGTCTGGGTGCCAGGTCCAGCTAGGGTTAACCCTTTTTTCTAGGGTTAATCCAGCCTCCAGTGGCTGTCTCTTGACAGCTGCTAGAGGCGCTTGCGTGCTTCTCACTGTGATTTTCACAGTGAGAAGACGCCAGCGTCCATAGGAAAGCATTGTTAATGCTTTCCTATGGACTGGTTGAATGCGCGCGGCTCTTGCCGGTGACGGAAGAAGAGGGAGGAGAGGAGGAGGAGAGCTACCCGCCCGGCGCTGGAGAAAGAGGTAAGTTTAACCCCTTCCTCCCCGTAGAGCCTGGCGGCAGGGGGTCCCTGAGGGTGGGGGCACCCTCAGGGCACTATAGTGCCAGGAAAACGAGTATGTTTTCCTGGCACTATAGTGGTCCTTTAAGACCTGTGTTCCACCAAACTGGGTTAATCTTTTAATGTACCATTATTATTAGTATTCATGATCAGGTTCAAAATTTGTTGTACTGTGTGCTAGGCACATTACAAGATGGCTGCCTTGTTGGTATAAGATGGCTGCCTGGTTGGTACAATATGCATCAGCATTGGCATGCAAGATTACTGGTCATAACTCTTTCACAAGTCAGTCCTTATTCTGGATTGTGACTTGGGCAAGTTGGATGTTGTGCAAAAATGAGGATTGACTCTTCGGCTTTTTACCTTTTCACAGCCAGAGCAAGAGCTCTTCACTCCTGATGTTACATTAATATAGCATTATGCATGTTTCAAATCAAGACAAAATACCCTAATTGCCTTATTAGTATATGTTAATAGCCTTCATGTTAAAAAGCAACATGTGTAGTATATATTTAGGTCAATATAGCATAACGTGACAATAACCCTCCCATATTTAATCATCTCAACACTGCTTCTGTCACAGGAGCAGGCTCGCAAAGGCAGGTTTAACTTGCAAATCTGTACAGATCTGTTTGTGCTGAGCCTCGGGGTTTTAGAAACCTGTAATTGCCAGGGTGAGAAAAAAAAAAACATGCATGAGCTCACATGTCACAGTTACAAAACACAATGAAGCTTTTGTAGACTACGATGAAAGGGTTAACTCAACCCCAACTCCAGAGGTGTCAAATTGTCTGCAACAGAAAAATCTGCATCTTTATATATGCTTTTGTGCATTCCTTAATTTCCTTCAGGCCATGGCTGTCCAACTCTGGCCCTCCAGGTCTCCCATACATTTTAAAAATAAATCAAAGAATTATGTGATTTTCAGTACCTCTTACAGCAGACGTCAGAAAATCATGCTTAGATAATCTGAGCAGTGAACTCTTCTTTGTGATGTCATCAGAATCTGTCCAAAATTGGTCCTAGTGGATCCATTTGGCCAAAGTGACACCTAAATTTTTCCACCCTACCCAGAGTGAATTGCTGCCCTAGGGCTAAAATACCACCCCACCCCTTTATGCATTACCACAAGTTGGGGGTGGGGGGTTACACAAGGGAGGGCAGCAATTTCTCCTTGGACCCTGGCAGCAAAATATCTTGGGTTGTCCCAAAATGTCACTTACTGCTAAGTATAATGTGGTGTATTGTAAAGCATAGAAAGGTATGCTGGTGTTATCTAAATAATAGTATTCTAGCTAGTGAACACAAAGTCAGGCCATGTTCACAGAAGATGCTTGTAAATATTCATTCATGTGGAACAATTATCTTATTTTCCTTTACTCTTCCTCTTATTCTCTCCTGCAAATTTTGAGTAGGCTGTCTTAATTCCTCTTAAATCCGTAATGGTAAATAGCAGCTGAAATCACACTAAGAGGTCATGATTTGCCTGAAATGTATTAACCACTGCTCAATGTTTCAGTTATATAAGAAATGAAGAGATTGATAGATGTGTCTTCTAAAAAAGTTGGATAGGTGCTCCAGAACAGTCCAATATGCCTATTTCTATGCTGAAACCATCTATAAACTGTAGCTGAAAATATAACAAAAATGACACTTTATATTCCTAAAGGTCATTAGAATTACTTAAAGGAACACTATAGTCACCAAAACAACTTTAGCTTAATGAAGCAGTTTTGGTGTATGGATCATGCCCCTGCAGTCTTACAGCTCAATTTTTTTGCCATTTGGGAGTTAAATCACTTTGTTTATAAACCCTAGTCACACCTCCCTGCATGTGACTTGCAAAGCCTTCCTAAACACTTCCTGTAAAGAGTCATCTAATGTTTATCCTTGCTTTATTGCAAGTTCTGTTTAACTTAGATTTTCGTATCCCCTGTTATGTTAATAGCTTGCTAGACCCTGCAAGAGCCTCCTTATGCAATTAACGTTCAATTTACAGAGCAAGAGATAAAATAGTTTAAGATAAATTACATCTGATGGAAAGTGAAAGCATTTATTTATTTAGTTTTTGTGCAGGCTGTGTCAATCAGACTTTGCTTTGGTGGAAGACATCGAGTTTGATTTGAAGAGCCCGTTTACTACTGTTACTTTGTAAGTGTATCCAATAAAGCTACCTTCTTAATACTATCCAGTTATACACTATGGTCTGTCTTTGTGCTTTGTTTTCTTTTATGGTATGTTTTTTTATTTTACAGTCTGCACTATTGGTCTCCCTTTGTACTTTTTAGGTTGTGCTTTTTAGTGTGTCAATCAGAGCCAGGGGAGGTGTGGCAAGGGCTGCATAAACAGAAACAAAGTGTTTTAACATATAAAAGGCAGAGAATTGATCAGTGAAACCTGAGAGGCATGATCTATACACTGACACTGCTTCGTTAAGCTAAAGTTGTTTAGGTGACTATAGTGTTCCTTTAATGTTTGAATTATATAAAATAGACAGATTGATAGAGACAGAGACACAAATAGACAAGCAGACCGATATATAGGGATATAGGGTGATAGATTTCGAGATAGACAGCTTGATAGATTTATACTGCTAAATTGTAAGTTCTTTTTTTATTTTTTCTCTCTGTCAATATAACTTTGTATGCCAATTTCATGTCAAATATTCCCATTCTGTAATTGTAAAGTGTTGCAGAAAATGTTGATGCTATATAAATCCTAATAATAATTATATACTGAGAGACCGACAGGTAAGCTGGCAGCCAGGTAGGCAGGGAGGTATACAGGCGGGGAGACTGATAGAATGTCAGACAGGCAGATCCACTAGGACGCCTTATGGGCTGGCTTTTTGCACTGCTTTTACTTTTTGTATATACAGCCAGATAGGCTGATACAAAGACAGACAGATAGAAGGATAGACAGAACACAGCTAGATTAACAGATAGGCAGACAGTCTGATGGAAAAACAGACAGGCATATATATTGATATACAGTTGTAGTGGCATTCTATATGACATTAAATGGCACACCCAGCTAGATTAATTTGTACAGTAAAAGGCTCCTTCTTACTTTCTCAATAACTTGCTGTGGTCAAAGTAGATTGCAAAAAACATTAAGCTGATGGTATGAAAAGATATAGAGAATAAATGGCAAACTGCATCTTAAAATGTTCAGACCGTACTTTTTATTCAGTATTTTGGTGTGCAAATGATGTCCAGTAGAACTTACATCAAAATCCATTTTTAAAAAGATCAGTGATGCAAACAGGGATTTCTTTCATTGCTCACTATGTTTAAAGGATCACTCTAATTACCAGAAACAGTACAAGCCAATGTTCAAAAGAACCATGATGTGCTTATTCAGACACCCAAGAAGTTACTCGAGATAGCAAAACTTGGATGGTTAGGTGCTCCAGAAGCAATACCTCTAGCATATATTGAAACTGCAGGTGCACATCCTGGTTGGATCGGTTGCTGAGATAACATAAATGAGTTATATACATCTTGGTAATAATATAATTAGTGTGTCAGAACACACTTGTAAAATTAATTAACATTAAAAATATCTTTCATCATATCTGTATAAATAAATATATGCCTCTGCTCTGTACGCAGATCTCCATGTGCTACAAAATACTTGCAGACCACACCCCCCTCAAAAATTCTAGACTGGCACTCTGCTGGGCAGAGGACCTGGAAAGCGAGATTACCCCAAACCAAAGGGAATTCATGATAAATGCCCCTAAAAACCTGGTTAAATAGGCCATGCTCATTGAGCAGAACCAAAAAATTAAGTACCGCTGGTACATGGTGCCATCTAAAATCCACCAAATCTATCCACAGGCATCCCGCTTGTGCTGGAGATGTCTACAAAAAGAGGGAGACATGTTACACGTGTGGTGGCAATGCACACCAATCACAAACCTCTGGAGGAAGGTACATAAACTACTCCTAGAGGTAACAAACCAAGTGTGGCCCCTACTGCCTATAACGTTTCCACTTCTGTATTTGCCAGGCCCTGTTCCCAAGCATACAAAAAAAAACCTCATATTAAATGTCTTACTGTCAGCACAGAGGCTGATAGCAAGAGTATGGAAAACACAAATAACCCCAACGATATCAGCACTAAAGAAAGAGTTAGACAAACAATGCATATATGAACAGGGCTTGAGAAGCATCTGACCACCGTCCAAACTTCTGCTTGAAACTTAGAACATGTGGACCACATAGAGATCGAACGTGTCTGTATCTTGCTCGTGTATTAAATGAGAATAGATATATAGCCTAAATGTATATGCAAATTGTTGACAATTTTGTACCACCTAATATCTGGCCGTTTTCTCGCACCCAATCCGGGTATACGAGAGTGATGCCGAATGGCTTCCTGGTATATAGAATGTGAAAAAAGGTCTCCTGTACTATTGTAAACTATTACCTGCAAAAATGCCTTGTGATGCTTACGTGTATGATTCTGTGCAACTGAAGTGCACTTTTACCCCCCCTTCTGTTTCTGTACCCCTTCCTATGTCTTATTGTAAATTAAAAAAAAACTTAAATATTAAATGAATATATATATATATATATATATATATATATATATATATATAGGTAGAAAATTGTGAAAAGCACTCCAGGGACTTCATATAAGATGAAAAAAAAACAAGTTAGCTTTATTCAGCAACTGCCAAAAGTGATCAACGTTTCAGCTCACACATGGAGCTTTCGTCAGGATACTGAATAAAGCTAAGTTGTTTTTTTTTTCACCTTATATGAAGTCCCTGGAGTGCTTTTCACAATTTTCTACCTATTACTAATGCCGACAAGCACCGGGCTCAGTGGCGTACATACCAGGGTCGCAGGGGTCGCGGCTGCGACCGGGCCCGACCCACCAGGGGGCCCGGCCGCCCCTGCGACCCGGTATGTAGCCACAGGGCCAGCCTCTTCCCCTGAGGGGCCCAGGAGCCGGCCACCCCAGGGCCCCCCGAGGCTGGCCCTGCTAACCCGGGCGGGTGGGTGGCCGGTCGGGCAGGCGGGCACGCGAGGGAGCACTCAGTGCTTCCTCTTTAGCTCCCTCGCGCACCGATACCGGAGCCGGAAGATGACGTCATCTTCCGGCGCCGACATCCCTACGCGGCGCGCGAGGGAGCTGAAGAGGAAGCACTGAGTGCTCCCTTGCGCGCTCGCCTGCCCGACCGGCCACCCGCCCAGGAGCCCAGCAGCACCACTGGACCTCAGGGAATCCCCCCCAGCACTCCAAAAGGTAAGGAGGCTGGGGGGATTACATTTAAAAAAAAAATGTGTGTTTGTGTGTTAGTATATGTGTGTTAGTGTGTGTATTTGTGTGTGTGTTAGTGTATGTTAGTGTTAGTGTGTGTGTGTGTTAGTGTATGTTAGTGTTAGTGTGTGTGTGTTTGTGTGTTAGTGTGTGTTAATGTATGTGTGTATGTGTGTGTTAGTTTGTGTGTGTTAGTGTATGTGTTTGTGTGTTAGTGTATGTGTGTGTTAGTGTATGTTAGTGTTAGTGTGTGTGTGTGTATGTGTGTGTTAGTGTATGTGTGTATTAGTGTATGTGTGTTAGTGTGTGTGTGTTAGTGTGTGTGTGTTAGTGTATGTGTGTGTTAGTGTATGTGTGTTGGTGTATGTGTGTTGGTGTGTGTGTGTTTGTGTGTTAGTGTATGTGTGTTAGTGTGTGTGTGTTAGTGTATGTGTGTGGTAGTGTATGTGTGTGGTAGTGTGTGTGTGTTAGTGTGTGTGTGTGTTTGTGTGTGTGTTTGTGTGTTAGTGTATGTGTGTTAGTGTATGTGTGTGGTAGTGTATGTGCGTGGTAGTGTATGTGTGTGGTAGTGTGTGTGTGTGTGTGTTTGTGTGTGTGTGTGTTTGTGTGTGTGTGTGTGTGTGTGTTTGTGTGTTAGTGTGTGTGTTAGTGTTTGTTTGTGTGAGTGTGTGTCAGTGAGTGTGTCTGTTATTGGGTGTGTGTCTGCTAGTGAGTGTGTTACTGCGTGTGTCTGTTACTGTGTGTGTTTGATGTCTGTTAGTGAGTGTGTGTTTGTCAGTGAAAGTGTATGTTTTGTAAGTGAGTGTGTATGTATGTCAGTAAATGTGTGTGTCTGTTAGCTAGCATGTATGCGTCAGTTCGTGAGAATGTGTGTGTGTGTCTTCAGCATTTACCTTTTTCCAGCGTCGGACTCCCTTGGCGCTGGGGATCCCTCTGCCTCTCAGCTCCGAATGCACATGCGCGGCAAAAGGCGCGCGTGCGCATTTAAACCGCCCATAGGAAAGCATTACTCAATGCTTTCCTATGGACGTTCAGTGTCTTCTCACTGTGATTTTCACAGTGAGAATCGCGGAAGCTCCTCTCGCAACTGTCAATGAGACAGCCACCAGAGGCTGGATTAACCCTCAGTGAAACATAGCCGTTTCTCTGAAACTGCTATGTTTTCAGCTGCAGGGTTAAAACTAGAGGGACCTGGCACCCAGACCACTTCATTGAGCTGATGTGATCTGGGTGTCTGTAGTGGTCCTTTAAGTGTGTGTGCATACCGCGGTCGCGGATCAATTTTCGCACCGGGGCCCCATGGGTCATGTGTACGCCCCTGACCGGGCTATATACATTATTATACAGGAGTGCAAGCATTGGACAATATTATATATATATATATATATATATATATCTTTCATGATGAAATCTTGTTATACCATTATTATTTAACATTTTAGAAAATAGAAAATGAATGTTTTTATTAGAAATGTTAATGTTACCATACCCTATTCATAATAGCGTTGGGCTTTGGGGTTGAGGTTGCTAGTGGCAAAATTTTGAGCAATACTGAATCAAGGAAACATTGTCCGAATGGGTCTAGCAATCCTTCAAACCACCATGAACACCTTTGCTAGACTGATTTTTGCTCCCTGCTCTGCCATTGCCTCTATAGTTCTTCTAGAATGAAAAATAAAAAAAACCTGACCCAAGTCATCATAACCCTTACTAAGACTCATCTTCTCTTTTATCACTTTCTCACACGTGTTTACTGCAGGACTTTCCCTATGCTGCACCAAACCTCTGAAATTCCTTACCTGATCTGTTTTATACACATCTCTTAAATCCCACCATTTCCAAAAAGAATACTTTCTACCTATTTAATAATCCGGCACATTGATTCCCAAAGTGATCAAATCCCTCATCCGTCATGCCCTTAGCCTTTGAAAAAAAATCTAAGTGGTTATGGTGCCTGGAGTGTGTGGGCGTGTGTTCCCACATAACTACTAAACAGTTACTCACCTGTAGAAAGATTACATAGCCTGAAGTCCGGCCTCAAATGACGGTATGTCAGAGATCTGCTTCCACCTCGTGCCACACCAATTCATACCATGGACGCTTCCAAGCTATCACTGCCCGCTACTCCTGGAATGGCATGAATCGTAATCATCATTTATTCAGAACCATAAAATTATTCAAATTGGTTTTTTTCACATCAACTTGAACGCTATACCCCATAATGACAAAGCTAAAAAAAATATTTTTGACACCACTGAAAATATATTAAACAGAAACATGAGATTCACCCTTAACTCAATGCTTAGTTGAAGCACATTACAGTCACAAGACGTTTTGTTTATAATACGACAAAGTTTTGGACACCTGGATTTGGGTAGTTTCTGCTATTTATCTCTGCAGATCCTCTCAAGCTCTATCAGGTTGGAGGGGCACTGTCAGTGTACGGCCATTTTCAGTCTCTCCAGAGCTGTTCAACTGGGTTCCAGTTCGGGCTCTGGCTGGCTGGGCGTCTCAAGGATATTGACAGAGTTGATCCTAGGGCATTCTTGCATTGCCTTGGCTGTGGGCTTATTTTCATTAGGGTGCATGATTGTGTACATTGTGTTATTAGAGTCACTGTTCTTTTGAAGGGTAACCTTTGGGCAAGTCTGACACCCGGAATGCTCTGGACAGCTCTTATGACATTTAGTTAAAGTGGTTATGGTTCCTGGAGTTTGTATGTGCAGTGCTTTGCTATGAGAAATGGGATTCATCGGAGCTAAATTTCACATTATAGCAAATGGTCTATCTAGTAATGTCAATGTTTTATTTCAGAATTTTCTGTAGATTAGAGTGGAAAAAACATGAACTTAATTGTAGCATAAGGCTGCAACATAAAAATGTGAAAAAACAAACAAACAAAGGGGTCTGAATATTTTTGGAATGTTCTATATATGCTGTATCTGATCTCTTGAGGCTTTCTCCAGAATGGAACATATTTTTTAAGATGTTCCCCATTATGAAATGGTTTATATCTAAGCATTGTTAGACTGTGCTGTAAAAACTGTCAGAAGTAAATTACTTAATTTACTTATAAATCTCCACTGTACACTGCTGTGAAAGTTTTCTAACTTCATTGGAGGGTTCTGCATTATAATTCCCAGATTTTACTATTAACATGACGTAAAGTCATGATTTTATTAATGACACGGAGGCGAGTATTATGCTATCTCTTTCTTACTTTATTCCTCAGCAGCAAAGAGAAATATAAAACTGAAAGAGAAAAATGTAGATATGCAATAATAATAATAACAGGTACAACCAGATCTGCCTAGTAACAGGGCAGCCAATCAGTCTCTAGGAACAGTCCATAAATCTCTATCCTTGTACTTCCACTTCCTCTTCTTTGCCTTCCGAACCGAAGACCCAAAGCAAAATATCCAAGCAGTAACTAAGAAACGTCAAACCGGTAGACATCAACAGACCGGAATCAAGCTGTAAAACAAAGAAATATGTGGTAAACTCCAAACTTAGGAACTGAGTGCAACATATCGAATATACGTGACCTGCAAATAGAGAGCATCATACTCAAATCCATGTACATATGTCACACTCTACAACACCATATACTCAATACAAGTAACACATGTGCACTTACCGTGAGATAAGACGAACCCCCCGATTGAACCCTAAGCGAAAAACCAGACCCCGACCCACGGGAGGGTGGGTGGGAATAATACTCGCCTCCGTGTCATTAATAAAATCATGACTTTACGTCATGTTAATAGTAAAATCTGGGAATTTTATTAATGACACGGAGGCTCCTATTATGCTAGTTTAAAGCTGAGCCACAACCAATGAAGAAACATGTTCAATCGGGCAGAAGTAAAAATCACGGAACGTAGATTCCTTAGACCAATCTGCCGCTTTCAAGATATCGTCCAGGCGACATCCTATCGTAGAAGCCTTTGATGCCATGGCACCCCTAACTGAATGAGCCGAAAAAACCGAAGTATCGATACCCGCAGCAGAAAGGAGATCTTTAACCCAGCGGGTAAGCGTCGGCGACGAGACCGGTAGAAACGGTGCTTTCAAGGAAATAAAGAGTGGAGGCAAGTCAGTTGACCTCAGCAGCCGGGTACGATCCAAATAAACCTGGAGACAAGCCACAGGACACAAAGCAGGTCTGATGGAGCATCTAGGGTAGTCCACCGTCTTGGAAGCCGACTTAGTCCTCCTCGAGATATTAAACGACACACCTCCGGGGGTGAACGAGACCGCGTTCCAGTCCAGAGCCCTGACGTCCGACACCCTCTTACACGAAAGTAGACACAGGAGCATGACCAGTTTCCATGATAACTGCTTGAGTGTCAAGTCCTCATAGCCAACAAGTACTGTCTCTTTAAATCTGATATAGGAGCAGAGCAAAATCTGTAAAGGCTTAAATAAAACTAACAGATGACAGAAACATAAACCTATACAGGAGAAAAAAGGGGGTTGAGTAACCCACCAGAACAAACTACATATACAATACTTGCAACAGTATGGGAGGGAGAAGGGAGCCGACCCAGCCGCGTGGAGAAACGAGGGGAAGATGGCCGCCGCGTGCAGAGCGCGCCGCGGCCGTTTCCAGGCTCCTCCCCCGCTAGTGAACGGGGAGCGCGACCACACACGCGGCCGGCACTCCCTCGCACCAGCGGGAGATCGGGTCGGCCGATAAGTGCGGCCGCACATGCGGCCGCGAGGGAAAGGGAGCCGGGGAGCACAGGGCTCCAGAGAGAAACCTCCCCTGCTAGCCGCGAACCCTGTCTGAAAGGGGAACGGTCAGACAGACAGGGGGAGCGGCGGCAAACGCAGGGGAGGTAAATAGGGAACCAAAGGAGGCACCCAAGTATAAAAGCACATAAGGCTTGCCAAAAAGGCACATAAAAGCCAGCAAACAAACAGACAATTGATAATATAAGACAACACAGTTAATAAAAAACCTTAGCAAAAGCCATCAATCAAAACAATGTAGGAGAGAAAAATTATACTTAGCTGGTCTGAGGACAGCAGCAAAGAAAGAGGAAGTGGAAGTACAAGGATAGAGATTTATGGACTGTTCCTAGAGACTGATTGGCTGCCCTGTTACTAGGCAGATCTGGTTGTACCTGTTATTATTATTATTGCATATCTACATTTTTCTCTTTCAGTTTTATATTTCTCTTTGCTGCTGAGGAATAAAGTAAGAAAGAGATAGCATAATAGGAGCCTCCGTGTCATTAATAAAATCCTTTCAACCAGAGCAATAAATGCCAATGTACATTCTCAGGAAAGTTGCTACTGTTACAGAATGGAAGAAATGACTCCCACAATGTAGGCTTGGCCCTGATCCTAAGTTACAAGAGTATAAGAAGTTTGAACGAACTTGCAGATCTACAAGTGTCCCATAGAATTGAGATCCCTCTAGTTTTCATATAAGTACAAAGGACAAAAAATTTGGACAGGGAAATATTGTAACATAAAAATAGAATATATTTATTAATTTATTTAGGCAATGTTTAAAGGGACACTATAGTCACCAGTGCAACTACATGTATTCCTGACCCTATAGTGTTAACACGACCATCTAGCCCCCCTGGGCACCTCATGCCTCCATAAATATAGTAAAAATCTTATGTATTCAAGCCAGAAGCTGTAAATCTGCATGCTGTTAGACTCAGGAAAAACAAGCAGTCTGCTGACATGTGGTAGCCTGATCCAATCACAGTGCTTCCCCATAGGATTGGCTGAGACTGACAGGGAGGCAGATCAGGGGCAGAGCCAGCATGATTCAAACACAGCGCTGGCCAATCAGCATCTCCTCACAGAGATTAATTGAATCAATGAATCTCTATGAGGAAAGTTCAGTGTCTGCATGCAGTGGGAGGAGATACTGAATCACAGGATGCTCGTGCACAGCAGATCTGAGTGAATGGAGGCATTCAACTCAGAGGTCCCTCTGGTTCACTCTGAGTGACTGCAACTGGAGGTGTTCCTAGCTTTCAATGTAAACACTGTATTTTCTCAGAAAATACAGTGTTTACATGAGAAAGGCTGCAGGGAGCTATAGTTCTCCTGAACAAGCTCATTAAGCTGAAGTTGTTCAGGTGACTATAGTGTCCCTTTAACCAAGAAGAGTACATTGAAATTTCTATTGTTTTCCAGCATGTCCTGGTATGTGTAAACCATACAATAAACACTACAATAAAATAAAAGTAAACTCTATTTTTATCTGCTGCATTGAAGTATGGATTCCAAGTGCAAATTGGGCCAAGGGCTGTTTTTATTATTATTTATTTATGCTGCACCAACATATTCAACAGAAACGTATAATAGCTTGACAACCACCCAATGAATATTACATAAAATAAAAATAGAGCTTATGGTCCTATAAATTTGGTGTTAGGAGCAGTCAGTACTGCTATTTTTAAAATGCAAGATCATGTATGGAAAAAAATATTTCATCACATCGGAGTTTGTTCTTTTATAGTTTTCTAGGCCCAATTAATTCTAGCTTTAGTCACATGACACACAAAAGGAGTATAATTTCTATTGCATTGTCATTATCTTTGTTTGGCATTTTAAGCGGCTGAGTGCATGTTAGGAGAAAAGCACTTTAAATTTTTTTTATAAATTGTGTAGACTAACTTAGGGAAAATAACACATATTGTAAAAAAAAAAAAAAAAGCATTCTATGGAATAGGAAACTATGAGATCATTAATAAAAAAAATCCATAAAACACAATTAATTTCCAGGCTCTATAAAACCTAAAAATGATCATTCATGGCTCATAAATGCCTACTAGAGTATGAAAAGTCTGCATTTTAAAATGTATTCCAAAAGTCTGACCAGTTTCTTGCAGTCTAGATTCCTTTGTCATTAATGTAACAAAGTAGATATTTGAAAAGCATATTAAAGGACAGTCCAGATCTCTAAAGCCCTTTAGCTTGCTAAAAAGCTGTTTGTGTGAAAAGTGTGTCCCCTTTTTTCATATTGCAAAAAGTGCATTTTTCAATAAAAATTGACACTTTTATAAATTAACCTGGTTACACCCCACTAGCTGTCAATCATACAACAGGTGGTGGTACTTCCTGGTTGTCTAGCTCAGTGGAACTAAACTCAAGAGGCAGCAATTGTCCAGAGCACATGCTGTGTAAAGAATTCTCATTGAGCTGCATTGTAAAGTCTGTGATTGGACAGCCACAGAAAGCCTGTGCAAGGTTAGAAGGGAAGCGTTTGTAAAGGCTGCAGACAAGAGAACTGCAGGTTTTACAAGCGGTTTTTAGATATATCCCCAATGAAAAAAATGCATAATTAAATGCATGTAAGTTTTCGCTAAACATTGATTTTATTTATTTTGTATTTAGACAGTGGAGTGCTCCTTTAAATCAAAGTGGATTATTCATATTGCTGTCATTTTACACTTATCCCAATGCACTACTTCTTTTTTAAACTTTCCTATATGTGGATAACACCCAAAAATCATCTCTTTCCTGGTCTTTGTAATGTTTCATATTTCACGCTATCAACTTCCTCACAGATGTTCCACTACTATCTAAAACACATATCTCTAGAATGAAACAAATTAGCTTCCCTCCTCTCCGCATCCACCTCTTTACCAAACTGTCAATCACAATGTAACAGTGTTACTTTCTACACCTCTGCTTCCTCCACCTAAGACATTAAGCTCAATCTATTAATTTTGTACGAACAAATCAACCTTAATTCCCTCCCACATCATCTCACATAAATGACTCAGTTCTACTCAATGAAAACTCAGCTGCCCAAATAATTTTCCTCACTCATAGTTCCTGTTCTACTGCTCACTCTTTAAACTGGCTTCCAATCTCCATCAAGCTCGCAGGCCAGCTAGTTTAGCACATTGTATAAAAGGGCTGTAAATGCTAGATCAGAGCTCATGAGCAGAGTTTTATACCTATGCCTATTGTATTGGTTTGTCTATACTGAACTGTATACATTGGCACTTTATAAATACCAATAATAATACAGTGGAACCTCGGCACTCAAACTTAATACGCTGCCGAAGGCTGTTCGAGTCCCGAAGGGTTCGAGAACTGAATCAACATTTCCCATAAGAATTAATGTAAAATTGATTAATCCATTCCAGACCCCAAAATTACAGCATTTTACATTTATATGTATGCATTAAAAATGCAGAGATTACTAATAAGCACCTTACATTTATTTGAGTGGTTCCTGCCTTTCAACTTGCTAAAAATGTACTGTTGGCCATTATTACAATTATTTATAATATTTGTTTGACTTAAAAATGAGACATGGCTCTTTGTTGTAAGTTCGGGTACTGAAGATCGTTTGCATATTGAGACATTTGGCTCTTTGTTGTATGTTCGGGTACCGAAGATTGTTCTCGTTAGAAGTCATTTCTTACTCTAAATTTTGTTCGACTTCAGAATTGTTTGAGAACGGGACCATTCGAGTTCCGAGGTTCCACTGTAATCAAAAATAAAATATAAATTTTATCTGCCATAATTACCAAGTCCAATCACCACTCAGCTATCTCTAATAGGTCTACCCTTATTGCTATATAATTCCCAATGTGGCCCTCTGTTCTTCTAATGGTTTAAGATGGACTCTCTTTTTTTCTGAAACCATTTTTCCCATTTAAATGAATATCTCCAAGTTATTCCACTATTGGGATTCAATAAGCAGGAACTTGCTTTTCTTTCTTCCCACAACAATTTCAAATGTTACCTCAACACTCATCTCTCTAAACATTCTGGCCATTCATCAAATTAATATAAGCCCTTGTGTAACCAGGATACTGATTTTATACAATAATAAATGGCCAAACCACAGATTCCCATGTTGATTAGAACATCTTCCATGATGATTTGCCAGCCTTCCTAAAAACATTTATCTAGTTTCCACCATGACACTATGCAGAGCACCCTTCTCTGCACCTTGTATTTCGCATCTTCCATTTCATTTAATTATTATTTCGTTTTTCTTGTGCCAAAATATACCGTAGTGTTGTTGGTAAACTAACCTTACAGGTCATAGTGGCAAAACAAGTTAGGAAATAGGAACAGGGCCTTGCTCAAATGAGTTTACCATTTGTTACAGCTCTCAGAACCACTGCCTACATCAAATTGAGTTATTGTATCAAGCACTCTGCAGTTTGTTGGTGCTTTATAAATAATATATTTAACCCCTTCATGACAGATGGTCTGTCAGAACTCTCATAATCTGTACCTAATCTCCATGTCCTAAAGGGGTTTGCAAAATACAAAAAAAAAGGGTATGTTTATTTTGTAGGTTTTATAAAGTAAAACAGAAAGTTATTTTTTTGCCGTGTATCAGATAACTAAGCCACAATTCCACTTCACACCACAAAAACTGCAACTGTGGAGAGCCAAACTTATCTTTCAATGTATATATGAAAGTATGTGGCTTTTATAGATGTGTGTAATACACTTCCTGACATAAATATAGTAAGCCTGCAAATAATGTGCTCACACATCTAAGAGTAAACACACAGAAGCCTTTGAGGTGGGCATGGTGTATATCTGTGCATACACATAGCTCAAGATATACACGTAGCCTGTGCACACACAGCCTTGATATGAATGTGCATACACAGGCAGCATACTGCTTGCCCTGGGCAGGGCAAGCTCTGCCTCCTCTACAGGATTGGGAGACAGACACACCCAGCTGGGCTCATTCTGCCTGTATAGCAACCCAACCCTGTTAGAAGAGAATCACTTAGCTCTCTGCTTCTACAAGGCAGTACAGAGCCCGCTGGCTCCCTGCATTCACTGTGCCAGAATAGGACCACACAGGTAAACACCTAATCTCAAACTCAGAATTCTCTCTAAACTCTCCTTGTATGCTGCCTGTAATAGCAGTAGGAATGCATTGGACTTTAGTTATGTTTTTTCATAGCTGTCTTTATTAGTTCTGGCTGGAAGAAAAACTTTGTTTCTGACTCATGCATGTTGTCCTGGCTGTACAAAGGTGTGGCTTTATATACTTTCTATGTATGTCATGCAGCGCTTTGGTTATGTATATGTGAGGTTATAAGAGTATATTCTGTATTTAATATACAGCGTTGGTATTTTATTTTTGCTTTGTAGATTATTTTTGATATATTCACTTGTGGAAAGTTTATGAAAGAATGTGATCCCTAAATTCTTCCAGTTTATATATAGATATTTTGTAACACCACTACTGTGTGTGCTCTTCACTTCATACTTGTCTTGCATAAAAATCATGTGAGCTGGATATTCCTTGAGTGATATATATGAACAACTTTCTTCCAGTGTATTTTATTAATGTGTATATAGTTAGCATGTCTGCAGACTATTCCTTGTGGAATTCGTTGATTGTACTTCGTTCCATACATAATTCGACATATATATATATTGTATGTGCAAATGATCTATTTCCCCATCAGTTACGTCGTCTAGTAATTTTTGCATTCTATTATGTATGAAGATTATATATTGCGATCATGCTCTGTAAATTGGTATTCCATGCACTGTATGTAAACACAGTTTCACTCTACATTGTATGTATACATTCTCTCACTCCCTCTATTTTGTGTGTCTGTGTGTGTATGTATATACCAACTTTCGCTCTTTGCATTATTGCTGAAGTTTGGTTTAGATGAGAAGATTCTCCCTGGCTATTACAATACTGGGGTCTGAGTTACGGGCACCACACCCTCCACTACTGGAGTTTCACTTTATTTGATTTTATTTCTTTCGTTATTTATTTTGGGGGTGGGTGGGGTGTTGCTGAATTTAAGTATATGGCAATGTGATAGAACAGCCACAAAATTAAAGAAACCCCCCTCAAAGTGGGGACTGTGCACCATCTACTATTTTATATGTATATGTTCGATCTGATCTCTTAGTGAATGGCTTTTATTATTATTACTTTTTAATGATTATTCGTTTAATAGATTTTCATGTTCATGAGTAGCTTGCATGTATGTGGAGTAAAGTTCTGTATACGTATACTAGGACAAGCTAAACCTGTTGTTGTTGTTGTTGTTGTCGTCGTCGTCACATGGTTGGTCATGAAGGGGGTTAATAAAATGCTTGAAATTGTGCTTAGAGCGTGTATGCAGTTGTGTTAAAGGAGACCCTTTGTACTTTGAGCGTCATTAACAGTTCAATGCATAGATTTGATAATAAGAGTAATGTGTATAGGTACATATTTGTTTTAATGTATTTACACGTGCTTGTTATTGCGGATTATGGAATATAAAGTTTGTGTGTATGTGCTCCTGCTGTCTGTGATTTGCAGCTTATTATTCAGAAAGTGTGTGCAAAATAATAGTTTATTAATGTAGATAATGTAGTGTTCTGTGGAGCTTAGTTTATGCTCTGGGAGGGGCTCACACGTTGCTTCTGATTGGTAGAACTTTCCTCACCAAATTCTGGGTCTGAATGAGAGGAGAGCAGTGATCATGAGGGTGTGGTGGCTATTTTGTCAAAATGTCTAATATGAGCTGCAGGAGCTCAGAAGTTTTTCACTTGAGCCTGGAGGATTTCTCAACTAGTTTTGTAACAGGTTTAGAGACCAGGAGGAGATTTAACTTGAGACGTAAACCTGTTCTGCTAGACAAGAAATCCCAAGAAGGCTTGGTTTATGAAGATAAACTGAGTAGTGCTTCTTAAATGTGAAATGTACCTTACCCAGCACAGGGAAATGTTTGGGAGTAGATCAGATTTGGTTTAATCTTGGAAGTGGAGTTTGGAAAATGTCTCAGTATGGAATGTGGAGGTTTTTGTTTTGTTAATCAAACCCACACAGGTCATAAATGACACTTAATGTAGGGCATGCTGGTATGGATAGAAGGTTAACACCACCAACATTCCAAAAGAAATCCTCAAGCTAGTGCAAGTACTATGGAATCTTGGTACATATGGGACTTTTGCAAACTGTGTTGAGTATATTTTGCGTGCAAATATGTTATTTTCCTTCATACGTGCTCAGGTTCTCTGGTTATGTGTTGCTCTGCTCTGTGTATTATTGCTCTGTATATTACTGTGCTCTGGGTGTGTCTGGAAGTCCTGGCCTCTATCCAGAATCCTTCAGGAATGTTGGTTTGGGAGCAGAATGACTAACAGCGGTTCCTGCTCAGAGAGAGGGGGGAACACAGGGGGAACTAGGAGGAGGGGCAGCAGGAATTTACTAAGGGAAAGCACTCTACACCAGAGCACGTGTTTGCAATATACAAAAGTATGTGCACTCCAAACCAGATAAGAACTCACAGAATGCCTATAAACATGGAGATTTAGTCACATGGTATGGGCCATACAGTACCAGTGCTCCATGTTTCCATGTAGGTTATTCTACTTACCTGAGACATTTAGACCCATGATTTAAATACCTATAGAGACCTTATTGAAATGTAAGGTTTTTGTTGGAAATAATTGAGGAGGAACCCTAGGTGAACCTCGAAGTTAACACAGTAAATAGAAAATGATAACTGATTGACAAGGGGTTGCTAAAGTGTGTTGTAATCCTTCAATGACACTTAAAATGTCTTCTGGCCATCAGACAATGTTATCAAGATGTTGATTGCTCTGGGTGGAGGGGCAATTTAACAAAGCTATCACTTCTCATCTCTTTCATGTGTAGGAATTCAGGGCTTGTTTCTACTACCTGTGATAAGTTGATCTCTCACCTCCCCCTTTTAAACTTCAATAGAAATTGAGAACAGAACTGCAGGACAAGTTTTCACACATCATAATAACCCAACCCTTTCCTTTTTTCGGAATGGAAGGCACTCCTAAAATTGACAAGGTTTCTGATATATGTCTTTAGAGGCCATACACTAGAAAACACATGGGAATATATTGCACAGGGGCAAGTGCATGTGATTGGCTTCCAGTAGAGGTGATTTGTAGCCATAATACATCTTCATTTCTGACCTTTTCAACTTCGGGATTGACGCACTAGATAAACCGGTCATTTCTCGCCTGTTTATAAGCCAAATCTTATGTTTCTATGTAGTTAATAAACTATTGTAAACCCTACCAATGGAGCATGATATATAATACTTTGTATAGAGACTTGAGCCTAAACAATACAGTCCTTTATTTTCCGAATAAGAGTATATTGGGCTACACACAGAGTATATACAAAGTTTTATCAGTAAATAACTATTTGAATGCATTATCACATTTACCTCTACTCTTCAAAGGATTAACTGTTAGCATGCTTTACACGCCCACAACCACCACCAAATGGTGACAAGAGAAATACATAGGTAAAGATCCACAGTGAAAAGCTATGGGTAGCAAAATGTTAATTAGGCTTTAATAAGCATTAACATGGAGGATCTGTTAATGCTAGGATCTTATAAAACCCTACAGAGAGCAGATTTATAAGAACAGCCCCTGCCTTCAAAATGTTTTGACAAAAGCAAAATAATCATAGTTTCCAGAGGGAGCTCTAGTAACTAAATCGAAAAATCAAGATCCTCTGCAGAGTGGTTTTAGGTGCACAGAAAGGAGTGGTTTGCAGAATACCTCTTTTATGTAGATTAAACTTGATTTGCCAGTTTTTGTGTATGGAATCAAAACATTTTTAAAAGGCTTCAAGCCAAAAAGGCCACACCAGATCAGTAATTGAAACCTTACAGGATTATTAACTAAACTCTGCATTTTAACAAATTAAATCAGAATGGCAAAAATTAAGGCTAAAATAGCTCATATCGAGAAATTCTTCAACTCCCCTATTGTTACAGCTTGGCTATTTTACCTAAGTTTGCTAGTCAGATCTAATTTGTTTTTAATTCCGAGGTTAGAGACTAAATCCTGCTAATAATGCCCAATATCAGAGTATCGCCTTGCATCCAGCTGTGGACGACTACAAATCCCATTAGTGTCAGTCCATCATTTTGGCAGTGACGGTATAGTCCACATTAGCCGGAGAGCCTATGGTTTCCAAATCCCTGTTAATTTGCCCTGCAGCCCTTATAGATCAAGGCTGGTATGGAAACAATTGCAGCATTCTGAGAAAACGATGAAGGCCTCCCCAGGAATGTGAGTGTTAATATGAAGGCAGAATGCGATCATCCTGGAGAGCCCAGTGACGTGTAATTTCTACATCCCTTAATCAGATAATCCTACAGAGGAGGAAGAAGGGGGAGAATTAGGGTGTGGTTCTTCAATTTCTGTTCTGAACTTTAAGGGTGTAATTTGGAGACTGTATAATACACTCACAATGAATACATGAATAATGTGGCACAAAAGGGACTTTCACAGCTGCACAAATGTGTGGAAATAGATTATACTTTTTTTTTTTTTTTAAACTATAATTTTTTTCACCCTTGATTTTGATTTGTGCAATTTGCGTAATAAAGGAGGGGTGCATTGTATTTTTTTAGATATGCTATATCTAAAATATAGATGGAAGAGTTATTAGTAACGCCTGTTTTATAAATAGTTTTGTATCTAAGCATAGAATGTACAACATTATCTCAAACTTAATGAACTGGTTTAGGGGTGTATGACTCAAATAATGACAAGTGATTTTATTTTCTTGAGCCTTTAGAACAGGCTTCCTCAAACTCCGGCCCTCCAGATGTTGCTGAACTGCAACTCCAATGATTCTATGAATGAAATAGGCTGAGAATCATGGGAGTTGTAGTTCAGCAACATCTGGAGGGCTGGAGTTTGGGGAAGCCTGCTTTAGAATATTAATGCAAGTATGTATTTTCTAATAATCAGAGCTAGCGAGGTATAAAATGTTAAATTAGTTATTCAAAGCAGAGGTTGAGGATCTAATGACATCCAAACGTAACCTAAACCTGATTAGGAGGAGTTTTGGGTCCCCTTAAATGTTTTTGTTTAGACATTGTGAGTAAGTGGTTGTGGTACAGTATTTCTAGTACTTGTTGCACAGTGGTTGTGGTACAGTAGCGCTGGTTAGAGTATAAGCAGGACAACTGAACCTTTCTTTCCGTGGTCAATATAAGTATTACAATTGAGTTGGGTAAAAAATATCTAAACCCTGCAACACACCCGAATACCATTAAATTTACCCTACTTTGATACAATATTGTGAGAAATACAAATCAACTGATTGGTTCGAACCTATAGGGTTAAGCTCTGAAGTATGGCATCTTTTAAAATTGGCCTATTTTTACTATACAAAAAAGCAAAAGAAGCTGTATGCCACATTAAAAAATAAGATCCCTTCCCATCCCAGGTAGTGGTTGGTCTACGTGTGCATGTCTTTCTCAAATAGCTAATCATTTGTTATGGTATTGTTTGTAAATTTACACACAATAAGTGACTGAATAAATAAACTACTTAGTCACATAATATTTATGGCAGAAATCTGGGCTATCTGTAGTGTCTTATCGTCTATGACCACAATAGGTCATTCAATAATAGGTGGATTAAGAATGCAATATAGGAATTGAGATAACGTTACCATATCACTAATATTATGCTCATGAGGTATGGACACGGTGTAAGTCTGCATTAGCAAACACCTGCACTGGGCTGATCTCGGTGAGGGAACCAAATCTGCACTTCTTTTCCCTTTGTGAAATCTATAGAAGCATGGTTTTCTTAACATTTATTTCAGGTCATTCAAACTAGTCTAATTGAGCTAACCAAACATTGAGTGTCCAAAGTAGTGAAAAGATCAATGCATTTTGTATATTATATACACTACTTAATTACTTCCAGGGTATCAATGCTCATAAAACTGGTGCCACCATCATTACAGGGTGCAAGCCTTTTGAGTGAAAACCATCACCCAACATGGTTAAGGATTCCACAAAAATAGTTTAGAACATAAGTGGTTTCCATTACCATGGAAAGCAGTTTGACAACTTTGTAAACAATTAATAACGCCATGCTGGGCTTACGTATGTGATGTTATTGTCTTTTCAAATGTGCAAATGTCTAGCTCAAGAATTTGATAAGTAAACTCCAGCTGCTACTTCATGTCCAGCTACACGACTTCCATACAAAAAAAAAAAAAAAAGCAAAACACACACACACACAACAGAACGTTAAATGTAATATCCTAATATTACATCAAATTCAAACGTGGATTTGTAATCCCCCCCACCCCCATTTTAGCTGCAGTGGAAACTGTATGCGAATATGCCCTGCAGTAAGGGTATATAGGGTACCTTAATTTTGCTGAAGGATTGGTAAAATTGGTTTCCTTGCAGAGGTGGTTTGGATGTAAATGGCAGACCTTCCAAGAACACGCAGCAGCTTTCCTGAGAAGGAAACACAATTGTAAGAGAGAGTACATTTTAGATCATAGTTAAGAATAGACATCTAATATGCATACTTCTTAACTGCCATAAAAGTATTTCTGCGTTTGAAGAACCCCAGGCAAGCCAGAACGTGGAGCTGTGTGAATAGGTTGAATCTATTGCCTCAGTCTATAAAATATCAGGTGTATATGTGTGTGTGCAGCATGCATACTATGACTAAAAGTGCTGTAGAAGTGACTCGGCCATCCTGTAACTCTCCAGCTGTTGTACTGTTGCAGGTCACATGATCAGCGTTTTATAGCAGCTGGAGAGTTACTGCTTGCTTGTCCCTCATTATGAAACACAAAGGAATCTCTAAGACTCTTGTAAGTAACAATCTGCCCATTCACACTAGAATTATGGACTGGAATTCTAAAACCTGAGACTCCAGTTCTGAGACTTACACACGTCACATATATGAAGGCAGATTTTCCAGTGTGTCCATTAAAACGCAAATGGCTTTTTCTACAATACACAGTGAGGTGAGGTGAAATTATTTGGAGCTAGGAAGCTCAAAACCACTATTTTGTTGAGATCATGCTAGCTGAGAGCCAAACACGACCTCAGGGGTAGGAGACTTTTGGAAAGCCAAATGTTGTGGACTACATCTCCTATGATGCTTTGCCAACATTATGGCTGTAAGGGTATTACGGGAGATGTAGTTCATCTGGAGTTCCAAAGGTTGCCTACCCCTGCACTACCTGTTGGACACCTCAAACATGCAGAATACCCCCCAACTTGCCTAAGACTGTATGGTGCCCCTAGCAGGTTTTATTAATTGTATAGAGTTTGAAACCACCTTTGCATGAAATGATTGATTTAATACACGCAGCAAATGACAGAACATGTATCCATGACACAAAATAGACTGAGTCATACAGCACGGTTCTTTGTGTGTGGTAAAACAAGACTAATCAAAATGGCTTCTGTTCTGGAGTTACTGTTGGTTATACAGCTACAGAACCACAATACAGACTTCCTGCCACAACACTGGCAAGTTTTAATGACAAAAAAAAAAAATCAAGGTGTGCCTGTTTAAAGCAAACAAATTCTCTGTGTATTTTATAACCCAGTTTTTATGCTGGAATAGTAGTATAGAAAGATGTACACTCTGTCCAGCCTCCTCCGGCAGCAGGCCAAACACAGTCAAGGGTATCCCTTGCACTTTAAGGGTTTAGAGCAGATATCAGCTTATCATGTTGCACATGTTTATGAATTACCCAACGCAACATGCTTCTAATTCTGGACGGAATGATTTACAGAAACAATTGGCAGTGACCGTTTGCATAGCAAAGGGTATGAAGGGAAGGCACAATCTGTGTGAGTAGATGGGTAAGGGGAGGGAAAAGAGCATTTGTCCATGTTGGGTGGCTGCTGGACTTGAACAATTGGAGAGAAATGTTAAAACAAACAAGTAGCTGTAACTTCATCATGCAGTGTTAATATACTTGTGCTATGTTATTACAGTAATTATTTCCCTAAACCCAGCCTTTATAAATACATGGTGTTAAATCTTTATGGTATGAGACATTACAGTGATTACATGTATTTAAAGAGCCTGTACATATGTTGCAGAGTACCACCTGTTTAATATCCTCTCACAGGTTGCCTGGTGGTATAGTGAAAACAGTCAGGGGGTTTACTCACTAAACACCAAAGTGTAGTGAAATAAAACTGAACTGGACAATTTTACAAAGTGCTGATTTGGAAACATCTCAAATTCTGCTACAGTCATAGAAGGGCTTAGTCTAAAATGTACCAAAGCGATAATACAAAGTGAATTTCAAATTTAAGGCCAGAGTAGCAAAACTGTAAGCATAGCTGACATAGAAAATGTTAATGCTTAGCGATTTTGAACTTAAACGCACTTTGAATTAACGTTTGTTTCTCATTTTAGTGATTAACCCTGTAAATGTTGCAATTTAGTTCTCAATTCCTTTAAACCACTATTTAGTATCATAAATTAAAGGGATCCTATAGTGCCAGGAAAACAAAGCCGTTTTCCTGGCACTATGGGGTCAATGCTTTCCTATGGGGAAAATCTGATGCTGGAGGTCCTCATTCAGAGCGTCCAGCATCAGTTAACGGACCAAAAGTCTGTTTGGATTCCGGAAGCCCACTAGTGATAGACAGCCACAGAGGGCAGACTTAGAGTGTTTTCTGGAACTGCAATGTTTTACATTGCAGCTCTAGGTGCAAAAGGGACACAGCCATAGGCGTGCGCACGGGGTGTGCCGGGTGTGCCTGGGCACACCCTAATCCCCGTGCGCACGCCTATGGCTTGAGTCCTGCAGGAACAGCGTTCCTGCACTTTTTTTGAGCAGGAACGCTGTTCCTGCAGGCACTCAGCGCCCCCCTGTCTCACCTCTTGCCCCTGTCATGGGGGAGGGGGGGCAAGAGGTGATGGATAACCCCCCCGCCCCGCAGTTCAGCCGCGGCGAGGGAGCTCTCTGCTCTCTGCTGTCTGCTCCCTCTCGCCGCGCGCTGATGCCGGGAGCCGGAATATGACGTCATATTCCGGCTCCCAGCTCCAGCAGACAGCCCGCGCGGCGAGAGGGAGCAGACAGCAGAGAGCTCCCTCGCCGCGGCTGAACTGGAGAAAGGCGCCCGCCCCCACTGGACCCCAGGGACAAGTCCACCAGCACTCCAGGTAGGAGGCTGGGTGGACATTTAAAAAAAAAAATATATATATAATAATGTGTGTGTGTGAGTATGTGTGTGTGTCAGTGTGTGTGTGTCTGTGAGTGTGTGTGTGTGTGTGTTTCTGTGAGTGTGTGTGTGTTTCTGTGAGTGTGTGTCTGTGAGTATGTATGTGTCTGTGAGTGTGTGTCTGAGTATGTGTGTGTGTCAGTGTGTGTGTGTCTGTGAGTATGTGTGTGTGAGTGTGTGTTTCTGTGAGTGTGTGTGTGTTTCTGTGAGTATGTATGTGTGTGTGAGTGTGTGTCTGTGAGTGTGTGTCTGAGTATGTGTGTGTGTCAGTGTGTGTGTCAGTGTGTGTGTGTGTCTGTGAGTATGTGTGTGTCAGTGTGTGTCTGTGTGTGTGTGTGTTTCTGTGAGTGTGTGTGTGTTTCTGTGAGTGTGTGTGTGTTTCTGTGAGTGTGTGTCTGTGAGTATGTATGTGTGTGTGTCAGTGTGTGTGTGAGTGTGTGTCTGTGAGTGTATGTGTGTGTCTGTCAGTGTGTGTGTGTGTACATATATACACATATATATATATATACATATATATATATATACACACATACACACGCAGAGCCGGCGCTATCTGAGTGCCGGCTCTGCTCTAAGCCTTCATGGGCCGGCGGGGAGACCAAAGATCTACCTCACCGGCCCACAGCAGCTTGGAGGGAGGCAGTAGAGGACCCAGGGAGCTCTAGACAGAAGCTCCGCCAGGTTCCTCTCGCGATATCTGAGCGTTGCTGTGGCAACGCTCAGATCTCGCGAGAGTTAACTCTAGCCCCGCAGGCTAGAGTTCACTCTCCACTGGACCACCAGGGATGGCACATGGCAGCAAGGATTTACTAATCTGCCAAATCCCTCCAAACATACAGTACACACACATACAGCACCTACACACATACAGCTCACACACACACAGTACACTAACCGCACCCTCACAAACACACACAGCACCTTTAAAAAAAACACAACACCCTCACACACAGCACACTAACAGCACCCTCACAAATAGCACCCTCACAGGACAAACATACACACACAAACACCCTCACACACAAACAGCACAGTCACAAACACGCACCCTCACACACACATAACACTAACAGCACACACAGCAGTGTGTGTGTGTGTGTGTTTATATATATATATATATATAGAGAGAGAGAGAGAGAGAGAGAGAGATAGCGAGAGAGAGATAGCGAGAGAGAGAGAGAGAGAGAGAGAGAGAGAGAGAGAGAGAGACACATACACACACACGCGCGTGGCGTGTGTTTGTGCTTTAGGGTGCACACCCTAATGCAATTGGCTGCGCACGCCTATGGACACAGCACCCAGTCTACTTCAATGAGCTGAAGTGGTCTGGGTGCCTACAGTGTTAAAGGTGCCCACCTTTAACTAGTAAAGTTAAAATATAAAGGAAAAATATAGTGCTAGGAAAACAAAAGTTGTATAGTGCCCTGCTTCCTTGCACAACTCTCCACCCCTCCCCCCCCTTTTGGTGCTGAAGGGGGTTAAAAACTCCTTTATCACTTACCTGATTCCACCGCAGATGTCCCTAGGCGCTGGGTCAGGTTCCTCCTCTGCCATCATCATTGTATGATGTTTGATCCTATGGGGTTTTGGGTGAAACTGGATGTCCTCATGATTACATGCAGCATCAGTTAGGCAACCAAGTCTCCTAACCACCCAGAAGTCCCTCTAGTGGCTGTCTGGTAGACAGCCACTAGAGGTGGAGTTAACTCTGCAAGGTAATTATAGCAGTTTATTAAAAACTGCATTAATTACAATTGCAAGATTAAGGGGACAGGGAACCTGCACCCAGACCACTTCAATGAGCTGAAGTGGTCTGGGTGCCCATAGTGTTCCTTTGAAAGGGATAGTTCTCCAATTCAACTTTGTTTCATGCTCTGTTATTTTGGACTAACATTTTTAACTTAATTGGTCAGCCCTTGGTTTAGGGAATAGTCATTATTGCATTTTTCAGATACAAAACTTTAAACCAGATTTGCAAATTTAGATTTAAAATATGGCTTCTGGGTACAGCGGATGCAGGAGAATTTTTCCAGATCCACCTATATTTTGCAATTTTGTCTTTCAATTCACGGTAGTTTAGTTTTAGTGAATAAATCCCTTTATGATTCATTTGTAAGACCTAGCTTATTTTATGCAGAGTAGAGAATGAGTGGACCTGGAAAATGTGTGTACAACAGGAGTGCTGATAAATGAGCATGATAAGCTATCTATATCGCTCTGTATCACTGTTGAGTGTATTTATATTTGACTTTTACAAATATTAACACACCTTCCTGACACCCTGCTGACCCACACCCTCAATGTGTGCTCTGTACAGACACATCCACCAGTACTCTGAATGCATATGTGCTGCACATTGTGTCTAGGCATGTCTTAAAATAGTATTAATATGCACTGTGCTACAGGCTTTATGCAGAGCTGTGTGTATCCATTTTAAGAACAGTGTGTTGCTTATAAATAGTTGGCTAGGAATGAGTTGTGCGATGTGGTTCTAGCCAAGAAGCTAAGGAATATCAATTTTGGAGTGGTGGGATGTAAGGACGGTATTTAATAAAAATCACACAACTGCATATACTCATCACAAAATGGATGCTCGGAAAAACGTATAGTTAAGCTTCCATTGCCGTTTAATGAACAAAACAGACTGTTTCGGTGCACAGTGTGCGCCAAATGTTGGACTTGATTTTCCAGATTATTTTTTTTGGACAGAAACTAAGGAGAAACATAATCCATGAGCTAATGCATCACCAATGGATACCACTTTATGAGTGTAGATATGCAAATAACGACAATACATCCTGTTTTGGTTACTTGCCAATGTTTTGTTTTTTTCCTTTCCTTTACCAATTCCTTTCATTTCTCAGTAGCAATGCAGGATCCTAATGAATTGCATCTATAGAGACACCATGGTTCATATCCGTATTTGACAGGGATTTTGCAGTTTTTAACTGTTAGCCTTGGTTATAGACATAGGCGTGCGCAGCCTATTGTATAAGGGTGTGCACCCTAAAGCAGAAACACACACGCCACGTGTGTATATATATATATATATATATATATATATATATATATATATATATAGCCCCACAGGGGGCTAGAGTTCATTCTCCACTGGACCACCAGGGAAGGCAGGAGCACAGTCCCCCCTCCCTACATAATGTAAGAAGGGAAGGGGGATATTAACTAAACGGCCCCCACACATTACACACAGACATACAGCACACACATACATCACCCTTACACACAGCATACACACACTAACAGCACCCTCACACTAACACCCTCACACATACACACCCAGCACACAGTAACAGTATCCTTACACACACAGCACCCTTATACATACACACACTAGCAGCACCCTTACACACAGCACCCTTACACGCACACAACAAACACTAACAACACCCTTACACTAACACCCTCACACATGCACACACTAACAGCACCCTTACACACATCACCCTCACACACACAGCACCCTTGCACACACTAACATCACCCTTACACACACAGCACCCTCACCCACACACACAAAGCACACACTAACAGCACCCTTACACACACAGCGCCCTCACCCACACACACAAAGCACACACTAACAGCACCCTTACACATGCACACACTAACAGCACCCTTACACACACAGCACCTTCACACACACAGCGCGCCCACACACACAGCACCTTCACACACAGAACCTACACAGAGACACAGCACTTACACACAGCACCCTCACACACACAGCAGTGTGTGTGTGTGTGTGTATGTATGTATGTGTGTGTATGTGTGTGTATGTGTGTATATATATATATATATGCGGCGTGTGTGTTTCTGCTTTAGGGTGCACACCCTTATACAATAGGCTGCGCACGCCTATGTTGGCACCCCTACCTTATAGCATTCTTTACCTCTGAGACAACTCATTTTTGTTTTAACAACCTAAACTTGTTTATGACAATGTTTTTTTTCCCTCTCTTGGAATGCCTAGAAGGCTGTTGGGAGTGCATTAGTGTAAATGTGTTACACAGGGGAGTGAAGGAATTCCCAGTCTATATCCAGAGGTACAGCACACTCACAAAGATGACCCTGGGTTAAAATGTGCTACTTCCCACTCCTCGATCACCACACCCTTTTCTGAAATTCCAACTATCTCCATTCACAGGAATCAGGGAGGTGATCTGTTTGTTGTCTTTTTTTCGGGGGTGAATTCTCTGTTATTTAACCTTTTTTTTTTTTTCTCTCTCTTGCTTGAAACCATACCCAGTTGATTTCAGTATTTGCTAAATGTGATATAACTAAATAAATGTGTGTATTCTCACCCAAATTAACCTATTCCTGGGAAGTTTGGAGATGGAATCGTAGACCTTTTGAATATTTGGGCTTTTCTTGTAGGTTGCCTTTAAAATATATGTCCCTTGGCTCTCAGTTAAGTAATGCAACTAAAGAAGACTTTAACTGTCACTTATGGTCAGATAATTCCTATAAATAGCTGATTTAGTAAAATTATCCAATTCGGCTAAAATTCCACTCACATTTAATTTTGCATTTAGAGTTTAGTAACTAGCCCTACCCTTATCAATCCCTGAAAAGGTGAGGGAAATCAGGACTCGCCTGAATCTTTAATTATTTCATTCTGTATCGAAAAATATGTTTCACACCTTGTCCAAAGTCTTGATTTTTTTTTCTTTTTCTTCTTTACAAGTATCTGTGATTGAGTTTTGTTTGACGTTGAAAATAAACCAGTTCTTTATTTTACTGACATGCACAAATTTTGAGTTTTATGTAAATCATATAATTTTTTTTAAAATTATACAATAATTTAAAAAGCATGTTATCGGAACATCTGTAGAACCTATATCAAAAAAGACTGCAACTGTGCATGTTATTTATTGGTAAATTCAAGCAGGGGGGGAATTGTCAGATTAAATTTCTAGGACAGTATGGCTGAGCTAAAAAGAGATATTTTTTTTCTCTCTCTCTCTTCTATTTGCCTGCTATAGCTTACAATTTGACATTTAGATTGAATTCCTGACAAATCACATTTTAGCTGATAACACTTTTGAAGGGTTCCTCTTTAATGCAATTCTTACGATGATTACCCAGTTCTTCATTTGCTGGGGATCAGTGTGTGTGTGTCATTCCGCAAGGCCCTACTGGCATAGCATGCATGGGTGTGGTTGCAGGAAGAGAGATTTTAATAAGTTCCTTTCTCTGTTCCCACAAACTGGCTTTAGTGACTGCAGACCACAGATGAAGCGAAAACTCCCATCATCTTTGTAGTCTGACAACCACAACTCCCAATATCCTAGTAAAATAGATTATCTGAGTCTAAAGGGCTATTCCCTGTACCTTGAATTGTGTCGAATTAAAATTCAAATGACAAAAAAAAATGGTCAAGCTGTTACTATAATGGAGCCGGATAACATTTCTAGATGACCTATTTTTGTTTTTGTTCTTGTTCTTTACTTAACCTAAATTTTTTCCCCAGTGGGATTTCAATTTGATATAAGTCACAGTTTAGTGAATAACCCCTCTTATAGCAAGGAGAATAACACTGCATGCTAGCAGAGGGGAACCTCTCCCATCGTGCATCGGGGGAGTAGTATTTGAACACAGCTGGAGTTGTTTGAAAATACCAAAGAGTGTCTTAGCAACTGCAGTTTTGTGTGTGCGTGTATGAGTGTATATTTGGTTGTGCGTATAGGTTGTGTACCAGGGATTTTTCTTGTGTGCATGTTACAAAATTGAGCACTAAATCCCTGTTTATCTCCCCCAGAGTGCATATATTGTAAAGGGGACATTTTGTGTCTGCACTGGAACATTTCATCCACATCTGGAAAACATTTTGCTTAGGGTCACACAGCAGGAACCTCCCCCTCCTTATATGTGCTCCAGGGGTCAGGAAGCCCCCCCCATCTCCCTGCTCCTATCATATTTAACCCATATGTACACAGACATTATTCCCCAATACCTGTGTTTGTTAGCTGTATAATTGTGTCCGAGAATGGTATATGCATATGTGTGTGTCTATCTAAATGTATGTAATACAATTGTAGTTTGCTACTCTTTTTGCAGTGAATCCATTGCTTATTTTGTATCTCTAGGTGTGTCAAGCGTCAGCTCTTTATTTATTTGTATTTCTTGTGTTGCTACAAAGTGTTACCAAGTTACATGGGGACGTTTAAACAAAATTCTGTTGCAAAAACATGCCTAAACATCAGAGTTCATTTTCTGATCATTAAAAGGGATCCAGTGCTTGTACAAAGCAGTGAAGTATGCAATACAATACTCAGACCTCAAGCATTAAATGAGTTTTTAAAAGAAAAAAAAAGTTAGGATACAATTTTCGCCTTGCACCCACTTTTCTCTAGTAGCTAATGTAGCTAAAGAGAAGATCTTGTAGTAGATTTTACACCAAACAGTTAACTAAATCAATCACAGCAAACCCACACATTCTTTTTTTTCAGAGAAAACCAGAACCACATAATTCAGACAGTTGTCATATTATCTGTAACCATAACAGAGAACACTGACGCAGGCAAGTTACAATGTAGTATTTCCCCTACATGAAAACAGATTAAGATTTTGTGTTACTCGCTCTATGAGGGGGATAGCCCAGCACCGGGATTTAACCCCACCAATGCCTTGATTTCAGGATTATTCTACCTGATATTTTAACTTGGAGTTGCGGCATCGTCTGTGGGTGGGTTCTATGTCACATCCACATATCTTTTGTTACATTAGATTTGTGGAGCTGTGTTTGTGGACACTTTCACTCCATTCCTACTTGCCATAGACTGGCCTTTGATTCCCCAGCTTTCTATATAGAGCAACTCCGGTGATGCATGGCCATCATGTGGTTGTCCCACCTGTATAGAGTTTTTTGTGCCACTATTATTTTTGCTGAGCAGACAGAAAAGTGCAATCCCTATTCCAGACACTGCAATTTCCCATTGTTAATTAGTGTTGTAATTATAGCTCCCCAGACTGCTAGTTTATTTAACCCTCTGGCTGCCAGCCCATAATCCATGGCTTTGTGATGCACATGCCCTAGCCTGCCCTCATAATGCCCTAATGAACAGGGTGGTTTCCAGGGTTGGGTCAGAACTTTGCTCTCTTTGCCTTACAGCTGCCCCACCTATCTATCTCCTTGGTATCACCTCAGGAATGTTGTTCTCCTGGTTGTGGATTAAACATAAATAAGTGAGAATTGTCTGCTTTGGGTCTTAGCTGCAAGGATCCAATGTGACTTCCCATCATTCCATGATCCAACACAAAAATATACCTCCCAAGTGTCTCTAATTAGGATGGACAAGTCCCTATTTTGGACCCAAATCCTCTTTTGTCTCCTAATGTCCCTCTTTTCTAAGAGTGACATGTTGTTGGGCCTTAACAATCTCACAGTAATATGTCTTTAAACTACAATAAATGCATTTAGCAATTAGTCTATGTAAATAAGATACATTGTTATTTTTTAGTGACATACATTATTAGTAAATCTCCTTAAATTCCCTAAATTTCTCAGAACAGTCCGCCCCTGACCACACCCTTAAAATTAAGGTGTCCTATTTTGTCCATGTGAAATGCAAGGAGGTAAGCAAACATAGGACTAAGAAAATGACACAAAACTCTATAAAAGTATAAAACGTTATTTGCACATTGTCCTGTCAACTGTGTTGAACCATTAAAGGACCACTATAGGCACCCAGACCACTTCAGCGCAATGAAGTGGTCTGGGTGCCAGGTCCCCCTAGTTTTAACTGTGCAGCTGTAAACATAGCAGTTTCAGGGAAACTGCTATGTTTACTTTGAGGGTTAATCCAGCCTCTAGTGGCTGTTTCCCTGACAGCCACTAGAGGCCGCTTCTGCGATTCTCAGTGTGAAAATCACACTGAGATGACGCTGGACGTCAATAGGAAAGCATTGAGTAATGCTTTCCTATGGGCGGTTTGAATGCGCATTCGGAGCTGACGTAGGGGGAGGAGAGGTCACCAGAGCCGAGGGAGCTCGGTGCTGGATTAAGGTAAGTGGCTGAAGGGGTTTTAACACCTTTAGCCCAGCGGGAGGGGGGCCCTGAAGGAAGGGGGACCTAATAGCCCTATACTGCCAAGAAAACGAGTTTGTTTTCCTGGCAGTATAGTGCTCCTTTAATCTGTATATAACTCCATGAATTCATAAACCTATTAAAGGGACACTGTAGGCACCCAGACCACTTCAGACTAGACAGCCACTAGTGGGCTAGACTAGACAGCCACTTGAGGGTTTCCTAGATTGAAACGGTCCTTTGGTCCGTTAACTGATGGTGTACGTCCTCACGCTCTGCATGAGGACATCCAGCTTCATATTTCCCCCCCTAGGAAAGCAATGATTCAATGCTAATGTGCCCATGGCATTTGCTACGCATGCACACTAGCTCCCGCTTGTCGCGGGGGACGTTGGAGGGGGGCAAAGCGTCGACCCAGCAGAGGGACATCAGCACTGGTATCATTTATGTAAATAAAGGGGCTTTATTTTATTTTTTTCGGTTGAGTAGGCATCCATGTTTAGAAGTAATTTAGGTTAGGAACATCCTAAATACTGTCCAAGTCTCCCACATACAATCACCAGAAAGAGCTCTAGGTTCATAGTTGCATTGAAAAAGTCATCACACAATTTGCCATTTTTTTTTTAGTACATTTGTTTGGAGTTAAAGCAGTTTTGCATTCTATAAACTGTATGACTAATGGGACTAGACTGCTATAGGATATTCCATATTTTATGTGCAAAGATCTCAAAGTGTGTATGTGTGTGCGTACTCTACAAATTGAAGGAAATAATTTGTGTATTTAACACTCATTAGGGACACCCATATATCTGTGCATGGGTCACAGGCCAATTCATTGTGAAATTTTCCTGAAAGTATATGTCACAAGCTGGTCTTTCTGTTTGACACTAGTTCACCGAAATCCCTCCCCTGTTTATTTGTGACAGTGTCTGACTGAGGGAGCCCCTCTTCACCGTGCTTGACTCTTAATGTCTCTTGGACATATAATCCCTGGTGCCCCTGTGCCCTGACACATGTGACAAAGATGAAAATAGCGTCAAAACATTCCATGTAAACATTCCATCTCTCATATTACCTGGAATTCTGCTCCAACATTCAAACGAGACTCTTACACAACCCGAGACTCTTACAGTGTTTTTTTTCCCCCCTCTTTCCCTCTCTCCTGCGGTCAAGGCTCTAGCTGCAGATTTTCACAATAAAAATAGCTTAATCTATTTCAATTACACAGAAAGTAGACATAATTTAAAAATTTTGTTTGTTTTGCGCAATATGAAATGGCACTGGTATCACAAGTGATTGTACAAAATTAGAAGGCCAGTGTTTTTTTCAGCCTGCAGAAAAAATAATGTAAAATATCTTCCGACGTATGTTCTAGAAATGAACGTTGCAAAGTTCTCATACCAAGATTCAACTTGTAAGACTGCAAACTTGTTCGAGCAGGGTTCGTGTCGCCTCACATGTATGATATAAATACTCATATTTTTTATTTGCCCACTGTACAGAGTGTTGGCACTTTATAAAATAATAATAGGTTATACAAGTTGATACAACATTTAAAACATTAACCCTTAGGTAGTCTTGCACACAGGTTCCAAGCGATTTATAAACTTTTAATAGCTAATTGTAAAATACCTCTTTAAAAGGACTCTAAGATGGAGTTGACTGTATATATTTTTATTGCCATATAGAAATATTGCATTCATAACAAAATAAAACTTAAAGCTTGAAAGATGTATATCTGTGAATTTCCATTATTTACTGCAAATCTGTAACTTCTACAAGGCTAGGGAGTGGCTGAGTTTTCATAGACAATCCTTGGTTTTGCTTTTTGTCAAATAACAGTGCTGTGCATATATCACATAATTAACTGGGATATTCATCTCAGGGATTGTAAGTAGATTCATTCATTTAAAAAAACAAAAACTAAATTAGTTTTCTCTTTCAACTAACCTAGGTATTATTTAGGTTCATTTGTTTGTTTTTTTTTGTTTGTTTTTTGATCAGTTAATCATCTTGTACCCTGACATGTACATAGAAACTGAAGATTTTACATTGAAACTATAAGTTTGTAACTATTATTTTACAAATGGTATATGGCTTATGTGGTCAGAAAGTACAGTAGCTTCTTTCTGAAGTCACTGGGTGGGGTGGGCGAATAGATGCAATGATTTTTGCACATCACTGCATTAGTAATGAATTAAATGAAGGAAAACACCAAGTAGCATAGGTTTTGCTGCTTAAATCAACATTAGCATCCTCTTAAACTGTACTTGTGTGTATGTATGTGTGTGTGTGTGTATGTATCTATGTATGTGTGTGTATATATATATATTATTATTATTATTATTGCCATTTATATAGCGCCAACAGATTCCGTAGCGCTTTACAATATTTTGAGAGGGGGGAGAATAGTGAAAATAGTGAATTGAAAAAGACCTGGCAGGGTCGAAACATCGATCGATTTCTATATGCATCCTATTGATTAATAAAGCACTATTTTCACTATTTTGAAGACCTGCGAGTGCATCCCGTTTTTTTATCTATTCTACATATTGGACGATTGTGGATACAGCACCCAGGCAAGATTTTTCTTTCATCTTATATTGGAAGGAGAGTGCCAAGCTTCTATTGCTATTAAATATATATATATATATATATATATATATATATATATATATATATATATATATAAACACACACACACACACACACGTTAATCGTTTTACTAAAGTCTTAGTTTGGTGGGACAGAACCAATAATGATCCCTCTGCGCCTCCTTTCTATGATACCTACTGTCCCTCTTTTTTAGGAACTCCATATTGTTGGTGTGTCTGAGTGTATAACAGAGCTCCACAGCAATAATACTCCCAGTAATGTGTCTTTAAACTACAATACATTTTTTTAGAATTTATCTTGTTCTAAATTACATTTTAGTTACATAAAGTGCTAATAGTAAGTCACCAAAATTTTCTCAGAGCCGCCACACCCCCACCAACGTCCCTCTTTTTCCATTTGGAATGCTGGATGCACAGATCTATTTTATATTAGTTATAGTTATATTGAAGACGATAAAAAAAAAAAAAATTGAAAACACAATGTTTGCTGTAGCCCAACCTTGTAAAATAAGGCATTGGTGAGCAGTTCTGTAAATAAAGTCATTAGGTATATATATTTTTTAGATTTTAACGCTATGGAATGGACAGGTAGGAGTAACAGGTGTTGCTTCTTAAAAAAATACATGTATCAAAGATGATATCTGGGTTATGAACTGTAGGTGATAAAGCCAAGGAAAAGTAAAAATGATGAAGCAGTTCAGTTTATTCTGGGGCTATTTATAAGAAGCAAAGGATCTTCCAGAAATCCCTCTTAGAAATGAAGGGGAGCAATGAGAAGAGAGGTGAGCAGTGAAAAAGAAAAACAGACTACTTAAAAGAAGTCATTGGCACTAAAGCTGGTAAATACATCATTATGCCTTCCTGTTTCTGTCTAAGACTATAGTTGCCAAATGATGGCTAACCACGGCGCCATAGATATACCAATGTTTGTGGAATAAAATTGCCATGATGCTAAGCAAGGTTATCCGTCAACGTCCATGCCCAGGCATAGGCAACCTTCGGCACTCCAGATGTTTTGGACTACAACTCCCATGATGCTTTGCCAGCATTATGGGTGTAAGAGCATTATGGGAGATGTAGTCCAAAACATCTGGAGTGCCAAAGGGTGCCTATCCCTGTCCTAGCCATTATAGCAGCCCCTATTATTTCTTATTACTGGGAAAACTATTAAAACTCTATTAAACAGGGTAGGGCAAAATTCAGAGTAGGGTTTGAGGAGTCAATAACATTTTTATTAATGTACCACTTTCAATGATTTCACATACAACGAATACTTAACATATGGAGATTAGTTTCAATAGATACGGAAGATGACATATTTTAGATGAGCTCCATTTGTTGAGCTGTTTCAATTGCATTGTTCATAACACTAGTTAATGTTTGACACTGTACTGCTCAAATGCTTTTACTCCTTGTTCCTTTGTGAAAATTCACAAATCCCCCAAAAATATGTACCTGCAACAAACACATTTAACTACTAACAAATAAGTTATTTATCTGTCAAATTCTACTCTGAATTTTGGCCCAACCTGTACAAAGTACTTGGCTGGGTAGGCCGAGATCCTTTTTGCAATCTAAAGGTTAAACTAGCACAAGCCTGGCCAAGGTGCTCCTTAGGTTCAGAGTTTTATGAAGAAAGGGACTGTCACTCATTTTCAGACTGGGACGTTTATACAACTTAATGGCTGCATCGTTCTTTCATCAGAAATGATGCAAACCAAGAGGAGCAAGCTTTAAAATAGTTTGAGTAATTTTTCATAAGGGAGTGTTGTGTGTGTGTGTGTGTGTGTATGTGTGTCTGTGTGTGTATGTATATGTGTGTATATATATATATATATATAGTCGTGACTCAGGCACTCACCATTAACAAGAGGAACTTTGTATTAGTAACAACCAGCGTGCCTCCAGCGCATATACAAAAGGTAATAAATGGAGCACTCCACGTGGATTTGTAAAAAAAAAAACTATATTCAGATGTATAATCAACGTTTCAACCCAACTGGGTCTTTATCAAGATCGATAAAGACCCAGGAGGGTCGAAACGTTGATTATACGTCTGAATATAGTTTGAAAAAAATCCACGTGGAGTGCTCCATTTATTAATATATATATTATAATGTGTGTGTATATATGTATGTGCCTATACATATAACATTTTGGAAACCTAGAAAGTGCTGATTTTTATGAATACAGATTTTTCTTTTCTCTTACTATTTGACTTTTTTTTGCAGAATGTTTAGATCTAGTCTTTGAACTATTTGAAACCTATGCTTTAGTGGATATAAAAAAATGCATTTGAAGGGGGTGGAGGTGACGACAATGGAACAGACAGCAATCCATAACGTTTTAGTTGAGGCTCGCTAAGGGATTGGCCTCTGCTAATGCCATGGCAATGCTGCATATGTAAAAATATTGATTTTATAACTGCATTCTGGTAAAAATTCAGTGGAACTTTCTCTGGGGTTGGAAAACTGCTTGAGGGTTTTGGAATTATTACTTTCGTACAGGGGAATATAAAGAAGATTTTTAATCTGAGAATTTATTTTCCCTTTTATTAGAGTATGGAGGGGGAAGGAGTTTATCAGCTACAGATGTTAGAGACGTGTTGGGGGCAGATTCGCTCCCTTCTTTTTTTCTTTTCTCTTCCCTCTCTCTCTCTGTCTTTGTAATTGGAGAGGTATATGTGGCATTATACACGGATAAACCAGCTCTGCTGGATCTCACAGCCTCCCCTGCAAGTCTCTGCTTGGCCTCCCTACATACTTGCACCTCGAAGCCTCTCTGTTCACAGAACACAACAATTCTGCATTGTTTGTTAAACTTTGTCATCTTCATGCTATTTTTTTTCAAAATTTTTTTCTTTAGCGCCATCATGATTTTTAGTCTGACTTGTAATTCTCTTGCCAAAACAATTATTCCCAACAACCATATGTCTCACACTTTGCAAAATGTATCTGTGGGGTCGGCTTTAGGCATTCAATCGCCCTGTTCAAAACGTGGAAGTGTGCCCCACCGGAAATGTTAATTTTACCATTTTTACTGATTGCGATAATTTAATGTAGTTAGATGCAAAAGACACATAAAACAGCCAGTCTATCGCTGATACATGTGTCTAAGATTGTTAATGTTATAAAGGGGCTTTTTAAAAAAATTACAAAATATGGTTTGTGTGGTATTGGTGCATGTAACAGTTTCTGTGTGTTAGATTGTTGTACACATATGAATGTTTCTTTGCGTAACACCATTCTGCATTTTATGAACAGCTTCGGTGTGCCCTACCAGTGAATGTAAGTCCATGCTGCACAACTGTGTGTGTTTCAGTGTACTGTTGTATGAGGTTTTTTAATCACAAGGTATGTAGGTGTTCCTGTGTTTGCAAGTGCAATTAGTTCATGAGCCCCCATGTGATGTAATGTGCAGTTGTGAACTGCAGTTCCATTGATGTTAAGTGAGCTTTAGTTGAACATTCTAGAAACTGACTGAAGTTCATAAGAACTGTAAAGGCCAGCCTCACCAGATGTTTGCTATTTGCAATACCCATGGATGACCACCACCGTTTATGGGTTGGCTGAGCATCATGAGTATTGTATATCACATTTTATAGACCCCCTAGTTAAAATGTCCTATATTCTGTTATCTGTCCCACTCCCAGTTAACTCTCCCCTTAATTATTTCTCTCTAACCTTCTGTCCCCCAGTTATTGTTCCCTGGCCCTCCCCCTATCAACTATCGGTCTCCTACCATAGTTGTTGTAATGTTACTGAGCAGTGATTGCCCAGATATGTTTTATGCATTCCCTGTAAGCCTTAGAACTTCACATGACTGGTGGAAGTGCTATCTGTGGAGGGTGGGACGGCATGATGTAATATCAAGTCTCTGCCTTTTCACTATACTACTGCATTTTGCAGAGAGTACTATGGCTTAAAGGAAGGCAAAGGCAAAGGCTGTCCCATAGGCAGCTGGAGAGGTGGGCATTTGGGCCACTAATGTCCTCCTTACGGGTTCGTTGTGGTGATTTCTGATCTCCATGGCCAGCCTATTGCAACAGCACGCCAACACTGTTTGTTTTTTGAGCCAGAAAATTATTTGTTGCTTACTTTTGGTTCTTGTTTGCATGGCAGTGTAAATGTTAGTGTACATAAACATAAATTGGCAATCAGAGAAAAGGAAGCATATTATGGATTGGTGGAATGGATGAAGGATAGAATCACAGGGGGAGATCTTTGGGATAATTGTGTTGCTCCAACAGATGACATGGTTTGTACAGGGAGAAGTGTTTGGGTATTTTTGCATGGTACAAATGGAGGTGTCTCATGAATAGTTCCCTTTAAAAACGTCCAAGGGACTGATGGAACACAACTGTCAGGATTATCTGTCTCCCCAGAGGTGTCGCACAAGTCATAGCATGGAAAAAGTTGTCTTGTTTAACTTCATTGCATTGATTGGTAGTAAACTGTAGATGGAACCACATTAACCATTTTGTGGATTAAAGCTTTTTGGGGGAAGCTGTTGGAGGCATTACACACTACACAATATGATTTAGCAAGAATTGCAACAAGAAATAAATCAAATCAATCTATATAAAAACAAGTAAATACAAAATCAACTCAATCATTTCTGAGGATGAGGCAGTTTAGATAGTCGGCTTTGTGTATCATAGATGGAAGGACACCGTTATATAAATCAGGATTGCAATGTGCTTGGCTAATTTGGGGCGTATGGTTTCGGATTGTGTGGCTTGTCATGGGAGAGGGAGTCTGTAAAAGCCATTCTTTGTATAATATTTACACAGGGAGGTTTGTTTAATGTCACATGGGTTTTATAGACATTCACGTGTTTTATTAATGTGCACACCCTGCTAAATCTGTCTGCCATTCTGCTTTTACATGGAGGCATGCACCTACTATGGCATTAAACATACACATTTTGGAAGATGAAACATCTTTGGCAGGCATATGTAACCTTCGACACTCCAGGAGTTGTGGACTACATCTCCCATAATGCTCTTAAGTGCCAAAGATGGCCTACTGTTGATCAAGGGGTACCACAGCCTTTCAGTTGTAGCAATAATTAGTTCTGTTTTTAAATATGTTAGAAAAATAATTTAAAGGTCTAATTTGTAACCCACTTTTTAAATTTCCCATCAGCCTGAAGTCCTCATGCGAACGTCCGTGCAGTGAGAGCCAGCCAGATCTTATTGAAGAGAACTGAAAGACCGTCTTCAAGGTTAGGCATCATTATCCAACAGACACTAAGGATTGTTTAATTTTGTTACAATCGAAATTTGTAGTGTGAATTACTGAATGATTAATGTGGCGTCTACAATATCAAGAACTGGATGAGTGCCACGTCATAATACTAAACTGTACAGTCAGCCAGTACATTCTGATCAGTTTAAAAGATAACATAAGTGCTATGGTGCAGAGACCATGACTGCCCACATTCCTGAAGTAATGCTTAATAGTATAGTTAATGGAGAGCTTGATACATTTAAAATGGAATGTGAAGCAAGATGCAAAATATAAGATCCAGTGTGTGGGAATTGCATAGGCATTTATTTCACCTACATAGTACCCATATTGGTAACCATGTATAAAGGAATAATGTAAGGTAAAAAACAACAACCAAAAAACACAATGTGATGTGTAGTTTGAAAAGGAACGTGCAGTTACTCGAAATGGCAGCATGGGATAAGGGAATTGGATACCATCCTTAATATTTAAGCTACACGACATAGAGAAGGACTACAAACCTTTGTGCCCATATATGTGCACTTGGCCTTCTCCAGGCTTCATTGCTTTTTTGTTCTGTTTTATAGATTTTATAACATACACGAGAAGCTGATTAAATTCAAATATCATTTGAATAATCACCACATAGCTGTACATATAATAAATGATTAATTGCACACTGTTACTTAATTTAATGTATATGAATCCATACCTTCCATTTGTCCCTATTTAGGAGGGAGAGTACCTGTTTTCGGCCCAAATCCCTCTATCTCCATTTTCTATCCTAATGTCCCTCTTTTCTAGGAGCTCCATGTTGTTGTTGTGTCTATACTTTGAGTGTAAACAGAGCTCCACAGCAATAATGCTCCCAGTAATGTGTCTCTAATCTACAATAAATCGGTTTAAAAGTCAGTCTGTGTAAATGGGGTACATTGTTCTTCTTCTGAGTTATGTTTTAGTTGCATACATTTTTAGGAAGTCACCCAAAATTTCTCAGAACAGCCAATACCCTGACCATACTCCCACTCCCACTCCTAAAATTAAAGTGTTCCTTTTTGTCCATTTGAAATGTTGGGAGGAATGTCAATCAAGTTTCAACATTCATAATTTTGATAGAAGCGCTAGGTTATGTTCCGTGCCTGCTACTCTTGCTGCATGGACCTACAAGTCTCAAAACAGTCTGCCAGACGAGGCCTGCATTAAATTGAATTCTGTTCCCCCAGTAGTTGGACTTTCTATCTATATCACATCAAAACACAGCAAAGCACTGATAAAAGTTCAAGTTATACACAACAGATTGCTTGAAAGATGTAACAAGGACCTTTGACAGAAGTATGGTACTCATTTTCCAGCATTCTCATCATGACAAATGGTGGGAAATTTGGAAAGCAAGTGCAGCTTATCCTTAAAGGAACACTATAGGATCAGGAACACAAATGCCCCCTACCAAAATATAGTAAAATCTTACCTTTTATTTTCAGTCTGTGGATGCTGGCTCTGCCCCTGATCTGCCTTCTTGACTGACATTATGTGATGATCTTATCCAATCACAATGCTTTCCCATAGGAAAGCATTGCATTGGCTGAGATTGCTGCATAATGTGCAGCACTGCCCCAGGAAGTACCTCTAGTAGCCGTCTCAGGAGAGGCAACTGGAGGCGTCCCTATTCTGTAATGTAAACACTGCCTTTTCTCTGAAAAGACAATGTTTACGGCAAAAGGCCTGCAGGGACTGACTAAACGCACCAGAACAAAAGCAATAAGCGGTAGCTGTACTGGTGACTATAGTGTCCCATTAAGATGTTTCATATTGTTGTTCCCAATTTTCTGCTAATCCTCAACACAGCTAATCCTATATTTTAACTATATAGGATGATAATGTAGATCTCATATATTTGGTTTTGGTTATAAGTGTCCCAATCTCTGTGGGCAATGAAGAAGGCTGGTGGTCTGTAAAATTCACACATTTTATAGATATGTAATGATCAGATGGCACTGATGTTGCATATCATTTAACTGGCTCCAAATTCTGGAGCAGTCAGAATTTGTATTAAAAATTCACCCTTAGCTCTGACGTTTCATGCCAGCTACTTTACAAACTGCCCAGGTATGCTTGATATGCATGATTTACTCTGGTCTACCTAGTGTCCTCCATTTTGTATCTCTTTCTGGTCTGCTTATGCAGTTCTACCATGTAATGTTTGAAGCATCCTATTACAAAATACATGAAGCTACATTGCCCCCTGCTGGCACTAATTTGTAATTGCATTGGTGTTTTTTACTCTAAATGGTTCCCTTAATATAGACGCACAGGAGATTCACCAGAATCGAATTTGTTTAAAATTCTACATGAGGACAAAATTAATTTCAGATTTTAGGACAAAATCACTGTAAATGTAGCTAGATTAGAGAATGTTACCAGTACAGCTATTTTCCTAGACACATTCAGACTTGATTAGAAGACTTTAGCAGCTGTATGGTTTGTGCTTAGAACAGGGGCTATTAGGCATTTGGAGTGTCGGCAATGCATTTATTTTTCAATGGAACATGTTTTTGGATGATCTCTCCATGAAATAAGGATATCCTTTACTACAAAAAATTTTAGAAAATTATTTATAAAAGATTGTAGATTGACTTAAGATAACGGGAAGACATTCCAGTTGAATATTAAATTAGGTAGCATACATTTATTTAATTGGGGAACCTGCCCATTTCTCAAGCAAACTTGATTTAGCTTTATTATTTTATTATTTATAGAGCGCCTGCAAAATCCTTAGCGCTGTACAATGGGCATTAGATGGGGTTCGTGTTTTCTAAAAATTGGCTCCTCTTCACGCCGCGACTTATGTCACAGGCTCCCTTGTGCAGTTCAATCAAATGTTTCCCGAAGCATTTGATTGGACCATTCTCACTGGCTCTGAGTGCATGCTCGGAGCCAGTGAGAGGAGACACGGAGGAATATAGGGAAGAGCAAACTTTCTTTTGCAGGCGAGCTACCTGCAATTAGAGAAGTTGACGTCTGACGACAATGCGTACATCTGGTGACATACATATTTTTTGCATAGAATTGACATTTGTCATCCTGAAGCTTAAAGCACCACTCTAGGCACCCAGACCTTAATGAAGTGGTCTGGGTGCCAGGTCCCTCTAGGATTAACCCTTTTTTTTATAAACATAGCAGTTTCAGAAAAACTGCTATGTTTATAAATGGGTTAATCCAGCCTCCAAATCCTCTAGTGGCTGTCTCATCGACAGCCGCTAGAGGCACTTGCATGATTCTCACTGTGAAAATCACAGTGAGAACACGCAAGCGTCCATAGGAAAGCATTCCTATGAGACCGGCTGAATGCACGCGCAGCTTTTGCTGCACGTGCGCATTCAGCCGAAAGGGAGGATCGGAGGCGGAGAGGAGGAGGAGAGCTTCCTGCCTTTCCTCTCCCCAGAGCCGGGTGGGAGGGGGTCCCTGGAGGTGGGGGGCACTCAGGGCACTATAGTGCCAGGAAAACGAGTATGTTTTCCTGGCACTATAGTGGTCCTTTAAGTCATACGTGCGAGAGTGCAAATAGCCCCTGGTGCAAAACTGTAAAAAATCTCTGTATATGCTATGTCTCAAGCAGAAATGTTACACATAAGGACTCCTACCACCATGACCACTTCTAAAAGTTGAATTAGTCATGGTGGTTGGGGAAAACCTTTAAGGCTTTATTTTCAATAACTGAAGTTTTAGTCACACCTGGTTTAACCTGTTATGAAGTTACAGCAATTTAGAATAAATAGCAGTAGTTAAATTTGATAAAGAATGATTATGAGCATAAACGGGTATTGAATTTTAACTTCTTGTTTGTCGCATTAGTGGGATTTTACTTATTATTATTATTATTTATAAAGCGCCAACAAGTTCCGCAGCGCTGTACAATGGGTTGAATAACGGACCCGTATTTGTAACCAGACGAGTTGGACACACAGGAACAGAGAGGTTGAGGGCCCTGTTCAATGAGCTTATATGCTAGAGGGCTTGGGGTATAGTGACACAAAAGGTAAGGGTAGGGTATAAAAGTATGTTGCTAGGATAGTATTCACTGAGGGTTTAGTGTTGTTTTGATGACGGTTGCAGGAGAGGAATCAGGGTGCGGGGCGAGAAAGCTGTTCACAGTTAAATTGATATGCTTTCCTTTAGAAGTATATTTTCAAAGACTTTTTGAAGGAGTGGAGACTGGGTGAAAGTCTAACAGAGCGGGGAAGGGCGTTCCATAGGAACGGTACAGCCCTAGAGAAATCTTTAAGACATGCATCTGAGGTAGGAGCATAGGCGTGCGCAGCCTATTGCATTAGGGTGTGCACCCTAAAGCACAAACACACGCCGTGCGCGTGTGTGTGTGTGTGTGTGTGTGTATATATATATATATATATACACACATATATATACATATATATATATATACGTATATATATATTCACAGACACACACACTCACACTCACAGAAACACACACACTCACTGACACACACACACTGACACATACTCACACACTCACTGACACACACACTCACAGACACATACTCACACACTCACAGACACACACTGACACACACACACTCACACACACTGACACATACTCACACACTCACTGACACACACACTCACAGACACATACTCACACACTTACAGACACACACTGACACACACTCACAGACACATACTCACACACTCACAGACACACACTCACAGACACACACTCACACACACTCACACACACACACACACACACACACACACACACACACACACACACACACACACACACACACACACACACACTCACAGACACACACTGACAGACACACACTGACACATACTCACACACTCACAGACACACACACAAATTATTATATTTTAATTTTTTTTTTAAATGTCCACCCAGCATCCTACCTGGAGTGCTGGTGGACTTGTCCCTGGGGTCCAGTGGGGGCGGGCGCAGGTCAGCCGCGGCGAGGGAGCTCTCTGCTCTCTGCTGTCTGCTCCCTCTCGCCGCGCGGGCTGTCTGCTGGAGCTGGGAGCCGGAATATGACGTCATATTCCGGCTCCCGGCATCAGCGCGCGGCGAGAGGAAGCAGAGAGCAGAGAGCTCCCTCGCCGCGGCTGACCTGCAGGGTGGGGGGGGAATCATCACCTCTTGCCCTCCCATGACAGGGGCAAGAGGTGAAACAGGGGGCACTGAGTGCCTGCAGGAACAGCGTTCCTGCTCAAAAGAGTGCAGGAACGCTGTTCCTGCAGGACTCAAACCATAGGGGTGCGCACGGGGATTAGGGTGTGCCCAGGCACACCCGGCACACCCCGTGCGCACGCCTATGGGTAGGAGTACGAACAGAGGTTAGATGTAGGTCTCCGGCAGAGTGTAGGCACCTAGACGGGACATATTTGTGTGTTGGTGAGGATACATACATCGGAGCAGCATTGTGTAGAGATTTGTTAGAAAATGTATTTCACACCTTCTGGTTTGCCATAGTGGCGAGCTTGCATTTAATAAACATAGGTACTTTCTTCAGTTTCAAGAACTGTCAACTATAGTAGAAATTATGCGTAGAATGTCTAAATTCTGTTTTACCCATTTTTTAGATGGAAGAAGAAGATACTCGGGAAGTTTTGCTCCCAAACTGGCAGGGGAGTGGGTCCATGGGGATTACCCTGGATCAGAATGACGATGGAGTGTTTGTGAAACAGCTTGTGCAGGATTCACCAGCTGGGAAAACTGGTGTAATGAAAGAAGGCAAGTACAAGCGAATGAATGCAACTTTGTTTAAGGATTTCAAATAATATAATGTTTATTTAAGCCTGTTTACACACTAACCATACAGCCACTTCTAATTGAACATTGACTGCTTCAATACATTTTCATGAGTATAATTGCTTTTTTAAAATTTTTGTATTTTTAAAAAAACAAAACCTTTTTTTTACTGTTTTGTAATTGTTTTCTATCCACATCATTAAAATCTTGTTTATTGTTACACACTTTGTCAGCTATGCCAATGAATGTATACTGAATACAAGAAAAAAAGGTGCAATATACCTTTAAAAATTTAAAGTGCATTAAAGTGAAGCAAAGTGTCAGTGTAATACACAATGCTTAAGTAGATTGTGTAAATTATGTGCAAAAATAGCATAAGTGTATTAAGTGATACAATATTGAAATAACTTACAAGAGAAATATCGCGACTAGCACTTACGGTCTCTGCAACAAACAGCACAGAAAATCAAGATCAGTCCTGTTATGGTTTCATACCTATGGTTATCTGAGAGTGCGTTCTTGATCTTGAATTTCTGTGCTGTTTGTTGCAGAGACCATAAGTGCTAGCCGCGGTTCTCACCCAAGAGTACTACAAAGGACTTTTGGACTTCCATGTGGGACTATAGAGCGTTATTTTATTCTATTGGAACGAATAAAGATTCATTTTAATTCAGCTGGCATCCTGCAATACTTAATACCATCCAGTCCTGGTTTATGGACTAAAGCCTGAAAAGTTAGAACAGACTTCCACTGCTCTTTCCTTGTGAGTTGCACTCCATTCATTTATCTTTTGTACTCACAATATACAGTAATATGCTATGTTTTTCCCTTTGTTTCCCTTTTTATGTACCATGTCTCTATATCTGATTGGGAATAATTAAGCGATATTTCTCTTGTAAGTCACCTGAACAACTTCAGCTTAATGAGCTTGTTCAGGAGAACTATAGCTCCCTGCAGCCTTTCTCATGTAAACACTGTATTTTCTGAGAAAATACAGTGTTTACATTGAAAGCTAGGAACACCTCCAGTTGCAGTCACTCAGAGTGAACCAGAGGGACTTCTGAGTTGATGGAGGCATAATATGCCTCCATCCACTCAGATCTGCTGTGCACGAGCATCTTGTGATTGAGTATCTCCTCCCACTGCGTGCAGACATTGAACTTTCCTCATAGAGATTCATTGATTCAATTAATCTCTATGAGAAGATGCTGATTGGCCAGGGCTGTGTTTGAATCATGCTGGCTCTGCCCCTGATCTGCCTCCTTGTCAGTCTCAGCCAATCCTATGGGGAAGCACTGTGATTGGATCAGGCTATCACATGTCAGCAGACTGCTTGTTTTTCCTGAGTCTAACAGCATGCAGATTTACAGCTTCTGGATTGAATACAGTAAGATTTTTACTATATTTATGGAGGCATGAGGGGCACAGGGTGGCTAGATGATCGTGTTAACACTATAGGGTCAGGAATACATGTAGTAGCACTGGTGACTAAAGTGTCCCTTTAATGCACTTTACATTTTTAAAGGTATAGCACACCTTTTTTTTCTTGTATTCATTTTATTTGGTGTGTTTAGAGCTTTTGCACTAGTAAGTTGCTGCTTTACCTTTTTTACATTTTTTCACTTATATTATCTCACTATTTTGAATTGTTAGCGCCTTTTTGCTTGTTTGTTTGTATATAATGAATGTATACTGCTTTAAGTTCAACATAGCTAAATGTATTGGCAGATTTATTACCATTATCGCCTTTTCCCATATCCTTAGCTGAGGCTGACAAACAGCTCCGGCCTTAGGCCTTTAGGCGCATTGTGTGAAAAATGTTCAAGGCACCCCTACCTAGTCACACTCGCTCATCCAGGTATAGTTTGTATTAATAATTCTAAAACAAACAAAAAATATGCATCCCCTCTTACCTGTTGTTACCAAGCGGATCTCAGGTAACCCAGGGTGCTGCTAATCTGATCTGCACATCTGCCCCGTGTCTGATATTTGTTATGGGTGTACTGACTGTGTGTGATCTTTGCGGTGGGTATTTAAGTCCGATTTTAAAAAAATGCATGTAGTCCCATGTGTGAATGCATTTTTGCAGTGTCACATGCACATATACACATATGCTGTCAAATTCAGCCACATACACACAGTCACAGGCAAGTGGTCACTTGCACATACAATCACACACACAGTTACAGCCATATATAGTCACACACACAGTAGTCCCAGGCAGACTGTCACACACACAGTCCCAGGCAGACTGTCACACCCACAGTCCCAGGCAGACTGTCACACACTCGGTAACAGACAGAGAGTCACATACAGACAGTCACACACACATACACAGTTGCTGGCAGACAGTCATACACACACACACATAGTTACAGGCAGACAATCACATGCACACCGTTATAGGCAAACTAACACACACACAGTCACAGGCAGACAGTCACACATGCACACTTACAGACAGTTACCTTTTTTCTATTATAGTCACTGGCTGTGGTAGGAGTAAAGGCATTGCAGTCTCTGTAGTCTATTAGTTGGGGAAGCAGAGCCTCCTTCCTGCTTTCCCTCAGTTTGCAGCAGTAACAGGGAAGCGGGCTCATGCTGCATTTACCCTCTACCCCTTCCGCCCATTTAGCCCTGCCTCCACCCCTGCTACCTTATTTTTGGCTCTGCCTCCTTACTAGCGTCCCCTACGTGTGTGAGCTGTTGGCCGCCCAGCACCCTTGCTGCCATGGCGCCTTGTGCGGTCGCACCGCTCACACACCCCTAAGGCCGGCCCTACTGACTCGTCTTCTTTTTATATGTTCAGGTGACCAGATTGTTGGAGCCACTGTCTACTTTGACAATATGTCATCAGAAGACATTCAGAGGTTGTTGGCCAATGTAGGCCATCATACTGTGGGCCTCAAACTCCAGAGAAAAGGGGACCGATCTCCTCAGCCTGGAATGTCCTGGTCCCACGATGTCTTCAGTCTGAAAAGTCCGGATGTTGTTCTGGTGAGTGGTTTTCATTAGTTTAGATTATTGCACCATACTAGTCTTGCTGCGTGGATTAAAAAAAACAAAAAAACACAGTGTGCCATTTCTTAATATTAATTATTCTTTCATTATTTGCTGCATGGTAATATCATAAAGAGAGCACATGTAGTCATTTGTAAAAAAAAATGTTTATCTATCTATCTAGTGATATATTTAAAAATTAATGTATAAATATCTCCAGCAAAGGAATGGTAAGATTGGTTGTCATTGCCTGGGGTGTGCTGTGCTAGTGTTCGGACAAGAAGACAAGAAGCTGGAAATTGCCAAGGACTGAATAGAAGTTTGAAAAATGTGCAGAAGGTTAGCTGGGTGGGGATAAGGAAGGAGTTGTTGGTTTGGGAAATTATTTTAGGGATATCATGATGAGAAATTTAGCTAGGTAAAAACATATATTCCTTTTGCTAAGCCCTTTTTTGGGTTGTTCTTCCATCACAGTGATTTAGAATCTGATAACACCCTTTTCTGCTATGCATTAAAATGAACAGATGTCTAAGTAGAACATGCTCTATGCAAACTGTAGTATGAAACAAGGAAAAATTACCAAAAATAAGTTTTGTTAAAAGAAGGGTAACCATGACACGGAGTAATTATAAAATACAAGCACATCCAGGTTTACAGGCACGAGTTGTGGTAAAGCTAACTATTCTCTCTTTTTTTTTTTTTCAGAGTGGTGATGATGAGGAATACAGACGAATTTACACAAAAAAGATAAAGCCACGCCTGAAGTCCGATGAAAGTCTGGAACCAGAAACACAGACTAGGACAATCACAGTTACCAGGAAAGTGACTGCTTACACAGTAGATGTAACTGGATCTAAAGATTCTAAGGAAGTTGACATCAGCAGTCCAGAGTATAAGATTAAGATTCCCAGACATGACATAACAGAGTTCTCAAAATCCAGTGTGGATACTGGTGAGGGCAAAACGGTGATTAAAATCCCAGGTATTGATGTATCTGGCAAAACCTTTCAAGTGGGAAAAGAACAGCATTTTGTAACAACCAGGACTGAACTCTCCCTCCCAGGAGACACTGTTAGTGTTCAAAGCAAAAATGTCCGTTATTATGAACAAAGCGGAGGAGCGTCTGATATTCCCAGCATCCATACTGATTCTTCTGTTCGGGTGACAAGTAGGTCTTCAGGAGTCACTGACTTTCCAGATGTAAGTATTTCTGGACCAAAGTTTCAGAGTTATGAGCGGAAAATAGATTTCAATACATCCAGGTTTGAAATGGAGAAAGATTTCAATCAGAGAAGTCCTAATCTTGCCGGAGCCTCCTCTATAGATATAGATCCGAAAGGTCTGACTGTGAAAGGAGAAGATATTGACAGTACCATGAAGTCTACATTGGATAATAATGCTCCCAGCTTAAGTCCTGGTTTTGAGGCTTCCAAAACTGGATTCCAGTCAGGTGTAACCATTAAAGGGCCTCAATTTGATGTAAAGAAACCACAAGGATTTAAAGTGGACAGCGCTGATTGCCAACAAACTCAGTTTGGGATTGCTTTGCCAACGGTTTCTGGGGATATGACCACAAATAATGAAGTGACTTTGACTCATGGAGGGTTCGAGCTCTCTGCACAACAGGCAGAAATAAGGGGTGCCTCATATGAAGGGGAAATTAAAGCTGCAAAAAATGATTGGACTGTGCCTACTGTGGATGTGAAAGGTCTTGAAAGAGACAGTATAGTTTCTGGTGGGAAAATACAACTTCCTCCGTTTAGGATGCCGACATTTGGAAAGAAAGATGCTGTAGAAAGTGGTGTAAATCGTCAGGCATCTCTTGATTCCCCTGCCAGTGCAATCTCTCCTGATATTCATCTAGGAAGTTCACAATTAGATGGTAAGATTCATGGTCCTGGTGTTAATTTTAAAGCTTCTACTTTTGGCATTTCCAGTCATAAGTGGGAGACATCTGATGTTGATGGAAATGCAAACATTGGTATTGATGTATCTGGTCCTAAAATGGACATTAAGGAATTAGAAGGAAATTTAAAAGGTCCCACTTTTGAAACCTCAAAAATCAATGTGGACCTGCCCAAAGTGTCAGTGCCAAATGTAGATATCCAGCTGCAAGGTGATAAAGTAGAATTCAAAGAGTCACACGTGGCTCCTAAGTCAGATTTTGAGGTTGAATGTCAAGCGGGAACAATAAAAGGTCCCACATTTAAAATGCCATCAATGAATGCTGATTTACCAAATGTTTCCATAAACGATGTTGATCTAAAAGGCCCTGAAGGAAAGGTGATATTGTCAAAATTTAAAATGTCCAAGTTTGCACTGTCTTGTCCTGAGATGGAAGGTTCACTTATTACTGATAGCATTTCAAAAGGAGATGTTAATGTGTCTGATACAAGAATAGGTATACCATCAGTAAATGTGCCTCAGATGTCTATGTCTGATTTTGATGTGAACCTAAGAGGTCCTAGTTTGAAAGGGGATGTTGATGTTTCTGGTCCTAAAGTGTCAGGTTATATCAGAGATCCCATACTTGATATAAAGGGTCCTGAGTTTAACACCGGAATCCCAGATGTTGATCTCAAAGGACCCACCAAACAAATACAATTACCGAAGTTTAAAATGCCAAAGTTTGGTATATCAGAACCAAAAGTAGACGCTCCAGAAATGGAGGTTACAATTCCAAAAGGTGAAATTGAAATTACTGGTCCCAGGATTGCTGTTGATTCTACTGATATTAATCTTAAAGGCCCAAAATGGAAGGGAGAAGCAGGAATTTCAGATCCCAAGCTGAAAGGGGATTTGGAAGGTCCCAAAGCTGGCATCAAAGGTGCTGTTGTTGATGTTAACATTCCACATGTCAGTATTGATGGGGAATTGAAAAGCTCTAAATTCAAGATGCCATCAAAGGATCTGCCTAAAGTGTCCATGCCCAGTATTGATTTAAATGTAAAAGGCCCTAAACTGGAAAGGGATTTAGAAGGTCCTACAGTTAACATTAAGGATCCACCCATAGATTTTGAAGCACCAGATGTTGGTTTGAAAGATCCAGAAGGAAAATTTAAACTGCCCAAATTCAAAGTACCTACATTTGGGATAAGGAGTACAAATGTTAAAGGTGATGTGGATGTTAAACTTCCAAAAGGTAAAATAGATATATCTGGTCCAGAGGTAGATATGGAGTCTTCTGAATTAGATCTTGAGGGGAAAGTTAAAGGCTCTAGATTTAAGATGCCATCTATGCATCCCCCTAAAGTGTCTAGGTCTGATTTAGATCTAAATCTAAAAGGATCTAAGATAGAGGGGGAGTTGACAGGTCCTAAAGTTGACATCCAGAAGCCAGATGTCAAACTTGGCTCACCCAGTGTAGATATTGATGTTAATCTAAAAGGTCCAAAACTGGAAAGGGATTTCAAAGGTCCAAATCTTGACCTCAGGGCTCCAGAAGTAGATTTGGAAGTGCCAGATGTTAATCTTAAAGGTCCAGAAGGAAAATTTAAAATGCCTAAATTTGGGGTGTCTGGGACACATGTAGAAGGTGAAGTAGATGTTAAACTACCAAAAGGGAGCCTAGATATATCTAGTTCCAAGGTAGATGTTGAAGCTCCAAATGTGGATATAGAAGGTTCCAAAGGGAAGGTAAAAGGTCATAAATTTAATGTGCCATCTATGAATGTCAGTTTACCTAAAGCTACCATGCCTGATTTTGATTTAAATTTCAGAGGGCCAAAAATTAAAGGAGAGACTCATCTTTCAGGCCCTAAACTTGAAAGTGAATTAAAAGGATCACAGATTGATGTTGATGTGCCAGACATTACCCTTGATGGAAAAGTGAAAGGTTACAAATCTCAGATACCTTCTATAAATGTCAATTTACCAGAAGTATCGATGCCAGATGTAGATCTAAACCTCAAGGGTGCTGACTGGAAAAAGAATGTTGATGTATCTGTCCCAAAAGTAGATCTACAAGGCCCCAAGCTTGATCTAAAAAGTACAGATATCAATTTAAAAATGCCTGAGATGAATCTGGAAGGTACTGAAGGAAAAATAACAATTCCCAAATTTAAAATGCCTAAATTTGGTGTCTCTGGGACGCAAATTGAGGCTCCAGACATGGATGTTAAAATACAAAGAGGTGACCTTAATATATCTGGTCCTAAGGTAGACATGGAATCTCCTGAGATTGATATTGAGGGGAAAACAAAGGATTCAAAATTTAAGATGCCTTCAATGCATCCACCAAAAATGTCAATGCCCAATGTTGATCTAAATTTTAAGGGTCCCACGTGGAAGAGAGAACTAGATATTTCTGGTCCTAAAGTAGAAGGAAGTTTAAAAAGTCCAGATATAAAGGTTAAAACAACAGACGTAGATATTGAAGGCACAGATGGGAAAATCAAAGGACCCAAATTCAACATACCATCTATGAATTTTAATTTGCCAAAAATGTCAAAGCCAGATGTTGATTTAAACCTGAAAGGACCAAAATGGAAAGGTGAAGCTGACATATCTGGACCGAAGGTTGATATTAAGGGGCCAGAGGTTGATCTTGATGCTCCAGATATAGATGGAAAAGTGAAGGGTCCCACATTAAAGATGCCATCAATGCATTTTACTAAAGTATCCATGCCTGATATGGATTTGAATTTAAAAGGCCCTAAAGTAGAAGGAGATTTTAAAGGTCCTAAAGTTGACATTAAGGGGCCAGAAGTTGATATTGATGCACCAGATGTAGATATTGAAGGCAAAGGGAAATTTAGAATGCCCAAGTTCAGGTTACCCAAGTTTGGTATGTCTAGTACAAAGGTTGAGGGATCAGACATTGATATAAATGTGCCAAAATGTGAGCTTGATGTCTCTGGTCCAAAAGTAGATGTTGAGTTACCAGATATTGACATTGAGGGCCCAGAAGGGAAAGTGAAAGGTCCCAAATTTAAGATGCCATCAATGCCATCAATGCATGTTCCTAAAGTGTCCATGCCTGATATGGATTGGAATCTAAAAGGCCCTAAAGTAGAAGGGGATTTGAAAGGTCCTAAAGTTGACATTAAGGGGCCAGAGGTTGATCTTGATGTGCCAGATGTAGATATTGATGGAAAAGTGAAGGGTCCCAAATTCAAGATGCCTAAAGTGTCCATGCCTGATATTGATTTGAATCTGAAAGGCCATAAAGTAGAAGGTGATTTGAAAGGTCCTAAAGTTGACATTAAGGGGCCGGAGGTTGATCTTGATGCTCCAGATGTAGATATTGATGGAAAAGTGAAAGGTCCCAAATTCAAGATGCCATCAATGCCATCAATGCATGTTCCTAAAGTGTCCATGCCTGATATTGATTGGAATCTAAAAGGCCCTAAAGTAGAAGGGGATTTGAAAGGTCCTAAAGTTGACATTAAGGGGCCAGAGATGGATCTGGATGTGCCACATGTAGATATTGATGGAAAAGTGAAGGGTCCCAAATTCAAGATGCCTAAAGTGTCCATGCCTGATATTGATTTGAGTCTGAAAGGCCCTAAAGTAGAAGGTGATTTGAAAAGTCCTAAAGTTGACATTAAGGGGCCGCAGGTTGATCTTGATGCTCCAGATGTAGATATTGATGCAAAAGTGAAAGGTCCTAAATTCAAGATGCCATCGATGCCATCAATGCATCTTCCTAAAGTGTCCATGCCAGATATGGATTGGAATCTAAAAGGCTCTAAAGTAGAAGGGGATTTGAAAGGTCCTAAAGTTGACATTAAGGGGCCAGAGGTTGATCTTGATGTGCCAGATGTAGATATTGATGGAAAAGTGAAGGGTCCAAAATTCAAGATGCCTAAAGTGTCCATGCCTGATATTGATTTCAATCTGAAAGGCCCTAAAGTAGAAGGTGATTTGAAAGGTCCTAAAGTTGACATTAAGGGGCCAGAGGTTGATCTTGATGTGCCAGATGTAGATATTGATGGAAAAGTGAAGGGTCCAAAATTCAAGATGCCTAAAGTGTCCATGCCTGATATTGATTTCAATCTGAAAGGCCCTAAAGTAGAAGGTGATTTGAAAGGTCCTAAAGTTGACATTAAGGGGCCAGAGGTTGATCTTGATGTGCCAGATGTAGATATTGATGGAAAAGTGAAAGGTCCAAAATTCAAGATGCCTAAAGTGTCCATGCCTGATATTGATTTCAATCTGAAAGGCCCTAAAGTAGAAGGGGATTTGAAAGGTCCTAAAGTTGACATTAAGGGGCCAGAGGTTGATCTTGATGTGCCAGATGTAGATATTGATGGAAAAGTGAAGGGTCCCAAATTCAAGATGCCAAAAGTGTCCATGCCTGATATTGATTTGAGTCTGAAAAGCCCTAAAGTAGAAGGTGATTTGAAAGGTCCTAAAGTTGACATTAAGGGGCCGGAGGTTGATCTTGATGCACCAGATGTAGATATTGATGGAAAAGTGAAGGGTCCCAAATTCAAGATGCCATCAATGCCATCAATGCATCTTCCTAAAGTGTCCATGCCTGATATGGATTGGAATCTAAAAGGCCCTAAAGTAGAAGGGGATTTGAAAGGTCCTAAAGTTGACATTAAGGGGCCAGAGGTTGATCTTGATGTGCCAGATGTAGATATTGATGGAAAAGTGAAGGGTCCCAAATTCAAGATGCCTAAAGTGTCCATGCCTGATATTGATTTGAGTCTGAAAGGCCCTAAAGTAGAAGGTGATTTGAAAGGTCCTAAAGTTGACATTAAGGGGCCAGAGGTTGATCTTGATGCTCCAGAAGTAGATATTGAAGGCAAAGGGAAATTTAGAATGCCCAAGTTCAGGTTACCCAAGTTTGGTATGTCTAGTACAAAGGTTGAAGAATCAGACATTGATATAAATGTGCCAAAATGTGAGCTTGATGTCTCTGGTCCAAAAGTAGATGTTGAGTTACCAGATATTGATTTTGAGGGCCCAGAAGGGAAAGTGAAAGGTCCCAAATTCAAGATGCCATCAATGCCATCAGTGCATCTTCCTAAAGTGTCCATGCCTGATATGGATTGGAATCTAAAAGGCCCTAAAGTAGAAGGGGATTTGAAAGGTCCAAAAGTTGACATTAAGGGGCCAGAGGTTGATCTTGATGTGCCAGATGTAGATATAGATGGAAAAGTGAAGGGTCCCAAATTCAAGATGCCAAAAGTGTCCATGCCTGATATTGATTTGAGTCTGAAAGGCCCTAAAGTAGAAGGTGATTTGAAAGGTCCTAAAGTTGACATTAAGGGGCCGGAGGTTGATCTTGATGCTCCAGATGTAGATATTGATGGAAAAGTGAAAGGTCCTAAATTCAAGATGCCATCAATGCCATCAATGCATCTTCCTAAAGTGTCCATGCCTGATATGGATTGGAATCTAAAAGGCCCTAAAGTAGAAGGGGATTTGAAAGGTCCTAAAGTTGACATTAGGGGGCCAGAGGTTGATCTTGATGTGCCAGATGTAGATATTGATGGACAAGTGAAGGGTCCCAAATTCAAGATGCCTAAAGTGTCCATGCCTGATATTGATTTGAGTCTGAAAAGCCCTAAAGTAGAAGGTGATTTGAAAGGTCCTAAAGTTGACATTAAGGGGCCAGAAGTTGATCTTGATGCGCCAGATGTAGATATTGAAGGCAAAGGGAAATTTAGAATGCCCAAGTTCAGGTTACCCAAGTTTGGTATGTCTAGTACAAAGGTTGAGGGATCAGACATTGACATAAATGTGCCAAAATGTGAGCTTGATGTCTCTGGTCCAAAAGTAGATGTTGAGTTACCAGATATTGACATTGAGGGCCCAGAAGGGAAAGTGAAAGGTCCCAAATTCAAGATGCCGTCAATGCCATCAATGCATGTTCCTAAAGTGTCCATGCCTGATATTGATTGGAATCTAAAAGGCCCTAAAGTAGAAGGGGATTTGAAAGGTCCTAAAGTTGACATTAAGGGGCCAGAGGTTGATCTTGATGTGCCAGATGTAGATATTGATGGAAAAGTGAAGGGTCCAAAATTCAAGATGCCTAAAGTGTCCATGCCTGATATTGATTTCAATCTGAAAGGCCCTAAAGTAGAAGGTGATTTGAAAGGTCCTAAAGTTGACATTAAGGGGCTGGAGGTTGATCTTGATGCTCCAGATGTAGATATTGATGGAAAAGTGAAAGGTCCTAAATTCAAGATGCCTAAAGTGTCCATGCCTGATATTGATTTCAATCTGAAAGGCCCTAAAGTAGAAGGTGATTTGAAAGGTCCTAAAGTTGACATTAAGGGGCTGGAGGTTGATCTTGATGCTCCAGATGTAGATATTGATGGAAAAGTGAAAGGTCCTAAATTCAAGATGCCATCGATGCCATCAATGCATCTTCCTAAAGTGTCTATGCCTGATATGGATTGGAATCTAAAAGGCCCTAAAGTAGAAGGGGATTTGAAAGGTCCTAAAGTTGACATTAGGGGGCCAGAGGTTGATTTTGATGTGCCAGATGTAGATATTGATGGAAAAGTGAAGGGTCCCAAATTCAAGATGCCTAAAGTGTCCATGCCTGATATTGATTTGAGTCTGAAAGGCCCTAAAGTAGAAGGTGATTTGAAAGGTCCTAAAGTTGACATTAAGGGGCCGGAGGTTGAACTTGATGCTCCAGATGTAGATATTGATGGAAAAGTGAAAGGTCCTAAATTCAAGATGCCATCGATGCCATCAATGCATCTTCCTAAAGTGTCCATGCCTGATATGGATTGGAATCTTAAAGGCCCTAAAGTAGAAGGGGATTTGAAAGGTCCTAAAGTTGACATTAAGGGGCCAGAGGTTGATCTTGATGTGCCAGATGTAGATATTGATGGAAAAGTGAAGGGTCCCAAATTCAAGATGCCTAAAGTGTCCATGCCTGATGTTGATTTGAGTCTGAAAGGCCCTAAAGTAGAAGGTGATTTGAAAGGTCCTAAAGTTGACATTAAGGGGCCAGAAATTGATCTTGATGCTCCAGAAGTAGATATTGAAGGCAAAGGGAAATTTAGAATGCCCAAGTTCAGGTTACCCAAGTTTGGTATGTCTAGTACAAAGGTTGAGGGATCAGACATTGATATAAATGTGCCAAAATGTGAGCTTGATGTCTCTGGTCCAAAAGTAGATGTTGAGTTACCAGATATTGACATTGAGGGCCCAGAAGGGAAAGTGAAAGGTCCCAAATTCAATATGCCTAAAGTGTCCATGCCTGATATTGATTGGAATCTGAAAGGCCCTAAAGTAGAAGGGGATTTGAAAGGCCCAAAACTTGACATTAAGGGACCAGAGGTTGATCTTAATGCTCCAGATGTAGATATTGATGGGAAAGTGAAGGGTCCTAAATTCAAGATGCCATCAATGCCATCAATGCATATGCCTAAAGTGTCCATGCCTGACATTGATTTGAATCTGAAAGGCCCTAAACTAGAAGGTGATTTGAAAGGCCCGAAAGTTGACATGAAAGGGCCAGAGGTTGATCTTAATGCTCCAGATGTAGATATAGATGGAAAAGTGAAGGGTCCCAAATTCAAAATGCCATCAATGCCATCAATGCATCTCTCTAAAGTGTCCATGCCTGATATTGACCTTAACCTGAAGGGTCCTAAATTGGAAGGGGACTTAAAAGGTCCCAATGTTGACATCAAGGGGCCAGAGGTTGATCTAGATGCGCCAGTTGTAGACATTGGGGAAGGCAAGGGGAGATTTAAAATGCCCAGGTTCAATTTATCCAAGTTTCGCATGTCTGGTCCAAAAGCTGAGGGACCAGACATTGATATAAACTTGCCAAAAGGCGAGCTTAATGTTTCTGGTCCAAAAGTAGATGTTGAGGTGCCAGATGTTGATATTGAATGTCCAGAAGGGAAAGTGAAAGGTACCAAATTTAAGATGCCATCAATGCATCTGCATAAAATGTCCATGCCTGATGTTGATTTGAATCTGAAAGGTCCAAAACTGGAAGGAGATTTGAAAAGTCCTAAAGTTGACATCAAGGGGCCAGATGTTGATCTTGAAGCTCCAGATATAGATATTGAAGGCAAGGGGAAATTTAGAATGCCCAAGTTCAGGTTACCCAAATTTGGTATGTCTAGTACAAAGGTTGAGGGATCAGACATTGATGTGAACTTACCAAAAGGCGAGCTTAATGTTTCTGGTCCAAAAGTAGATCTTGAGGTGCCAGATATTGACATTGAATGTCCAGAAGGGAAAGTGAAAGGTAACAAATTCAAGATGCCATCAATGCATATGCCTACAGTGTCCATGCCTGATATTGATTGGAATCTGAAAGGCCCTAAAGTAGAAGGGGATTTGAAAGGTCCTAAAGTTGACATTAAGGGGCCAGAGGTTGATCTTGATGTGCCAGATGTAGATATTGATGGAAAAGTGAAGGGTCCCAAATTCAAGATGCCTAAAGTGTCCATGCCTGATATGGATTGGAATCTGAAAGGCCCTAAAGTAGAAGGGGATTTGAAAGGTCCTAAAGTTGACATTAAGGGGCCAGAGGTTGATCTTGATGCCCCAGATGTAGATCTAGATGGAAAAGTGAAGGGTCCCAAATTCAAGATGCCATCGATGCCATCCAGTACATATGCCTAAAGAAGTGTCCATGCCTGATATAGTTGGAATCACAGAAAGGCTAAAAGTGAAGATTTGAAGGTCCCTAAAGAGATTGACATTAAGGGGCCAGAGGTTGAACTTGATACTCAGATGTAGATCTAGAATGGAAAAGTAGAAGGGTCCCAAATTTCCGAGATACTGCACTCCATTTTCCATCAATTGCATATACCTAAAAAAGTGTCCATACCTGATATGAATTGGAATCTGAAAAGAGCCCTAAAGTAGAAGTTTGAAAGGTCTAAAGTTGACATTAAGAGACGAGGTTGATCTTGATATACTCCAGATGTAGATCTAGATGGAAAAGAAGTGAAGGGTCCCAAATTCAAGATACCATCGATACCATCAATACAAATACCTAAAGTGTCCATGCCTGATGGTGTTAGGAGTCTGAAAGGCCTAAAGTAGAAGGGGATTTGAAAGGTCCTAAAGTTGACATTAAGGGGCCAGAGGTTGATCTTGATGCTCCAGATGTAGATCTAGATGGAAAAGTGAAGGGTCCCAAATTCAAGATGCCATCGATGCCATCAATGCAAATGCCTAAAGTGTCCATGCCTGATATTGATTGGAATCTGAAAGGCCCTAAAGTAGAAGGGGATTTGAAAGGTCCTAAAGTTGACATTAAGGGGCCAGAGGTTGATCTTGATGCTCCAGATGTAGATCTAGATGGAAAAGTGAAGGGTCCCAAATTCAAGATGCCATCGATGCCATCAATGCATATGCCTAAAGTGTCCATGCCTGATATGGATTGGAATCTGAAAGGCCCTAAAGTAGAAGGGGATTTGAAAGGTCCTAAAGTTGACATTAAGGGGCCAGAAGTTGATCTTGATGCCCCAGATGTAGATCTAGATGGAAAAGTGAAGGGTCCCAAATTCAAGATGCCATCGATGCCATCAGTGCATATGCCTAAAGTGTCCATGCCTGATATGGATTGGAATCTGAAAGGCCCTAAAGTAGAAGGGGATTTGAAAGGTCCTAAAGTTGACATTAAGGGGCCAGAGGTTGAACTTGATGCTCCAGATGTAGATCTAGATGGAAAAGTGAAGGGTCCCAAATTCAAGATGCCATCGATGCCATCAATGCATATGCCTAAAGTGTCCATGCCTGATATGGATTGGAATCTGAAAGGCCCTAAAGTAGAAGGGGATTTGATAGGTCCTAAAGTTGACATTAAGGGGCCAGAGGTTAACCTTGATGCTCCAGATATAGATATTGATGGGAAAGTGAAGGGTCCTAAATTCAAGATGCCATCGATGCCATCAGTGCATATGCCTAAAGTGTCCATGCCTGACATTGATTGGAATCTGAAAGGCCCTAAAGTAGAAGGGGATTTGAAAGGTCCTAAAGTTGACATTAAGGGGCCAGAGGTTGATCTTGATGCTCCAGATGTAGATCTAGATGGAAAAGTGAAGGGTCCCAAATTCAAGATGCCATCGATGCCATCAATGCAAATGCCTAAAGTGTCCATGCCTGATATGGATTGGAATCTGAAAGGCCCTAAAGTAGAAGGGGATTTGAAAGGTCCTAAAGTTGACATTAAGGGGCCAGAGGTTGATCTTGATGCCCCAGATGTAGATCTAGATGGAAAAGTGAAGGGTCCCAAATTCAAGATGCCATCGATGCCATCAATGCATATGCCTAAAGTGTCCATGCCTGATATGGATTGGAATCTGAAAGGCCCTAAAGTAGAAGGGGATTTGAAAGGTCCTAAAGTTGACATTAAGGGGCCAGAGGTTGATCTTGATGCTCCAGATGTAGATCTAGATGGAAAAGTGAAGGGTCCAAATTCAAGATGCCATCGATGCCATCAGTGCATATGCCTAAAGTGTCCATGCCTGATATGGATTGGAATCTGAAAGGCCCTAAAGTAGAAGGGGATTTGAAAGGTCCTAAAGTTGACATTAAGGGGCCAGAGGTTGATCTTGATGCCCCAGATGTAGATCTAGATGGAAAAGTGAAGGGTCCCAAATTCAAGATGCCATCAATGCCATCAATGCATATGCCTAAAGTGTCCATGCCTGATATAGATTTAAATCTGAAAGGTCCAAATTGGAAGGGAGACGCTGATCTATCAATTCCAAAAGTTGAAGGCGATTTAAAAGGTCCCAAAATTGATCTGAAATGCCCAGATTTGGATCTAGAAGTGCCACAAATTGATGTTGAAGGTCCAGAAGGAAAACTGAAAATGCCTAAATTTAAGTTTCCCAAGTTTGGTTTCTCTGGCCCAAAATTGGACGGTACAGATGTAGACATTAAACTTCCACAAGGAGATATTGATATCTCAGGACCTACTGTAGACCTGAAAACACCAGAGTTGGACATAGAGGGCCCTGAAGGTAAAGTGAAAGGCTCCAAATTCAAATTACCATCAGTGAATGTAAACCAACCTAAAGTATCTATGCCAGACATTGATATGAATTTAAAAAGTCCCAAGCTGAAAGTTGACTTGAGTACACCTGAAGTAAATTTAGAAGGGGATTTAAAAACACCTGAATTTGATGTGCAAAGCCCTGATATTGAGATTCCAAGTCCTAGTCTTTCAGTTGATTTGCCAGAAGGAAAATTAAAAGGCTCCAGATTTAAGTTACCATCATGGGGTTTTTCTAAACCCACCATTTCCATGTCAGATGCTGACATGCATCTTAAAGGACCTAAAGTTAAGGGTGACATTGATGCATCACTTTCAAAGGGTGGTAGCCTCAAAAGTCCTGATTTGGATATTAGTGGCCCAAAGGTAGGCCTTGATGTTCCAGAAGCAAAGGTTAAAAAATCCAGATTTAAGATGCCCAAGTTCAACTTCTCAGGTTCTAAGGCACAGACATCAACTGCAGATGTGAAACTTCCTAAAGCAGACATTGATGTCAGTGGACCTGATGTGAATATTCCTTCCCTAGAAGCAAAAGGGAAAAGTCCTAAATTCAAAATGCCCTCATTAAGCATAACAAGTCCAAAGGTTTCTGTGCCTGATGTTGAATTAAATGTAAAAGGACCAAAGTTAAAAGGTGACATGGATGTTACAGTTCCAAATATTGAAGGAGAATTAAAAGGGCCAAAGGTTGATATCATTGCACCAAGTGTACATATAGAGACTCCCGATACTGATTTAGAAGGCCCTGATGTGAAAGGGAAAATAAAGATGCCAAAATTCAGCCTACCAAAATTTGGAATTTCTGCTTCCAAATTTGAAACTCCAGATATTGATGTAAAATTGCCACAAGTAGAAATTGATGCATCTGGTCCTAAACTAGATGCTGAGGTACCAGATATAGATATTGAATGTCCAGAAGGGAAAGTGAAAGGTCCAACATTCAAGATGCCACAAATTAATCTGCCTAAAATGTCCATGCCTGACATTGATTTGAATCTGAAAGGCCCTAAACTAGAAGGTGATTTGAAAGGTCCTAAAGTTGACATTAAGGGGCCAGAGGTTGATCTTGATGCTCCAGATGTCGATATTAATGGAAAAGTGAAGGGTCCCAAATTCAAGATGCCATCAATGCCTAAAGTGTCCATGCCTGATATGGATTGGAATTTGAAAGGCCCTAAAGTAGAAGGGGATTTGAAAGGTCCTAAAGTTGACATTAAGGGGCCAGAGGTTGATCTTGATGCTCCAGATGTAGATCTAGATGGAAAAGTGAAGGGTCCCAAATTCAAGATGCCATCGATGCCATCAATGCATATGCCTAAAGTGTCCATGCCTGATATGGATTGGAATCTGAAAGGCCCTAAAGTAGAAGGGGATTTGATAGGTCCTAAAGTTGACATTAAGGGGCCAGAGGTTAACCTTGATGCTCCAGATATAGATATTGATGGGAAAGTGAAGGGTCCTAAATTCAAGATGCCATCGATGCCATCAGTGCATATGCCTAAAGTGTCCATGCCTGACATTGATTTGAATCTGAAAGGCCCTAAACTAGAAGGTGATTTGAAAGGTCCTAAAGTTGACATTAAGGGTCCAGAGGTTGATCTTGATGCTCCAGATGTAGATCTAGATGGAAAAGTGAAGGGTCCCAAATTCAAGATGCCATCGATGCCATCAATGCATATGCCTAAAGTGTCCATGCCTGATATGGATTGGAATCTGAAAGGCCCTAAAGTAGAAGGGGATTTGAAAGGTCCTAAAGTTGACATTAAGGGGCCAGAGGTTAACCTTGATGCTCCAGATGTAGATATTGATGGGAAAGTGAAGGGTCCTAAATTCAAGATGCCATCGATGCCATCAATGCAAATGCCTAAAGTGTCCATGCCTGACATTGATTTGAATCTGAAAGGCCCTAAACTAGAAGGTGATTTGAAAGGTCCTAAAGTTGACATTAAGGGGCCAGAGGTTGATCTTGATGCTCCAGATGTAGATCTAGATGGAAAAGTGAAGGGTCCCAAATTCAAGATGCCATCGATGCCATCAATGCAAATGCCTAAAGTGTCCATGCCTGATATGGATTGGAATCTGAAAGGCCCTAAAGTAGAAGGGGATTTGAAAGGTCCTAAAGTTGACATTAAGGGGCCAGAGGTTAACCTTGATGCTCCAGATGTAGATATTGATGGGAAAGTCAAGGGTCCTAAATTCAAGATGCCATCAATGCCATCAATGCATATGCCTAAAGTGTCCATGCCTGACATCGATTTGAATCTGAAAGGCCCTAAACTAGAAGGTGATTTGAAAGGTCCTAAAGTTGACATTAAGGGGCCAGAGGTTGATCTTGATGCTCCAGATGTAGATCTAGATGGAAAAGTGAAGGGTCCCAAATTCAAGATGCCATCGATGCCATCAATGCATATGCCTAAAGTGTCCATGCCTGACATTGACCTTAACCTAAAGGGTCCTAAATTGGAAGGGGACATAAAATGTCCCAAAGTTGACATCAAGGGGCCAGAAGTTGATCTTGAAGCTCCAGATGTAGATATTGAAGGGAAGGGGAAATTTAAAATGCCCAAATTCAATTTACCTAAATTTGGTACGTCAGGCACAAAGCTTGAGGGACCAGACATTGATGTAAACTTGCCAAAAGTTGATCTTGATATATCTGCTCCAAAAGTAGATGTTGAAGTACCAGATATAGACATTGGATGTCCAGAAGGGAAAGTGAAAGGTCCCACATTTAAGATGCCCTCAATAAATGCCAATTTACCAAAAATGTCCATGCCAGATATTGACCTAAAAGGTCCTAAAGTGGAAGGAGATTTGAAAGGCCCCAAAGTTGACATCAAGGGACCGGAGCTTGATATTAATGCTCCAGGTGTAGCTATAGATGGAAAAGTGAAGGGTTCGAAATTCAAAATGCCACCAATGCATCTGCCTAAAGTATCCATGCCTGATATTGATTTAAATTTGAAAGGCCCTAAGGTGGAAGGAGATTTGAAAGCTCCTAAAGTTGACATCAAGGGGCCCAAGGTTGACCTTGGTGCTTCAGAGATAGATATAGATGGCAAAATGAGAGGTCCTTCATTTCAGATGCCTTCAATAAATCTTCCTAAAGTGTCAGTGCCTGATTTTGATTTGAACTTGAAAGGTCCCAACTGGAAAGGTGATGTTTCTAGTCCTAAAATAGAAGGTGATCTATCTGGCCCCAAGGTTGACATCAAGGGCCCAGGATTTGATGTAGATGGGCCAGAAGTAAAAATGCCTAAATTTAAAATGTCCAAGTTTGGTTTCTCAGAACCAAAAGTGGAAGGTCCAGAGTTAGATGTCAAACTTTCAAAAGGTGACCTTGATATTACTGGTCCTAAGGTAGATCTAGAATCCCCAGAAGTGAACATCGGTGGTCCAGAGGGAAAAGTAAAAGGTTCCAAATTCAAGATACCTTCCAAAAACGTGAACCTACCAGGCATGGACATTAATCTTAAGGGACCCAAAGTTGGCGGAGATGCCCATCTTTCAGGTCCAAACTTAGGAGAAATAGACTTGAAAGGTAATGTAGATATTGACATCAAGAAACCTGATATGAATATTGAGACTCCAGATATTAGCTTGAAAACTCAAGACATGGAAATTGAGGGCCAAGACGGTAATCTGAAAATCCCCAAAGTGAAAAAATCCAAGTTTGGCTTTGGCATGAAATCCCCTAAAGCAGAGGTAAAAACACAGTCGTTGGATGTCACTACTCCTGATGTGGAATTAGATGCAGAGGTTCCTGACATAGACATTGGAAGTAAGGGGAAGAGAAGTAAATTTAAAATGCCTAAAATACATATGAGTGGCCCTAAAATAAAGGGAAAAAAAGGCGGGTTTGATGTTAGCACATCAGATGTAGACAGTGACCTAAATCTGAATGCCCCTGATTTGGATGTCAACCTTTCAGGTGGCGGTGCAGATCTTGGTGCAAAGGCACCAAAAACCCGCAAACCCCTTTTTGGAAAAATTTATTTCCCTGATGTAGAATTTGATCTAAAATCTCCAAAGTTAAAAGGAGATACATCCCTTCAAAGTCCTAAAGCGGATTTAAAGACTCCAGATCTAGAAATTGAGGGTGACCTAAAAACACCAGAGGGTGATCTATCTTCTCATGGAGTTGAAATTGAAGGTCATGATATAAAAGTAAAGAAACCCAAATTTAAACTACCAACATTCAGTTTATCAGGCTCGAAGGTGCCGGAAGCTGATCTCAACCTCTCTAGCCCAAAATTTACAGGAGATGTGAATGCTCCTAGTATGGATGTTACCCACAGTACCACAGATGTTAATCTTAAAGCACCCAGTGTTTCAGTAGACAGTTCAATGTCAGGGATTTCAGTTCCAAACGCAGATGTGAACTTGAAAGGGCTGAAAGAAAATGTAGACTTTGAAGCCCCTAGTGTTGATATTTTAGGATCAAGTGGCAAAGGAAAAATTCCCAAGTTTGGTGTTCCTACATTTGGGATCTCTGGCTCCTCTGTGGGTAGAACTGATGGTAAACTTGAACTATCTGGGAATTTAAAAGCTCCAACTGTTGAAATACCTACTGTTGATTTATCTGTTCCGAAAGTTTCCGGTTCTGACTTTGATATGAATTTAAGGGGACCAAAGATTAAAAGTGATATGGACATTTCTAGTGGTTTCAAAGGAGAGAAATATGATGTTGGGATTCCAGGAATTAGTGTGAGAGGTTTAGATGCTAATGTTAATGTGCCCAAAGTTGAACTGTCTAGTCCAAGTTTGCATGGTCCTGACAATTTACTTAGTGGCAGTGTTTCTCTTTCTGGGCCAAAGGTGGAACTACCTGATGCCAAAATGGAAATTCCAAATGTACGTGTGAAAGGACAGGATAGTGATTTTACCATGAATGTTCCAAAAGGAGATGCAATAGGAAATGTTGACGGATTTAAATTTGGTGTAGAGAAACCTTCTACAGATTTACAAGGTGTACAAGTGAAAAGCGATCTCTCTGGCAATGTAATGGGTGGAGTGCAATTTAAAGGGTCGGAAGGTTTAAAGATAGCAGGACCAAACATAACATCAGGCCTTTCTGGAGTAGGAGTAAATGTCAGTAGCACACAGAGATACATTGGAGACCCTGTTGGAATAGTCACTTTCCCCAGACTTATGATGCCTAAATTTACAAGTTCTGGACCTGAACTCACTGGGAGGGAGGTAGGAGTTGATGTTGATTTTCCGAAGGCCAATGTAAGCTTAGGGAAATCTAGTCAAGCTGATTTAGAACTAGGAGAAGGTGACATTAAAATCAAAAAGTCAAAGATAAAAATGCCAAAGTTCAACTTCTCAAAAGCAAAGGGTAAAAATGATTCCAGTCTCACAGATGTTTCCATAACTGGGTCAAAGGGTGATTTGAAAAGCTCAAAGGCTAGTTTGGGATCGGCGGAAGGTGCTGTAGGGTCTTCTGGGTTAGAGGTAGAAAGTGGAGTTAGTGTGCCCCCTGCAAAGTATGAATTTTCATTGTTTACCAGCAGTAAGTCAAGACATAGGTCTTCCTCCCTTAGTGAAGAGATGGATGGTTCCACTCAGTCATCACCAAGTGGAACTCTAGAGGCAGAAGGTGGTGTGTCTGTAGAGGGTGGAAAAAAGAAGGGCAAGCATTCAAAGATCAAGTTTGGCACTTTTGGTGGTATAGGATCTAAGTCAAAGGGTTCTTATGAGGTCACGTTAAGTGATGATGAAAACGTCCAGGGGAGTGGGGCATCTCTGTCCTCCCGTAAATCTAGAGTGTCCTCCTCCTCAAGCAATGACAGTGCCACAAAGGCAGGTTTGCGGTTGCCCAAGGTAGAGCTGACTGTTGCCAAAAAGAAAGAGTAGATTGTTCCCCTTTTTTATGATCCCAAGCATGTAAATACATATATATAATTGTGTGTTTGTACATACATTTTTGCAACATTTATATGATTCTAAGGTTCTTGACAGAAGAGTAGATACAGTGCTTTGATACTTTGAGAGGAAACGAGATATAATATATATATATATATATATATATATATATATATATATATATATATAATACATCTCAATCTTCAACTGTCAAATTCCATGCACACCTTAACCCCTTCCCTGCCAGTGAGACTTAAAAATGTCTTTCTGGCATGGTAGTGGCTTAATTATCTATTTTGATATAATGGTTGTACATGGAAATATATTTTTCCATATATTTTTGTTAACTTGCTTACAGCTTTATTTTTTCTCTTGTGGGGCTTTACAAATGCAACTTGGTTTATTAAAGACACTGTAAAGTGCATTGAACCAGTGGGAAGTTGGCATTAAGGGGGATTCTTATGGCAAATATGATTGTAACTCAGCAGCTGTAGTTATTGTAAAACAACTGTACCAGTTTGAAACTTTGTGTAAATATATTTTTTTCCAATTATTAAACATCCACCTCCCACTATTCAGATTTTTGAAATAAAATATATATATTTCTAACCCTTTGCTTCTTGTGTTATGTCTTATTTGCATTTTCCCCTCTTTGACACTTTTAGTTTTCCTTGTAACATAGACATAACCTGAAAGACGTGAAACTGCAAATCAGAATGTTGACCATGAAGTAATCGCATATGTGTACATGTGTATATAAAAAAAATTTTTTTTGAATTTATATGAATTTATAATGATGGCACCAGACAACAGCTTTTAATTCTGCAAAGAAATATTCCATAATGCAAGGAATGTCTGCTCAACTAATAGAGCCAAGCTAGTAATCGGTTCAATCCCAAATATCATAGAATTTGGTCTATTTTTTTTAAATCTGGTACTATTGACTACAAAAAGAAAAGAAAAAAATAAGTTGTGAAATTTTTTTATATTTTCCTTTCCTCCTAAAAAGTAATCATCTAGATCTACTTTGCTGTACCTCTTCCACTATCCCCCTTGGTTCAGTGCATTTCTTATATGTACAATAAGATTTTCTTATCATTGTCATAATCAAACTGTGCTTGTTTATTTGTTTTTGTTTTGTTTTTTATTATAGTTTTTTTTGTGGGGAAGTTAATAAACTGTGCTTCAATTTCTGGTAAAAAAAAATAAAATAAAAAAAAAAACAAGCAAAACAATGGTTTTAACTTCAAAATCTGTAAGCACTTTAATGGCAATTCATTAAGGAGTGTGTGATGGTGGATTGTTTTAAACAAAATAAAGCTTCTAACCTTTACAACAGTGTCTGTGTCATTTTTATGTTGTCATTCAGACCGAGTAATATTACCATTGACCTAATGAAGAGAACTACAAATGTGCATGTTGGGGATGGTTTGCAAAAAAATCCAAATTCATTGTCAACATCGTCACCAAGAAGATAAGACAAATTAAGGGCTTCTTTTATTGTTGAGTAAGCACAAGTTGACAAAAGTCGGAGTTTCTGCCACCAACTTTTGTCAATTCCTGTGGCTGTAGGAAAAGGTTTCTTTACATGCCTCACAAGTTGGTCTGGGATGCAAGGGGTGCCCTAGCACCCTCCCAGAGTATGTATTCAAATAGTTTATAAACAGGTTTATAACTTACCTGCGTTCTACCCTGAACCCACCATCTCCTTTTCAGTTGCTGAATGCAGGAGATTTCGGTACACCAGAGGCAGCAATGAGAACACTGTGGAATCCAAGTATGCTGTCAAATCGAACAGTTTGATGACTTACTCTGGAAGGGTGCTAGTGCTCTTCTGGCACCATTACCACTACAGTGGTCTGTAATGGCTGTGGTGCTTAAAGTGTTCCTATAATAACCAAGTTGGGTAAACACATGTAAAGATAATCCACATGAGTTGTAGACATCTGCTTTCAAAGGTTATGTGCCTAGGGCACTGCATTCTGTGCACCCATCAGCTCACCCCTTTGCAATGTGTAATAGATATTTTAACATTTTATAAAGTATATTCATTAGTTTTCACTTTCCATTAAACTTACTGTCACGAGCGTGGGCTATAGGCCCAGCCGAGACAGTGGGGAGAGTGCGGAAGTGGCAGGGTTAATGACACCACACCCCTGGTTACCTGTTGCTTGTCCCAGCAACCACTCATCCCTTCTACACTAACCCCCTAGTACACACTTTACTGCCACCACCAAGACTTTAAACCCGGGCATCTTAGGTTACCCCACACACAGGAGAATTATAGAATCACAGTTCTACTTTTACTGATCAAACACATACAGGGAGTGCAGAATTATTAGGCAAGTTGTATTTTTGAGGATTAATTTTATTATTGAACAACAACCATGTTCTCAATGAACCCAAAAAACTCATTAATATCAAAGCTGAATATTTTTGGAAGTAGTTTTTAGTTTGTTTTTAGTTATAGCTATGTTAGGGGGATATCTGTGTGTGCAGGTGACTATTACTGTGCATAATTATTAGGCAACTTAACAAAAAACAAATATATACCCATTTCAATTATTTATTATTACCAGTGAAACCAATATAACATCTCAACATTCACAAATATACATTTCTGACATTCAAAAACAAAACAAAAACAAATCAGTGACCAATATAGCCACCTTTCTTTGCAAGGACACTCAAAAGCCTGCCATCCATGGATTCTGTCAGTGTTTTGATCTGTTCACCATCAACATTGCGTGCAGCAGCAACCACAGCCTCCCAGACACTGTTCAGAGAGGTGTACTGTTTTCCCTCCTTGTAAATCTCACATTTGATGATGGACCACAGGTTCTCAATGGGGTTCAGATCAGGTGAACAAGGAGGCCATGTCATTAGATTTTCTTCTTTTATACCCTTTCTTGCCAGCCACGCTGTGGAGTACTTGGACGCGTGTGATGGAGCATTGTCCTGCATGAAAATCATGTTTTTCTTGAAGGATGCAGACTTCTTCCTGTACCACTGCTTGAAGAAGGTGTCTTCCAGGAACTGGCAGTAGGACTGGGAGTTGAGCTTGACTCCATCCTCAACCCGAAAAGGCCCCACAAGCTCATCTTTGATGATACCAGCCCAAACCAGTACTCCACCTCCACCTTGCTGGCGTCTGAGTCGGACTGGAGCTCTCTGCCCTTTACCAATCCAGCCACGGGCCCATCCATCTGGCCCATCAAGACTCACTCTCATTTCATCAGTCCATAAAACCTTAGAAAAATCAGTCTTGAGATATTTCTTGGCCCAGTCTTGACGTTTCAGCTTGTGTGTCTTGTTCAGTGGTGGTCGTCTTTCAGCCTTTCTTACCTTGGCCATGTCTCTGAGTATTGCACACCTTGTGCTTTTGGGCACTCCAGTGATGTTGCAGCTCTGAAATATGGCCAAACTGGTGGCAAGTGGCATCGTGGCAGCTGCACGCTTGACTTTTCTCAGTTCATGGGCAGTTATTTTGCGCCTTGGTTTTTCCACACGCTTCTTGCGACCCTGTTGACTATTTTGAATGAAACGCTTGATTGTTCGATGATCACGCTTCAGAAGCTTTGCAATTTTAAGAGTGCTGCATCCCTCTGCAAGATATCTCATTATTTTTGACTTTTCTGAGCCTGTCAAGTCCTTCTTTTGACCCATTTTGCCAAAGGAAAGGAAGTTGCCTAATAATTATGCACACCTGATATAGGGTGTTGATGTCATTAGACCACACCCCTTCTCATTACAGAGATGCACATCACCTAATATGCTTAATTGGTAGTAGGCTTTTGAGCCTATACAGCTTGGAGTAAGACAACATGCATAAAGAGGATGATGTGGTCAAAATACTAATTTGCCTAATAATTCTGCACTCCCTGTATAATTAACCCTTTTTGGTAACGTGTTTACCTGAGCTTTCCTCTGGAGAGTGAAGCTCATAGAGAACAGAGACACAAGCTGATTAAGTAAACATTTAATCTGACAAAAAAGATTCACAGTGCTGAGTACAAAATACAGAAATAAATGACATACAGATACACAAATTGCAAAACAGTACATAAAATAAAATAGGAGAAAACACAAGAAATTCCTTACATGTATTTACCCCATATAGAATTCTTGTGGGAGTCTTAGATGGTATAGGTCTCCTAGAAGTTGCTGACCCCCCAAAAAATGAAGAACTCCCAGGATAGTCCAGCACCCTCATTATATACCTAAACTAGTTATTTCTCAGTGGGCAGACCCCTGGGGGGGAGGATCAGAGGGGGTTGGTCTGGCAGTTTATTGCCCACTCTATGCAATTCCTTGTGTCCAGCTCTGGTGATGGCTATCTAGATGTTTTATGGTCTAGGCCTGGTCTAGGATCAAAGACCGCAATAAATGTCATCCCAAGGTTTACAAAAAAACAACTCTTAGCATATATCAACACACATCAAACACCAACTCATGCTTTTGGCATGACACTTACATCAGTGCAAGTTTTACTGGTTAGATTTAACAAAACAAAAAAAACAAAAAAAAGTGCTCCAAACGGAAAAACGGTCTAACATAAAAAATTTCTGATAAAAAATAAAATAAAATAAAAAAAAGTTGAATGAGTAAGGGATGCCTGTAGTCCAAAACACACCTGGCAGTCTTTTGTGTTCACCCTTTATTTCCTGAATTAAATTTGAATTTATGCATGGGCAAACTTTGCTTATTGGAGTGCTCTGTGTGTTTTTAAATTTCTGGAACACTATGTATGAATTAACAGAAACCAAACACTCTGAAAATGAAACCTTTTTTTATTTTCAAGCAGGCTTTGTCAGTCACAGCTAGGAGAGGTGTGGTTACGGATGCGTAAACAGAAACAAAAGTGATTTAACTCCTAAATGGAAAAGAATTAAGCAGCGAGACTGCAAGAGCATGATCTATACACAAACACGTTGGTGACGATAGTGTCCCTTTCAAAAAAATTTTTTGTGAAAAATAATATGCAATTTAGAAATCCACACCTCTTTATCCTATAACAGGATGGCTCCATATTAGCCTCCTGTCAATCATTGATATAAGCTCTGTCATATGCATCTGGCAGTCCGCACACAGAGAAGAGGAGAAATGAAACAATGCTATTTCCCCTTTTCATTAACAATGTTTACTCTGGATTTGCCTTCTATGAGCACATTATGTCATTTACTTCATCTTAAATATAAATGTAAAAGAAAATGGAGAACTGATAGCTATCCTTAAAGCGATACTATAGTGACTCCTCCCTCCCCCCGGTGAATAAAGGGTTAAAAAGCCTTTATTTACTTACCATATCCCTGAGCCGATGTCCCTCGGTGTTGGATCACGGCTCTGCCTCCTCGTTCGCCCCGCGACGAGCAGGCACTAATTAAATCAATGCTTTCCTATGGGGATAAATCTGATGCTGGATGTCCTCATGCAGAGTGTGAGGACGTCTAGCGTCAGATACCAACCCAAAGGCCCCTTTTGATCGAGAAAGCGCCACGAGGCAGACTTAGAGCTGCAATGTAAACCTTGCAGTTTCTCTGGAACTAGGGACACTGCACCCAGACCACTTCAATAAGCTGAAGTGGTCTAGGTACCTATAGTGTCCATTTAAAGTGTCCCACTCTCTACATCAGAAAACATTTTAACTCTGTTCTATTTATAAATTCAGTCACAAAACTGATTCGTAACATTTGTCATAAGGGTACAACTGAATTCTGGTAAATAAATGTAGTTTGCAGTAGTGTTTATGTTACATTTATCAAATATATTTAAACAGGAAGAGCATTATAGTGCTGGAATAAAGGCTTTATGAGACTAAAACTGGTATAATTTGCACAATGTTGGAGATCAAAAAACTATTTTGGGAAGTAGGTGGGTTTAGTCACATATTTGCACATATTGTTCATGAATTAAACTTCTTTGGGCAGCCTCTGTCTGTCATTTATGATTGCAGTTGTTAAGCAGCTCTCAGAAATAAACTTTTTTTAAATTTTGTCTATCTGTTTTATTGTGGTATCAAGATTGCAATAACACTTCTGTAAAATAAACCATTTGTTTTAAATATAGGTAGATGACACCAGATTAAACAATAAACAAAATAAAAGTAGCTTCAAATTTATGTTGCGTAAGCCTGACTATACAATTCAAAATAAAAGCAGAGAGTTTACACTAGTGTTAAAGAAGTCAGTGCCTAAATATTAAAGGAGCACTATAGGGTCAGGAACACAAACCTGTATTCCTGACCCTATAGGATTAAAACCACCATCTAGCCACCCTGGTCCCCTCATGCCTCTAAAAATAAAGTGAAATCTTACTTGTATTCAAGTCTGCAGCTGCATAGTTTGTCCCTGTTTCCTTTAGACCTGCCCACTGCCTGCTGACATCATCAGAAGGGGTGACCTGAGCCAATCACAATGCTTCCCCATAGGATTGGCTGAGACTGACAAAGAGGCAGATCAGGGGCAGAGCCAGCACAATTCAAACACAGCCCTCAAAGAGCTTAATTGAATCAATGAATCTCTATGAGGAAAGTTCAGTGTCTGCATGCAGAGGGAGGAGATACTGAATGTTTGGATGCATTTTAGGCAACCATGACCCAGAAAGGATCTCTAACAGCCATCTGAGGAGTGGCCAGTGAAGTTATCACTAGGCTGTAATGTAAACACTGCATTTTCTCTGAAAAGACAGTGTTTACATCAAAAAGCCTGCCTGAAGGTAATGATTCTACTCACCAGAACAAATGAAATAAGCTGTAGTTGTTCTGGTGACTATAGTGTCCCTTTAAGCATAGAGGGAGATTTCAGAAGCCGAAATATGCAGGCAAAGAAAGTTGCAATGAGATTTGAGAAAAAAAATTGCAAAATAGAACACTGAAAGACAGATCTTGTCACAGTAATATAAAGATTAAAGGAAACAAAATGGCTTAAAGAAATCTAACAGACAGAAACAACCCTACTATAATTGTTGTGTCTACCAGCTTCAGATAGAGAAAAGTCAGCCTACCGCAGAGAAAATATGTGTAAATGTAGCCAGAATCCCAGACTTCCAGGCCAAGCGTAAAAGAACGATGAGATGATGACTGCACTCATAGCCCACTGATCCGGCTGCTCCTGGCGCCAAAACTGGTGTCCCAAGGGTTCTGGTATGGCACATAGATCTACGTCTGATTTGAGACCCTCCAGTGGTGTGAGCGGTGCACAGGGGATATTCCCCTTCAGATTCTAGGCCCAGGTAAGTGGCGGTGAGGTACAGATCACTGACAGGCTCCCCGACACAGGCCCTGTGTCTGTGTCTGTCTGTGTGTGTATGGACTCAGCAGTCTGTGTGTGTATGGACTCAGCAGTGTGTGCGTGTATGGACTCAGCAGTGTGTGTATGGACTCAGCCAGGGCCGGACTGGGCAAAAAATTTGGCCCGAGCATTTTTCAGTAACAGCGGCACCCTGAGAAAGGGGCTGGGCCAGAGAGGTTGTGTTTTGTCATCACTAATGACAAGCACGCCCCCTCTCAAAGTGAGCATGTAAGTTCAATGCGCTGAGCCCTGCTGAAGAGCTCTAGCATGGGAAAAAGGCCCTGTGTTTGTTCTGCGCAGCGCAAGCAAATTTAATAACATGCTTGCGCTGTGTTTGCTTTTAACTTGTCTCTGGTGTCTCCATAAGTAGGATACCAGAGGACAAAAGGGCCAGAAAAGTGTATGGTGCATGTGTTTGGAGCCTGCTTGTGAGCCATTGCGTGTGTGTAGAGTGGCACTGAGATGCGGCCGCCAGCCGGTCCTCTCCTCCTTCCCTCCCCAGCTGGCGACCGCATCTCAGTGCCTCTGGGCTGGTGAGGGAAAGTGCTGGCCCTGCAGAGGCTGGCAGAGGAGATCCTGTGATCTTCCCTGCCGGCCTCAGCCCACGGCCATCGCGGCCCACCGGGCATTTGCCCAGTATGCCCGATGGCCAGTCTGGGCATGGCCTCAGCAGTCTGTGTGTTTGTGTGTGTGGATTCAGCAGTCTGTGTGTGTGTGTAACGATACCTTACCTGGGTCCGCCGATCCCGCGCGGCACGACAGCTTCCCCGGCTACTTCCGGGAGGCGGCACAGCCTCTCGGACGCTGCCCGCTCGCGGCAAAATCCGTTTTATGACGCGGCGCATGCGCGCCGACGTCATAATGATTTTGCCGCGAAAATTCAAACGCGGCCACGCTCCCGAACCTTTTGGGGGCGTGGCTTTAAAGTGACAAACACATTAGTATAAAAGGGCATTCCTGTCCACACCTCAGTGCCCTAGTGTGGTTCTTGATTGTTCCCCTAGTGCTTTTTTACTGTTTAGCTGTTTTTCTGGTATTTTGACTCTTGGCTTTCGTTCTGACTATTCTCCTATCTGGCTCCCTGACTTTTGGCTTGGTTTTTTCGTATATCCCGATTTCCGTACTCCCTTGACCCTCGGCTTTTTCTTGACTATTCTTTGACGTTAAGTCCGGCCACCCTAAGGTCCGGTATACGTCCCTTTCAGGGTTACCATCTGTGTGAAGGGGTCACTATCGTGACATTACACTAGGGCCATGGACCCTGCAGGTGCTAATCCTCATGGCCCGGTTCCTGATAATCGGTTTGAGGAGCTGGACCATCGTATGGACCAGTTTGCTGTAGCCGTTCAGACCCTGTTAGCTCGGACTGCACATCTACAGCCAGAGGACCATATTCCGGGTCTTAGACCTCAGGAACCTCATTTGGAGATGGCGGCAGGGGGAGCTTCTGCCCATGCCACATCCCCTCTCCGTTATGGAGGTGATCCCAAGGGTTGTCGGGGTTTCCTCAATCAAATAAGTATTAACTTTGAACTTCATCCTAGGGCATATCCTACCGATAGAGCAAAGATTGGTTATATTATAACATTGTTAGTCGATAGAGCACTAGTTTGGGCTAATCCATTGTGGGAAAACGACAATCCCATAGTTTTCAACTACGCAGAGTTTGTCGCAGCCTTTAGAAGAACATTTGATCCCCCTGGGAGACGTACCAATGCTGCTAAAACCCTATTACGAATGAGACAAGGGTCTCGTTCCCTTGTGGACTATGCCCTAGAATTTCGCACTCATGCTGCAGAGGTCAGATGGAATGAGCAGGCCTTTGTAGATGTGTTTATGAACGGACTTTCTGACAAACTTTTAGATGAGGTAGCCACCCGAGATCTCCCTAATGTGTTGGAAGAATTAATTACATATCTAGCACATATAGACGAACGTCTCAGACATAGACAAAACACCAGGGATAGACCTAGGCGTATGCCGGAACGCCTGGCATTAACGTTTCCTTCATCTGAGGAAACCTCTGTCGCTCCAGTAGAACCCATGCAACTGGGAGCCACACGGTTGTCTGAACCTGAGAGACAATATAGACGAAGGGAGGGACTTTGTATGTATTGTGGGAAAAGAGGACATACCCGCTTACACTGCCCAAGCCGGCCGGAAAACTCCAACGCCTAAGCCCTCAAGGAGGACAGGCCTTGGGTGTAACGTGTATGTCCTCCTTCCAAGATAGAAAAGAACTCAGGCTTCTTCTACCGATAACTATAGAATGGGAGAAAAAGTTAATAAATACTTCTGCGCTAATAGACTCTGGGGCAGCTGAGAACTTTATTGACCGTACTTTCGGCCAACACCACAACCTCCCATTTCGAGAAAGAACAACACCCTTGGCCGTTGAGGCCATAGATGGTAGACCATTATCCATTCCTTTTATTACTCAAGAATCCAAACCCTTAGTCTTGACTGTAGGTTCGTTGCATAAAGAAACCATAATCTTACAGCAAATACCTTCTCCTACCTTTCCGATTATACTTGGGTTTCCTTGGCTTACCAAGCATAATCCTCTAATTAACTGGGAGAGGAAAGAGTTAGTAAAATGGGGTGATTCTTGTTTTAAGGAGTGTATCAGTCGAGTTAAACCTATAGGACTCCTCAACGTTCCTACCATGGAACCATTAACCACTCAAGTACCCGAACCATATCGGGATCTCAAGGCAGTCTTTGAACAAAGGGAAGCAAACAAATTACCACCCCATCGTTCTTATGACTGCGCTATTGATTTGTTGCCTGGTACTATGCCCCCTAGGGGTACCGTGTATCCCCTCTCTGTAACAGAAAACAAAGTACTGGAAGAGTACATCACAGAAAATTTGAAGAAGGGTTTTATTACCAAATCATCCTCCCCGGCTGGTGCAGGGTTTTTTTTTGTTTCCAAAAAGGAAGGTGACCTAAGACCCTGCATCGATTATCGGGGATTAAATAAAATAACAATACGAAATGCGTATCCTATTCCGCTCATTACTGAGCTTTTTGATAGGTTAAAGGGTGCTACCATATTCACTAAACTAGACCTACGGGGAGCTTATAATCTAGTTCGTATTAAGAAGGGACATGAGTGGAAAACGGCCTTCAATACTCGCTATGGCCATTATCAATATAGGGTTATGCCCTTCGGTTTATGCAACGCTCCGGCAGTCTTTCAAGATTTTATAAACGATGTATTAAGGGACTATCTACAAAGGTTTGTTGTTGTTTATTTAGATGACATACTCATCTACTCTAAGAATATCAAGGAGCACCATAGGCATGTTAGAATAGTATTATCCAAATTATTAAAGAACGGACTCTACTGTAAATTAGAAAAATGTTTATTTGACGTGGAGAAGGTTAATTTCTTGGGTTACATAATTTCCGGTTCCGGCTTTCAAATGGAACCCAAAAAACTAGAAGCCATTTTAA